AACAGGCCGACCTCAAACACACACATTGTAAAACTACAATTAAAGAATACATGAAATTTAATAGTCCATCTGTGACATTTGTTTTGCATTATCTTTGCTTCTATGTTTCTCTCTCTTTCATACACAACACACACAGTTTAAATGAGAGTGTATTGTAAGCCCGTTCCACCACATTACACATTTTGTTAATTCCTCAACAGCCTACCTAGAGTTGTGTGTTATGACATTTGTAGTTTCAATCTTTCAATTGTGTGATTTGAACAAGGCTTTACCTACAGTGATTCCTCCTTTTCCACAAATCACTGACAAATCAAAAACCCTCCAGTCTGCCAAAATGATATCTGATTTGTGTGATGTGACGGTAGTTTATAGAAATCAGTTCTCCTCATTAAGTAGTGAAGAACTATATCAAAAACATGTCTTGTCCTGGGTGACGTGCCTCTGTTTCACCGCTCACACAGAGCTTACTCATGGGTCTCCTTCACATAAATGAATATTTATTATATTCAGCTGATGCGGCTGACTGGGCTGCTATTTTCAGTCTCCATTATCTTCACAACAGTCAGTATGAGACATGGGGGTCACTGAGGAGTCCTTTACTGTGGATATCAATAAACAATGCACTCTCTGTCTGTCATATCTGAGGGCAGACTGTGGACCACTCTTATGTGCTATAGCATATGTCGTCATGTGTTAAGACTGAATACAGAGGGTTACTACCAAAAGACATCATCATAATTTCTCCATGACAGCGACAAATTAAAATATAAATCCAAAAAACTGTATTGTACTCTGATTATTTTCCTAATTTTGCATATCCAGGTAAAATGTTTTTGCTATATGGGGCAGTGAAAAGAGCAAACTGGCATTGTGTCTGTGGGCAAGACACTTCACCTTGCCTATGTGTAAATGTAATGTGTGAGTAACGGAGTAAGTGATAAATACACAGTGAAATTAGACTTGTAAACAATATGTTTCTTGGAGATGGGAAATAATAAAAGTTATTATTGTTATTATTAAGAATTTTCTTATTATTTTCTTTCTATTCTGACATTACATCCTAGAATAGAATAGTACATTTCATTTATTTTGTGATTTATTGGTATGCAAACCATTACTGCCAATCTTCCATTTATTATTATTGTTAGAATTAATGACACACATTAATAACATAGAATTAATATGAACTTTCTATGACCTCAGCTGTCCACAGTCAGCCCTGACAGCATGTATGAATCAGATGTATTGTATCTTAGTGATTTAAACATGTTTATATAAGCAATCATTTCCTTTCATATTCTTTACCTGCAGGGTCCTGTCCGAAGTAACATCCAGTCCTATCCCAGCATGCTCGGAGTGGTAACACCCTTCTTATTCACCTGTTGACATAGTAAGTGGGTTCATGTCACTCTTGGACTGACAATAAAAGGCATGTGCACAATTGGCTCACACGAAGACGCCCCAGTGTGTTCAGGGAAGCTTACTGCGTTTAAGTGCACTGGGAGAGTTATGGCTGCTGATGTGAAGGATTGCCTCTTCGCCTAAATCACAGCCGCTGGCTCATATTCACCTCTGACAGTGAGACATGTTCGTTTGGACAGCCCAAGTGTGCAGAACCAGCCCCAGTCAGTCCCCTGGCACAAGCACATGTGATGGGACAAGTAAATATTTGGATGAGAGGATGAGGAATTGATGAACTCAGGGGGTTAGGCGTTCGTGTTGGTAGTCTGGTGAAAGACAGAGCATTCCTGAAAATAAATGGTATTTCATTACAACATATGCATACAAGTGTATACATTTTTTATTTTAATTTTAAATGTATTTATTTTGTTAGTTTCAATTTGTAACACTCACTCCCAACATTTAAAGGTGCACTATGTAGCTTTCTGATGGAGGGTTCACCACCTGCTTGTCTTCATGGAGATGTTATTGCTGTATCTAGAATGTCTAACCTTAAATGTATGGCATTAAATGTATCTACTTCCATCAAGACAAGTCCCCAATGCCTCCAGGCCAAGTTACAGGTCAGATCTGTGGAGAGGTGAGCTCACTCTTTGTGGGGATGTATGTGTTTTTGAGCAACAAAACACATGCAATTGAATAACATAGATGTGTTTAATGCCATACTGTGAAATCTTTCAGGAAAATCAATAAAGCAATAAAGCAATAATAAATCCATCAATCTTGTGGCACACTCCCTACCAGAAAAGTTACAGTGCACTTTTAAATCTGGACCAATTAGTGCACGTTTCTTTATAACATGAATGTGGCTTTCAGTAGGTTACAAGAAAAAACAGCCAATAACGGTACAAAGTGTTGGACAAAAACCCAAGGAATCTTTGTCATAGTGTGAAAAGACGGGAGCCCTGGATTGAGCTGGATCAGAGTCGGGACAAAAACAACAACAATATTGTGGATTTAAAAGGTGTATCATGAAAAGAGACACATTAGCAGCTGTCAGTCATCACAATGCAGCCCTGTGAGAACATGACAGAAAGGAATCCATAGACTGAAGACTTGGCTCAGATCTACGCCAAGGTTCTGAAATACTCCAATGAAAACATGTAAAGGCAAGAGACACTTTACTGGAGCAAACGATTAACTTTGTACCAGAAGTGAAGAAACTCCGGTGGATTTGAGGTGTTAAGTTTTGGGTTTAAACTTGTTACCTGCTCTGCAGTGCTTCAACCAAATACCTCATTCTGAGAAGTGTTTTGGAAGAGCATGGCCTTCTCTGGCGCTAAGTGCAAAGTGCTTTAATTCTTTGCGAAATGGTTAAATTTGTGGAATTCAGTTATGGAGGAGATGAAAGGGTTGTTAAGCTTGTAAATCATCAGAGTTGATTGAAAGCTCGCCACTCATTCTTATTCATTTGGCTTTTTTGTGGTGAGTATAGAGTTAAGCCCTCGGCCTTACCTCTCAACTATAGGGGGATTCAGTGACAAGAATTGGATGGACAAAAGGACCACTTCATTTTTAAGTAAGTGATACCTATACAGTAAACATGGATTAAATTACTGTCTAAAAACAAAAATACCACAAATGCCATCATATTCTGCAAATATCATAATAAAACAAATCCTTATTTCCAGATTTGTATGCACCACTCCTTAAATTTGGATTTGAATTTCTGGTCATAAATGTCAGATTATGGTCATAAAACTGTAGACAGACAAATTGCCCCTTGGAGTAGGCCGACACTGGCTCAGAAATTGTGCCTGCCTTCACAATACTGTAGTAGTAAATAGTAAATAGCAGCAGAAGAGGGGCTTAAACTTGAGAAGCGTGAAGGCATCAAACCGAACCTGACACCAGCGCATGGAGATCGGGTACGAAACATGCATCGCGACAGAACATCTCTAAATCGCATTCCGCATTCTGAAATCTAATCCGAGGACATCAGGATGTGTGACATAATCCCCAAGACATCTGAAAAGCGCGCTGCTCCAAACAGAGTTACTGGGCTTCGCTTCGGACTCGTTTGGACGGATCTCACTGTTTGCTCCCGACGAGAAGCGCAGGGGCGGTCACAAAGTAGTCCGAACGTCAGAGCACACTCAACTATAAATCTCTCCAAAGTGCCCAGCGCGCCTGGTGCCGTACTATGCGCAGACATATGTCCCGCTACTGTCCTACTTGTATGAGGACCGCGCTTGAACACCATTCCAACTGCTTAGACACTTTTTAACCTGGGAAATATGGAGATTTTCATCATGTGTTCATCTTGTTTTGACTTTTTAAGGAATTTCTGGATTTAACCTCATTTGGACATTTCTTGTGCGCCTTGTTTTGACGCTGATGTCTTCATCGAGTTGCCCTGACTCGGAGATGGTGGACATCTCTCGGATTTCAAACGTGGAAACGTAGCATCCAATTAATCAGGGACTGCAACTGAAGCCCGGGGCACAGTGGCACTTGGTCCGCACTGAGCTCTCCACTGCCTACCTTTGGACTCGTTTGGGAGAGTGCGCGAGAGGACGCACGCTTTGGAGAATGAAAAACACACCTGGCGCGCCATTTCAGATGTTTTTCATAGGACATCTACTTTGTTTTAACTTATATTGAAATATTTCTGTGGCTTTTTATACCGAAGCTCAAAGTGGGACATTAAATGAGAGTTTTCACTTTGGAGTATAAACCCAACAGTCAGACAAGGGTCGGGTCTGCATGGGTCATATTTAAGGTAAGCGCACTTTATGTTACATGTATTTGGCCAGAACAATTTATCGTTATATAATCTGACTCTTCAGAAATTGGTTATGTAGAAAATAGATCGTGTCACTGATTTTTTGTAGGGCTATTCTTAAAGTCCGTATTTACGCATGCATGCTTACTTTAGGTTAGTGCAGACTCAACATGCCATTAGCCAGAGTCACGTAAGCATTGGGGATTGCCATCTGGCCAACTCTTACAATTATTTAGACTATCGTTGCCAACACGCTTTGGTGCGTGCTCTGACCAGTGCGTTGCAAGACGCAGCCGCCATGCCTCACGGCTATGCAGAGCTCATCCTTAATCTCTGTAGGCCAAGTAAAAAGTTTTGCATTGAATGAGTATAATCTCTCTTTCTGTCAAAGCTCGTGCATGCCATTGCCTCGAGGTTACAAGTATAATGAGTTTCTTTTTACGCACGAATTTACGCACGACTTTTTTTTTTCTTTTTTTTTTTTTTTTTGTCTTCTGGCGCATTCAGATATGTTAATCACTTACTACTACTAGTATACTTTTATATAATAAACTACACAAATACGGAAAAGTACAATTCGGTCTATTAAAATCGAGACTGGTTGTGAATATTTACTCGTCTTCAATGAGCCAAAGGCAAAGTGGGATCAAAGGCTCTTGACATGATGACACAGTTATTAATACAAGATGAGTCACAGTGGAGTTGGTCACATCACATATTGGGACACATAACTGACATTACTGAATTAACCAGAGCTGGCTCACTGCCAGACAACACACGTTTACCATGTGAAACTAATGCCTTTGTCTTGTCTGTAGGTTTCTTCATAGGAACTAAGTCTAAGATGAAGTTATGGGATGTTTTGGCCACATGTTTGTTGCTCCTGAGCTCTGTAGCTACCCGGCCTCTTTACTCAAACACTCGCCCAGCCAAGAGGACTTATTTCCCCAGCAGCAGTGATTCTGTGTCCATATCGGAGGAGGACAGTGAAGAGGCGAATTTTCAGCCTGAACAGCACAGTCTACATAAAATCGCAATGGAAGATCAGAGTAAGTTTGTCTACTCGTATTCTGGTATAAAACCTGCAAATTCTCTCTCTGGACCCTAAACTCTTGCTACATTTTCCAGGTCATTCACCTTTCTTTTCTTATTCCACTATCGCTGCTGTTGCACCGCTAATGCAGAGTCCTACATTGATAAGACAGTCAGACAGAGAGGTTATCACACACTTGGATCTTAATTTGTCTTTTATTGCACTTATTGGTTACATCACAACAAGGTCAAAATAAGACAGAGCAAACAAGCCCCCAGCCCCTCAAACAAATCTGTGGCGCACATTTCAAACTTTTTTCACTTGTGTTTACATTCACCTCTGCCTCTCTAAATTAGCCACATATGACCTTTTACCCATCTGCCCTGGAGTGGGGAGCATGTTTAAGAGGAAGAGCCAATTGCAGGAATTTTAAAGACTGAATGGGGCTGGTGGAGAAACATTGAAGCATCAAGCCTAAAGGTCTGTTTATATTATGTCCTGACAGCGACAGTGGGCAGGAATTTATTTTGTTTAGATCAATGTGACACTGTGTAGCATCTACAAAACGCACAAGAGCCCAACTATCTAGATAAGGAATGGAACTTTTGGCCGCATGTTTGTCCTGCCACTTCATGTTCTGTTTAGAGAAGGGTGGCTGTGCTGGCACGCTCTGGTGTAAGGAGAGACTCTTATACATTAAGTGTGAACATGGTAGCTGAAATAAGACAATATAGACAACTACTAGCTGGTTCTTTTCAAGCACTACAGCTTTAAAACCTGTGCCAAATAAATATGTAAATAATTTGACTCCTGTGCACACAAACAACGGCCATCTTTATATTATGCAGGCTCAAATTTTTACAACCATACCTGGGACAGAAATGTGGGGCTTAGTTTACCCAGGTATGTATGAGATGGGCTTTTTGCATAACTGAATTGTGCGTGTTGGTTTAAGATGTCTGTGTAATCTCCTAGTCGTCCAGGTAGGATCTATAGTAAAAGAAAAATTCAGTTGTCCATTCAGTTGTCCAGTTGACAGAATAATTTTTTTTCTTTTGCATGTTTGCTTAAGTTTTGCCCCAGCAGTCCATCTCCATATTAGCTTTTCCATTTAACCAGGCTTGGCACCAGAGTACCTGTTTTTCAATATTTCTTCCACCAGAATAACATGTGGGCAGGTGCACACTGTAGCTCCTCCGTCCGTCAGCTGGCAACAATAGGAGCTGTCTAAATCAAAGGGCAGGTGTGTCTAAACAGATTGACCCTGCTTACCTGATACAGAGGCAGCAGACCAATCAGCTGTGGAGCGCCGCCGGATCAGATGTCGGCCGCTCTGTTAGTGGAGCAGGTAGATCAGAGCAGATAGGTGACACTGCAACAGAGACACTGGTGTAAACCACAAGCCCAGCTGCCAGACCTGGCACCCTGCCGCTCTAATGACACACTCACACAAAGGTAATGGGAGTTAGACTAATTGATTCATTGGAGAACAATACGACTCCATGATTTGGTCTTTTACTGTTGCCAGAGCTTCGGGCAGCATAATGAAGTCAACATGTAGATGCTGGGCGCTCCTCCTCTGGCTCCTCTCGGCAGATGGTGAAGGGCTGTCTGTTTTCAGTTTGGGGCAGACGAGATTCGACTCTGTCTAAATGACTCAGAGGTTATAATTCTCTTTCAAGTCTGTGTGTTTTTAGAAGAGTAAAATGCAGAGGAGTGCATCTCTTTGCTGTAATTATCGGGAACCCACTCTAAACATACGAAAGGGCAGGTACATGAATATGATGCAAGTCAATGTTTGTCAGTGTTTATGTTGTCATTGATCACTTTGTTACACAATGTCAGGAATTATTTTCTTTTGCATTGCAAACAATCAAATTCAACCTGACATTAGTATTTAGCCATATGTATTTTAGAGAGCAGCTGCAAGGCCATGTGCTCAAACCTGGACCGAGTCTACATTCTTGTACCTTAGGCAAATCTATAAATCAGCATGTGCACTTTATATTTGTACATATTGCCTGCATTTATTTTGCATACTTTTCTATGTGTAAGATCAGAAATATGTCCTGCAGCCATATGGACTCCATATTAAACATTCTGCCTACCTGTTTGTCATTTTTACACGAAATTGTTATTTATTCCACAGATGACATGAGAGGTCCGTACCCAAACCACCTGGAGGATGTGATGGATTTTATTGAGGCTACAATCGGACGACTTCGGAGGTCCTCTGAGCCCGGTGGAGGCAGCAGAGGTCGAAGGGAGCGACAGAGAGGAGCAGCAAACACAGGCAGAGACAGAGAGGGGAAAGGCCACAGCGACCGGCGGAGGGGGCGGTCCCGGAGCCGAGGAGGCAAAGGAGGGCGCGGGGACAAGAACAGGGACAGGACCACGGCAGTGCAGGGCCGGGGCTGCCTGCTCAAGGAAGTCCATCTCAACGTGACGGACTTAGGCCTGGGTTACCAGACCAAAGAGGAGCTCATTTTCCGCTACTGCAGTGGGCCTTGTGTGGACGCTGAGACCAACTATGACAAGATTCTCAACAACCTGACACACAACAAGAAGCTGGACAAGGACACACCCTCTCGCACCTGCTGTCGGCCAATAGCATTTGACGATGACTTGTCCTTTCTGGATGACAATGTGGTGTATCACACTCTGAAAAAGCATTCTGCCCGGAAGTGTGCTTGTGTATGAGGAGACTGAGGGGCACTGAAGGACACAGAGGAACAGTCTGAGGATCTAAGGTTGCTTTCACATTTACAGTTCTCAGCTCAGACCGCTGGGTCACATGACCAGTCAGACAGACTTTTATTTAACTGAGAGCACTGGCTTGTTTTTGTCTGGAGTATCTTTTTTTTTTTTCTCAAAGGAACTTCATTTTTTCCAAGGCAAACTCCGAGGACTTCAGATGAACACAGATATGAGGAGTATACTCAGCTGCATGCTAAATCACTACAACCACACTGTCTGGACATTTACACTGAGAGCTGAGGGATGAGAAATACCACACAGGATTTTCTGCTGCGTCTCCATAAACAAACTATATATATAAATATTAAATACATACTTATATAGAGAGATATACACACATGCGTGTAAGAGGTATATTTATTAAGATAGAATTAACTTATTGTTATTTATTTCAGTCCATTTTATCAGAAAAGTTGTTTTTTTATTTATTTAAATGCTCTGCTTTCCTGGATGGTGCCATAGTAGAGCAAGTTCATCACACTCACAAAGCTATCCTTTAGACCCGCTTCTTTCATGTCTGTAACAATCCTTGTATTACGTCATTGCTTCATATTGATTCCAGGTATTAAAATGAATCATCAGCAATATAAAGTACTGTATATTTAGTGCAAGGAGATTTACATCAAAGAGGGGACCAATGGATGTTTACTCGGTCATGTTTTGGTGTGGAGAATATAGGAAGATTTTGGTTCTAGTAGAAATATACCACAATAAATGTATCAACAAGTCATAATTGGGTCAAAAATAAGCTGATATTAGTAGAATGTTTAGGTCACATAAAAATTACCATGACATAAATTACAACCCAGCTATTCTTACTTTGCTAAATTTGCATAGTCCTTAGAACCAACAAAGATTATTCAATGTCAATTTCCATACATATAATGTTTAAACATACCTGCTATTCCAAATTGCAAACACACTTAGTTCTTGCGTAGATCTTGTGTAGGTGTCTTTGAGAAGCTCTCCTTCACACCAAAGCACAGAAGTCCTTCCAACGGCACACGTTACCCAAATCCACAATCTGGCCTTGTACCAACTGTGAGAGCTTTAAAGTTCACGGGGCTGGCTCTGTCTTTGCCTCTGTCTCTGCTCTGACAGACAGGTCCCACTCCCTCAAAGGAGATTTGTAAGTGATCCCTGCTACAGTCTTAACCAAATATCCCCGCTGGCTACGGTGTTTTGGTGAATGCAGTTTAGTGTCAATCTGGCCCTGCATGAGCTGTCATCGCCTAAACTCATAAGAAGTGCAAGAATATCAACCACAGAAAATATGACAACAAACAGTACAACTACAATATACCTCTCATTATAAATCAGTTCTGTTTTAATTTATACCATTGTGGATATAGTCTAAAATTGACATTTTGTGTTCTTTTTCATGTTACTACAAGGAGTACGATTTAAATTACGAGCACAGATCTAAATTTATCTTTTTATGTAAGAGTTTGAGATCAACATTTCAAAGCTTCAGAATTAATAAATCTACATTATTCAGATACAGATCCCTTGCAGTTGTCATAGATTATATGGGCAGTACCTAAAATTTGTGCAGTGCTGATTTCCATCTAAAAGAAAACATACTTCAAGTGACTTAGTCAGTCAGCCTTCCCAAAATACAGTGCAATATAAAGGTGAGATATAGGAGCATTTGTATGTTATATGGCCAGGGGAGGAGCTTTGAAGAAATCTTGTCTAAGACTTGTCTAAGGAGCATTACTGTACAACATCTGGTTTAAAGACTGTGCCACGAGATTGCTACAAATGCAACTATTGCACACTCTTGCTTATGTCTTGATAGTAGTACGGATTAGAGACCAAGGTATCTGTGGCCACCCAGCTTTGTGTATAATCCCCCACACACAGTACAAATCCACGGCATCAAGCTGAAATTAGGCCAAAGTCTACAGTGAAAAGAAAAAACAAATACTAGTCTTTATCACAGCATACCTTCTCAATTGGATCATCTTCTGCCTTTACCAATCGATCATACATAAAGCTTTCCAGATGAATGTTCTGTAAGGAGAGTTTCCAATAAGCACCACACCACTCTTTAATACCTTACATTTAAATAGTGTAAACTGTGACCACTTTCTACGCCATCTTTGTTTTATCTGGTATTGTTCACGCATCCACAAAAGGAATCTCTTCAGTGTTTGACTTTACTCTCCCGTTTTGTCCTCTCCATTGTTTTGTGTTACAGAACCAAAGCTCTTGGCAAACTTTATTTTTGTACAATATTCATTTTATAACTTTTTACAGAATTAAATTTGTTTCTATTAAAAGATTACGTGTCCTGGTCTTGCGCCATGTACAACAAATACAACCTGAGCCAGATGGAGCTAATTTTAGAAACTGATATTTGCACAATCCTTATGTAAATTTGGGGGTGAAAATTCAGGTGAAGTGGGAGTCTAGTGGAGATGAGATAGAAAGGACTGTGATGTGTAGTGTCCATCCTGCACTGCATTCCTGAGCTGCAGCCCAGGGTCATACAGTAAACAAAAGCGAGCTGTAAAGAGCCACTCTGCTGTAAATCAGGCCCAGTCTTTCCACTGAGCTGAATATACTACATGTAAATGTGAGGGGAGACATACAGCAGTGAGACTGTGTGTATGTTAAAGGCTACTGTGCTCAAAAACACTTCAAATTTCAGACTGTATTCTGAATATGATTAGTCACGCTTAAATAGCAGACAGTGTGAAATTAATTCCAGTGGTGCTAGATGGCTAGACCCAGTAAAAAACTAGATACTCATTTCATTTATATAGAACTAAATTGGAAGTTTCCTGAGAAGTTTGAGAACAAATTATTATTAAAAAAATTACTTTCCTGTCTATTGTTCTAAAATAATCATCCATATTGAAAATCGAGTGTATTCCGTAATATCATAATCAAGTATGAAATTTGTATTGGGTTCAAACAATTTGTGTACAATGCCATTACAGGGTCAGTCAATCAGGAGTAGGCTACTAAACACACAGGCGCTTAGGATCAAAATTAGGTTAGAACTATAGTAGTATTTGCCTAGTACATTGAAACACCACATACAAAGGCCCACACATTCCAGACTATGACCAGACCAGACCATTCCATATCATGACCTTGCACCTTGAGGTTGTAAGGTTAGAGTAGTGACCATCATATCCCCACTGGGCCAGTCTATTTCCTTGGAGCAATATTTCAGGTTTTGTGGCACTACTGTCTTTGTAGTGCTGGTGGAATGTATGTTAACATGACTAATTTATGTGTTTAAACATTGTGACTGCAAAAAACAGTCACACTCTGACAAAGCTGTCAGGTATGAAAACAAACTAAACCTTGATCTGAAAAAAGAACCTATTAAAATAAATTATCGGAAGACCAAATAAACCTCATTGGGTAAACACTGTGCTTCTTTATGGAAAATGTGTGACTGTTCTACTGTTGATTTCACTCTAACAAACTGAAGCTAATTGTGTTTAAAAACAGGAGCTAACCGGTAATTTCTCTTGGATGCCACAAGGAGTTTGTAACATTTGGATCCATTAGTCCTCTTCCCTCAGGAGTCAGGACTGACCAAAACCGTAACATCTTAAAATGACCAAAGAATCTGTTCCGTTTAAGTCAGTTGATGCAAAGTAAATTTATTTTGATCTTTTTATTCCAATTAAACTACTTACTCCAATTTGAAAATCTTACTCCAATACCAATGAACAACAATAATAATTATATTTTACGTTAAATGGACCACTGTGAGCTTTAATCCATGTTATAATGTTGTTACCTCATCAAAAACATACCTGGAGATGTTTTGTTTGAGTAAACCTTTATATTAGTCTACATCTCCAAAGCTCAAAATGCTCTATTCCACTTTGTGATGTCATGTAGTTTTCAACTTAACAGCTAAGGTGGATCAGTGTTTTCTGTTTGAGAAAAGATCTCAGCCAAAATATTCAGTTTGTGTGTTAAAAATGTGTACATGAAACGAAATAAAATTCCAAGTATGTTTTTGATGTGGAAACAACATTATAATAGATGTGTCATCTTCCACACGGGGGTCACCTCCTTCTGTTGGCCCCAAACTCGGAACTCGTGAAGCTCATTCTTTGTCCACTCTAGTCTCTCTTAAAGTGCCGCACATTGTTCTGCCTCTTCCACATTTCTTCTTTTCCCCCTGTGACTTTGTTTCATATGATTTTTACGGTCACAGGAGGCTTGCCAAAACAGAGACGTTGAACAGCCTGCTTGTGATTTCGGTTGGCTCAAAGTTGGAAGTTTGCTTTGCAGTTTGGCCAATTGCGAGTCAACAAAGACATACAGGCTGTCAAGAATGTAATGCACATGAATGTTTGGTGTTATGTAGTTTTAAAGGGAAAAAACGCCACTTCAAAATCTATTAAATATTTAACTACGAGACCCAGGGTAATGTTAATTTGAATGTGGCTTTAATTTAACATGTGTTTGTTGTGGTTTCATCAGATAAAGACTTCATAAAATATCCACAGGTTGTCAAATAACACATCTGCAGCTCAACTATACTGAATTGAAATAAATGAAATAAATGGAAATATCTGAAGGCATGGAGAAAACTGAAAAAATGAATGCCTATATTTGAATTATGTGCCCAAAAATGTCAAAAATGGTCCAAATAAAGTTTCTTTGAAATGGGCATCCAGATCATTGTTTATCAAAGCATTCTACTTAACAAGTGTCTACAAAACAAAAATATTTTTTAACATATAGTTCGCCCAATTACGTTCACAGTTTTTACATATTCCACCCAGGTTTTGTGGCATTTTTATGATATGTCTTGTGATACGACCACTGCAGTGGTAAGTATCTTCAGTATATTGGACCACATTCAGATTTGTCTTTTCAATAACCCAGTAAACAAGTTTGGGTTTGGGGTAAAATGCAACAGGAAGTGGCTGACAAAGGTTTTGGATTAAAGAAAAGGTCAAATTAAGTAATATTACTTATTTTCAAAATCAGAATGTTCTACATAGTTGGCAGCAGTAGACCACAAGATCTGGAGCTGATTTATGAAGCAATAGCATACTCTGGAAATGTGGTAAGGAAAAGACAAAAGAATAAAAGTCCATACAATGAAAACCAACATTAAAAAGCCAAGTACTTTTATTGGTTGATGAACAGCAAATGGAAATCTATTTGGCCAGTAAAAATATCTGTATAGCCATTTAGCACTGAAGCACAACATAATATGAATACATTAAAACATCAAGGACAGGTTTAACCATTATACTCTCTCAGCACAGTACTTTTGCGTTTGTGGCCAAGGAGATTGGGAGCTATTCACAAGGTCATTTTATCAGCCATAAAACCCAGTTAGCCTTGGGAAGCCTCAGATCTTGCGTTTCTTCCACTCTGGTTCCTTGTCGGCGTCCTCATCCTCGTCTGATTCTTCTGCAAACACTGGTTCAGGCTGGGTCCTAAAGGGATCCACATCAGTTTACCTTTACACACTGCTCAAACACCACAGTAAATAAGTGACTGTATGCATCAATGATACAAGTGTGCAGTAAAAGTCTTCAATTATTGCATTAGTGGATTAACAGTTAAATCTTGCTGTTTGTTCAAAGTAAATCTGATACTTTCAAGGTTTTTAGATAATGATCTTAACAGCTCTCCTTCAGTTTTCTGCTATTTGACCACTTGCTTGTAAATGGGTATGGCGTTTTAAACATTTATGTGTAACAGAGGTGGAGGCTGAGCAATATAATAATGACCCTACTCAGTTTACAGAGACAGAAATGGTCACTCACTAAATTGTCCTTTGAGCTTAAATAAGTAATGGGACATTAGCTTGTCTTACTGTGTGTATGCTGGAGCCACCCAGTAGGGGTCTTCAGCAGCGGCCTGTGCGTGTCTCAGAATGGCCTCTCGTGGATTACTGTCATCGGTTTTGTCCAAAGCGATATTCTTCACAATGAATGATGAAAGTGTGCCACCATGAGCGGCCACTCTGCCCCCACGACCTGCAACAAAAGATTACAAATACTTCAAGACTTTCAGCATTCACACCATATGTACATCAACTCAAGATTCCTCTCAATCTGTTATATTGTTATTGTTGCTTATTGTTCAGGCAAACTATGCTGTTGCATTTATTGACAATATTTCTTCCATTGCTACATAATAGAGTCAGTACAAATGATAATAGTGGAATCGTTTCTAGTGCTACAAAACTACAACAACAAACTGTGGTAACTCCAAATCTGTGTTCTATTAAAATATACAAATAAATACTCCAAAGTGTATTATTATTGTTATAATGTAGTTAAATCTTATGAGGCAACACGCTGGCGGAGGAGGCCAAGTGGGAGCTGTAGCGATACTGCTCAGCTGGGTTGCATCAAGAAAGTTGAATTTAGGCATTTTAAAAGTATGCTTTGACAACAGTGGTATGTTTAGAGCTCAACACCGCTTGGACGCTCTCTTTTTTTCCACATTCTCATTATATTACCTGGTCCAGACACAGGGGGTTCTGGCTTGTGCGACTTTTTTGGATCCAGCCGGTCCTTCTCCAGTTGTTTCTTGGTGCTGCGCTGCCGGGCCTCTCTGAACATGGGTAATGCATGCGCTGTCAACAGAATAAACAAGCATAATCAAGTCGCTTGTGTAACTCAAACTGAGGGATCACATAACACAGCAGGGGAACATTTGCAGATTCGACACAGTCAAATCTTTTCCTTTGTTGACTCCTTAATACTACAGCAGACGACACCTGTTGAACTCTGTGCCACGGCTGTCCTTGTGTACATTTTCTGCCATAGTGCGCACCTACATTACATTGTTTAGAAACAGACAATCACTTGGCTTCTCTTCACACTTTTGTGCACACAATCACAATAATAGCACCAAGATTGTGTGTGTGTGTGTGCGTTCATTAGTGTCTGTGTGCTCGGCTTACATCTTGGGGAGTAACACTTTAGTATTGGGGTGAGATAAAGTGATTTTCCATTTGCGAGTCCATGGCGCTGTCTGCTCTTAATTCTCCCTCCTCCATGCTACATTAAGCAAAAAGGTTACTGTTAACAGATTCCCTCGCTTTTCTCAATGGGCCGTCACTAGCTTCCTGTCCTCTTTAATTTTCCAATGCCAGGCCATCAAGTGCGTCACTCAGCAGTAGTGGTAAGGGTCAATGGTGGACCTCCTTCAATAAAAATCGTTAGCCAAAACAATAAATGCTGTGCAATTTGCAGATGATTTATAGCCTTGGTTTTGGGAGCGGTAAGAGGCATGCACAGATGAGGTGAATGGGTCATGAATGAGGGCTGACATGTGTGTGACCACTGTCCGTGGATGTGTGTGTGTATCACGCAGACACCACTGGACAGCGGCATGATCAGGACCACACGCTCATCTCGTGGCAAAGTGCCCAGCAACAATCTATTGTAGCGACCTCTAATAATCTCTTCCAATCCAGATTCCTTTGAAAGCAGGATTGTTTATTGTTGTGTTTAGAAATATGAATGGAAAACTGGCAAATAAACAAACCTCATTGTGCTTTTGTAACATATCACGGACATGTCCCCAACTACAGAACTGCAATAGTTTTCAGCTTGTTTCCTACAAAGTGACATACTGATGGAGCACAGAGAGGAGTTTGTTGAGATAATTGCAAACTATAAACACTTCTTGATTGAAGCTTCTGCATATTGAATTATTCAGACTGTTTGACGACAAATAAAACCATCTGAATCAACTAGCCAATAGAGGGCTTAAAAACACATTTGAGGAAAATATCCAAACAAGGCAAAGATGTAGTATAAGCACATAGTATAACCATTTTACTTATTATCACTTTATGACATCACAAGGTGAGCTCAGCTCAGCTCAGAGGACATTGGACTAAAATGATTAGTCAAACATGAAAAACTATATACTGTACTGAGATAAGGGAATTGGCAGAATAATTAAAGACCTGAGAATCATTTTGTTAATGATTTTTGTGAAACACTAATGAAAATTATTGTGGTGTATTTTCTTGACAGAATGCGGAGTGGACTTACGTGTGATGATGTAATCTTGTGCTAGCATCTCCGTGTGCTTCTCTTTGCGCTTGGTCTTGGCTAAACACAGCTTAGCGCCTCTGCAAAGGAGATAATGTAGAGTAATCACATCATGATGGCTGAGTCACACACAGGACAAACGCCCTGCTGGCACACACGTACTTGATTATAACATAGCAGTTTGATATAGGGATATACCTGTAACTCTTGACCGGGTCGTAGTACACCTTCACCACCCCATTTCCAGTCCCCACCATAATCTGATTAAGTTTAGGATGCCACAAACAGCGGACAACACTCTGTAAAAGCAAAGTGTTCATGGTTTACATAAAATTGCATAGCATAATTCATTTTGATCTTTGTTATAATGTTGTTTCCTCATCAAAAACATATCTGGAGTTGTGTTTTGTTTCATTCAGACATGTTTAACACACAAACACTGCATATTTAGGCTGAGTTCTTCTCTCAAACAGAAAACACTCATGATGTCATATGGTAATACAGGAAGTGCTCCAGTGTGTTTTTAAACTCTGTACACCTTCACTAGAATAATTTGGACAATTTCACCCCTGGAACTGCCAGTCTCTACTGAACTAAGGGTAAAATGTTGCAGTTACTTGAAAACTGCCTCTTCATGAAATCACAAGGTGGAACAGAGCATTTTGAGCTTTGGAGATGTAGAAAGACTAATAATCAAGAATTACTCATCATGTGTGAATAAAACAAAACACAAGGTATGTTTTTGAGGAGGTAAAAACAATCTAGCCTAACTTAAAGTTCACAAGTCAATGTTGCATAATATAAGACCTTTAAAACCATAACACATAGTAGCACATAGTAGCAAGTTGGGGAGGGTTTTTCTATTGTGGCTGAAAAAAAATGTGTGGATGCTTGCCGAGGCATAAACAAAATAATATTTTCAAACTTCAGAGAGTGTGTGACCCGGGCTGGTTGTGATACAGCAGGATCAGTGCTCTGCTGCTCTACTTGACTATATTTGGTGGTTGGGATGAGGGCTGGATCTCAGTCTGTGTGTGACAGATGGCCCTGTGCCAATAGGCAAATGTGACCACATTTATTCAGCGACTGTCGGGGAGAGACAGAGGGACTATGGGCCAGGGGAAAAAGAAGAACAAGCACAGTTGGTGATATGATGAAGAGCCACTGCTCCTCAGTGATATGTGAGCTACAAGACATCCCGCTGTTGTGCTCATGTTTTAAATGTACTGACAATCATAAGGTCTGAGATTGCGCGCGCACACACACACACACACGCACGCACAAAGACACAGACAGACAGTCAGACTCCATTTCTCTGTGGTGCATATATTTGACTACACAATATATCAGCTAATCCAATCACAATGGTGTAAATGCATTCTAATTTTATTCTCTGGTTAATTTAGCCTTGTTTTGGTCATGTTCAAGGCTTGAATATTTTAAGTTTTGACACAGATGCAGTGGGTTAGTTAGTTAAATATTTCAAGCTCATATTATAGTCATATATATTATAAAATACAGTGCAAGTGCACCATGACAGGGGTGGTGAAGAGGGGGGCAGTGGTCTGGGCCAGTAGAGTCAGATGGGGGGTGGGTTGGACGACTGGATGTCCAGATTCTATGACGGTGAAAGCTGCTTAACGTCCAGCTGTTCATCTTCTCACCGGGAACCAGTACGGAGAATCCCAATCCACCCAGCATGGACACGCACTCATTCACAGCACGAGAATGTTATAAAAACGAGCACCTTAGATTGGATGAAAATGATTTGTAAAAGTGCACAACCACAAACCATTTGAGTTCTACATTTCTACATTGTGGAAAATGTGTATGTCGATGTTTATACAATTTAAAGGTCATACCCTCCCCAGCATGAGTTTGCAGGCTTTTCAGTCATTTCTCTTTCCACAGTTTGATAGTAAGAGTGTGAGGTTCAAATTCAAATTAGAGATGAGAGGAGGACTTCCATCACTACCAGATCGGAAGCCTAGTAGCTTACTGGTTACTGTAAGTTAATCTTTTCAAGCTGGTCATGAGCCAACTGTAATTAATTGAACAAGCATTAAAAAGGGCTTGGATTTATCATGATACAGATATGCAGATACACAAAATACCCAATACCAGATCCATTTTTTTTTTTTTTACCTTTTTGAATTTGAAGTAAAATGTTAGAAGAAATTGTTTACTCGGACTCCACTTCTTGCCCTCAGCTGAAGTACTGAAGTTTAAAATGGATCCACATGTTAAAAGATGCATTTTGTATGTTTGTAAACATACAAACACAACATGGCATAAAACTTGTCATTCTTCATGGAAACAAGTAGGTGACGCAAACTTTTCTTTTTTTGGCAGTATACCTGTCAAAAACATTGAATGTTTCAGGCAAAGTAATTACATTTTCAAGAGATAAGCAGATGGCTAACCCTCCACCTGAAACCTTAGAGTGACTTTATAAAGACAACAAAACTACACGGGGCTAGTATGGATCTGCTTCACTGTGAATGTGTAATTAGCTGTGATTTCCAACTCTTTGTGTGAAGGAAGACAGGAATGACAGGTAGAAATTCTGCTACAGTCTCATTTCCCAGGTACTGTCAAAATGCAAATCGTCCACCCGCCTCATTGTAGTAGAGCAGTACTTGGCAACACTTGGCCAAAAAACACTACGGCTGTAAAATGGAAGTACAAGTGACAACTGGACACAGCAGTGACTCACGGGGCCAGTCAAACGGCAGAAACCTCCCTCCTCGGACCCACACAAATCATACTGTCAACACTGGGATAAGTCGCACAGAGGGAACAGAGCAGAGAGAGGGGCCTACACTAGCATGGCCTGTGAGAAAGAGGAAGTCTATGGCCAAGATCCACTAACCCCGGTCCAGAATAGATCCAAAGAGCTGTGTATACACTTATAGCGCCCATGTTTATTCTTCACGTCCACAAAATTACTTCACATCATGAAAGAGGAAACTTTAGTTAGACAATTCTTGGTAGCTGCCGTATCAGTGCTGTCAGATTAAAATACCGCAGGCTGATTGGGGAAAGCCAAGACTTTAGCTACTTACCCAATATGTAACACCAATTATGCAACGATGTACTGCGCTACTAATGGGACACATCACTCATAGCCGAGCTCCCTTTTTAGTCATTGCTGAGTGTGTCCAAAAGTGCATTGCTCCTGACAGAGTGGACTACGCAAGCCAACTATTGGAAAGTAATGGGAATGTTTAACTATTGAAATGCTAGCAGAAGTCAATGGAAGTAGGTAATTAGCACGGGTTGCCTTACTGGAACAACTGGCAGGATTTCCTTGGTGAGATGCACAAGAAAAGAAAAGCCCCTGTGTTACCCCTGAGCCTTCTGTAGTTTAAGTGTGTGGATGAAAGACGAACAAGTGCCCAAATCTCGACAGAACTGGAAAAGGCTCAAGGCTTCAGAGCGGTCAAGCATGACGTGGTAGGGTTTAGCATGGACAAAAAGCTACCATCTGCAAATGAAAACACTACTACCAGCAATACCGTTAAATATGATTTCTTTAGTGACACTATTAGCCAGATAAGCAATCATTTTTCCCCCCGACTTCTAAGAATGAAGGAGTTAAGCTTTCACAGATTTTGAAAAATAACCATCTGGACTAGTTTTTGAGTTTAATACGTTTTGCCTCTTATCCAAGGCTCTGTTATCTGATGAACCTATTGAATTCAGGTGCACCATCTAACTTTTTCAGATTGAAAGACAGCTATTTATTTATCACCATGGAGATAGTTATGCTAGGAATATGCTGGAAATGAATGATAGACAGGAATGTTCCACAATATGGCATTAAACCTGACTAATATCTCCATGGAGACAACTAGGCGGCAAACCCCCACCAGAAAGCTGTATAGCTTATAAGTGCATGATGCACTAATCAGAAAAATTTTATGGCCATTGTCGGTGATTGAAATAAATTAAATTAATTAATCAAATTAATTAAAATGAATAAACTAGGAATGTGCTTTAAGGATATAGTAAAATACAAAAATAAATAATAGTCAAAAATAAGATGAGTCCCCAAAGTGTCCTGATTGTACCCTTGGACCGAGGATGGGATAGTGTGGATTGTTTAGTTAGGGAGGACTGATTGGTGGCCCTTCCTTTCACTCGTCTGCTTGGCACACCACTTTAAAAGACTGCACTTAAATTCTTGGGCCATCCACGCGGCAGACGGCTGATGTAAACATAGTAAATAGCTCATCCATCAGGTTCACAGAGTGCAGACACTACACTCTCATGAAGGCGGCAAAAACTACAACTTAAACATTTCAGTTAGGCCAGGTGAATGGGGTAAAATTACAGACAATCAAGTATTTTACAATGGTGACTTGTCAAGAGGCAACAAAACCGGCAATATAAAATACATAAATACACATATGAAATTAAGCACTTACCATTTTGCACAATGAGATAGATGAAGGCTAGTGAAAGATGTTTACAGCGATAAAATATACCAGACTATCAACAAATCCAACTGTGTAAATAGAAAAGGATGTGGTGCTGGTTGGTGTTACTAAAATAATGATGTAAAGTGTTTAGAATCCTCAAACAACAGAACAAAAATCTGGATTTAAAAGGGGCATGTTTGTGAACATAAACAAGTGTGACTGGTTTCAAAGAGCTGAGGAGTCAAAGAAAATATTTTGATTAGTTCTTCTGAGCGTATGTTGAAAGCACATTTATTTAACCATACGTGACAAATACATGGGCAAACCACGAGTTCGTAGTACTGGGTAGCCCATTTTGTTATGTGTGACATTTGGCGTGATTTAGAAGGAAATCTTCAGGATTTGCACACTATACAAAGGGCAATAACAGAGGAAGAGCCTCTCAGTGCTGTTGCGGTCAACGCTAGCTAAGGCCTTCTGAGTCTCTCACAATGGCAGATGGTTGAGCGAGAGAAAGGCCGATGGAAAAATCACTTCCAAATGTTTACCCTCTACAGTGAAGTGAAAGAAAGAAATCCTTCTCAGAGTGAGGCAAGAGGAGGTTGTCCAGCTCCAAACAAAGTCTGACCTAAGTGTCTCAGGCCTTTCTTTGATGTAGACTACAGCCATTTTGTCACCACAGGACACTCAGAGCAATGTCACAGCTCATAAGTGTTAATGTGCATGAGGAAACAGCACTGCACAGTGACAATCATTTTGACCAAACGCAGTTAAGTCATTGTAGCCCACATTAGATAGATGAGGTAATATACCTCTAAAAAAGTTCACCCCAGGTCACTGCCACTATGAGACACTTGCGGACCAACTTTTAGTACAGGGATGACAGGCAGTCTGGTGATGATACGCGGATAATGATGTTTTGGGGTTATTTTTAGCAGCATAGCACACCACCCTATGCACTTGCTTTCTTTTGCTTTATTCTAAATTCAGACCTGACAAGGTCATGCAGCAGCTGAAAAATGAGCGGAGACATAATATTAGTCCATTCAAACAGTTGATTTCAATTTTCCAGGCATTACATTCAGGTAATAGCTCATCAGTAGAGTACAATGAAGCCAAAATACAAATGTGTAGTGCAACTTCGCGGTCTGCATCATGCAAGAAGATGGGAAGTTAACTACAGGGTAGCAGAAGGATGTGTACACAAATAAGAGAAACATTATTTTAACTTCTTTTCAACTACAAAAAGGTTAAATGAGAATACATCAACCAAATGATAAGGCATTAGACTTGTTTAACATGATTGTAGACACACAACTAAATCTGTCAATGCTGTAGTGAAAGTGTTCAACATTTTATTTGAGCTCCTTCAGTATGGCTGTGTGCCATGGGCTAAAGGAGAAAGAGGGATTAGTGGAAAGTGCATGGTATGGGACATTTGAGTGTGCCCAAGCTTTTCAGAAGATGTAAAATGTCGAAAGAAAGTTGGATGTTAAAAACAGCCCAAGCAGTATATTTAAAAGATCATTTCTGATAAATATGGAGCAGTGACTTTTAAATGTCACTCCAGTTACTTTTTACAGCAAGGAAAATGTGAAGAGCAAGCAGTACCAACAGCCATTAGTGAAGCAGTTCATATAAACATCTTAAAAATAAAATAATAATTGAATAATAATAATAATAATAATGTGAATAATGTACTATTTAAATCAAAGATTTTGTTTGATGGACTGAATTGTTTCATGAAATTGGCACAAATTTGTTCATACAAATACACCAATAATAATATTTAGCCCAGGTTACTAAAACAACATTTTGTTTTGGTAGCAATCAGAGTGAGTGAAATCCAACATACCGCATTAGTGACGTCGATCTGGTAAACCTTCTCAAATGTATTCCGGTCAAAGAAAACCAGTTTGCCGTTTCCTTCGTCTTTCTTCACAGATGTTCCAGTAACAAGAAGTTTGTCGTCAGGGCTAAAGCAGCAATCAGTCCTAAGAAAAATAAGGGCATTTAGTTACATAATTCAGTCATTACTCAGTTAATTTTCTTACATTGAGAAGTAGTTTGTAAGTCCATTTGCCACATTCAATGGTTTCTTAAAGTTGCGCATATCCCATGTTTTTAGAGTGTCATCACCTAGAAACAAACAAAAAGCTTCTATATTATGCAGATCCTATATAATGCAAAATTATTGTGCAAGTCCTAGATTATGCCAAATTGACTTAGAATATAGTTGTAATATAGTTACCTCATCAAAAACATGCCTGGAGTTGTTGTTTTGTTTCATTCACATGTTTGCACTGTCTACATCTTCAAAGCTCAAAATGCTCTGTTCCACCTTGTGATTCCATGTGGTGGTAGTTTTCAAGTTAACATCTACCTTTTGTTTTTGTTTAACAGAGATTGGCGATTTCCTTGGGTGAAATGATCCAAATGATTTTAGTGAAAGTGTATGGACTTTAAAAACACAGTGGAGCACTTCATGTACTACCACAAAGTGGAGTGTTTACTGTCTGAGAAAAAAACTTAACCTAAATATGCAGGGTTTGTGTGTTAAACAAGTGTGAATGAAATAAAACACAACAATGTTTTTGATAAGGAAACAACATAACAACATAAATCAGAAAATTGTGTAATATGGGCCCTTTAAGAGTCCATGTAGATTTAACCGTCAATAAATTCTCCCACCTCCACGTGATGCCAGGGTCACACCATCATAAGAGAAGCTGATACAGGAGGTGTCCGAGCCAGGAATGTGGGCTTGTCTACAGTGGTACTTTGTGTGAACCTAGAAATAAAACATTCATTAGAATGTGAATACTGCAAAATCTGAAACAATTATGAAACAACAAACCAGTACATAAAACTGAAAAATAAAGTTTCTTGAACCTTTATTTTCCAGGCTGTGGTATAAAAACTGCCAACTCAGGAGCACATTTAACTCAATCAAGTTAATAGGACCATACATTCTGGTGGTCTGCAACACCACATGGTTTCAATTGTGCAAATGGTTTCTAACTGCTAAACTTGCACTATCCTCAACTGTATTCATCAGTTTATCTTTAGAAGGTACAGGCCGCAGACATTTACATTGGCAGACGGAGATTGTGCAGGTAATGGTTGAAATATCACTTTGCTCATATTTTAACACAGCAAGTAAAACACTTTTTCAATGTAGGCCTGATTTGATTTCTAATGTTTTAGTTTTACAAGTTTAAATAAAAGCTAGATGAATCAAACAGTAACACAGATAAAGAAATAAAAAAGCATTTTAAATGTAAACAGTTGTGCAGTGGAATCTTGTCACACTCTTTTACAGATGATAAACAATTATGATTCATGACGGTTCATGTCATTGAGGTTATCTATTGGGCACACAGAAGTTGCAGCTGACAGTTCTAAACGGTTTGCACTTGTATGTAAGGACACAGCTTCAGTATCATACCAGAAGTACTAGACTAGAAACTGCTCCTGGTCAGTGTAAGTGGGAGTCAATGATCCATTAAATTTCTAAGCAAAAGTTAAAAAAGGGACAGAAGGGAATTTGTAGTTTAACAACATTCTACTCTTTTCATCATTTTTATCATCAGAGTTCCCTACAGCAAGCCAATCCCAATTTTGAACATCAGAGCGCTTCCTGTCAAAACCAACAACAATTCTGCCCTTATAACCATTTGCTCCACACATACAGCACGAGTGTTCACGTCTAATGTTACGCTGCTTGGCTGTGACTGTGTCTATCAGCATGTAATACTGAAAACCAAGTCGACACACTGGCATTTAAGTGGTGGGTCATTGTAAAGACTTGTTTCATGAGCCCACTGGGTTTATTTGCACTTTCTCTGAGTTTTACCATTAAACAAAAATGTTGAAATGTTTAAAACTATCTGGAGTAATTCAAACATTTCACACAAGACTTTCATGTCTCTGTATGATTCAGTATTTTGCTTCTGTGCACTGTAGTGACTACAGTGTCCTGGATTCCATCATCAGGTAGAATGGATCGGACTGTGTTCACTTTGAATACTTGAGTAGAGTCTGTAAATAACAACCTGCTCTTACACAGACTACCTGTGATGTAACATTTTTGCACAGATAAGTACTCTGGATGTTGTATACATTTTTATGAAAATGTGAAAATGCATACATGTTCCATACAGCTTCTTGTGCTATGTTTCTGTTGCACTTGGTCACCCGAGCTATTGATTAAGAGATCAATCGCTGCTATAGACTGATGAAGCAACACTATGTGAGGTGGAATTGATAACACACAAAACAAATATAACCCTGGTTTCTACAGCTGCACTTTTATTAATCCCAAATGGAATGCAAATAAATGGGAGAAAGGAGAATTGCGGCAAGGTAGGCCTTTCAGAGCACGGATAAGAAAATGTGTGTGTGCGCAGTGTGTGGAAGAGAGATAAGACTGAAAAAGAATGGCCAAAAGAGAGGAAGACAAGAGTGAGGCATGATGGGAATAAGCAATGTGTCCTCATAAGACACACACTACAGACAGCACTTTGCAGTGTTAAGTGGAGGGAAGTTATTAACTTGGCAGAGACAGATAAAGTTGTTACCTTGAACTGCAGATAACATGTGTTCCTCCTAAGGCCTAGGCCACTTAGTTGTTGAGGTCCTCCAGGGAGCACCACCACCTTCCACTATCATCAAACCTAAATGACTTTAGGCCCCATCCATTTTCTCTGGTGTAATCTCAGATTATTATCAGCACTTTCTTTTATTCACTACATTAAATTGACATAGCTGAGCAATAAATGTCAGGAGTTCAATTTAACATCAAAGGATTTTGTAATATTACAGCAGGTGGAGACCATTCAAGAGTGAAGAATAGAGGCAGGCAGTTACACAAAACACCAACCTGTAGCACCAATAGTGATGGCAACAATATGGGTGGAGCCGCGGACTCTGGACAGGAGGGTATGCTGATGATGTTAAAGCCATATCATAGCGCAATGAACGGCTGGACAAAGCTCATATCTCAATACAAGATTATTCTGAAGCCCAGAATAATGCATAAAACAAATGAAAATAAATATAAATGTTGTTACTACACAATTATTGGCTTAAGTCAACATTATTAATGCACTACTTCAGTCTGGGATTTCAGGAAAGCCAAAGACATTCTGATGTCAGCTGGTGAGAAATTTATGATTTTATTTTGGACTATCAATCAGTGTCTGGACATGTCTTTTTCTTTTATCTTTAGACTTAAACATAATACTTTAGCAATGGAGATGAAACACAAGTAATCAAACCTGCCACAGAAAGACGGTTGACAATGATTAGCACTTCAACAAGCAGTGTCGTTTTAGGTTACATCCGTTTGTTCTGTCTATTGCAAACATACACCCACTCCAGCTATTTCTAGATGGCCTACTGCTGTTGCTTAAGCTTAAGTGTTTATTTACTATGATGATGTTGGCTGCCACTAGTGGATGCCATGGAGTTTGTTTCCTGTGTAAATCTACACAGAGGACTGTGAAACTAAAATCATAGGCTCCATTTCAAACTGCAATGCCTTGAAAAGGAATACTTAGAAAGTACTACTTCAAGTCACTGTTAATTTAGTGATCAACTAAAGGTAAACTGTACCAGGTGAGAATTTGTATTAACAAGAAAAGAGTGCAAATGCATTTTAGGAAAAAAAAAATAATTTTTTTTTACCTTTAATTTCAACCAAACTGTTTATTCAAAAAGTCTAGGTCATAATTTGACGAGTTAATGTTAATTAGTGGATAACATTCATAAGAATATCAGATGTAATAATTTCTTCCGAGTCCACCACAAGCCTGTCACTCTCTGATCACTCTGGCCGACATTACAGAAATACTGCATCTCTATACTCTTGGCACCTGAGACACTGTCCACTGTGCAGCCTGTGGGACCATCCCACTCTGACCTCTGCTACTTTCAGAGGATCGAGTGGCCAAACTGTAGTCCAACAACAGCTGCTCTGATCTTTCACAGAAATCAACAAGTGGTGATGGCGACGCTGGGCCTGCACACCCAAGTAGGGTCCCGTAACTTTTAAGCTGTTCTCATCGGCATGATGGGCATTTAGCTATGCATTGTTTTGAGGACATAAAACACATTCAAATGAAATGGCAGACCCGGTATTTGTAGCCAAATGCCCATAAATGATTCTGCTATTTTCTAATCCCTTGATAATCATGTAAACAAGTTGACAAGAACACTGATTAACAGACAGATTTTATTTAACAAATCTGTTTGATAAAAAAAGGACCAAAATATTTTGGAGCAGTAGCTTTGGCCAAAATAAACTTTGCATTCATCTGAGATTCTCATCTCCACTGGTTCTCAAACAAAGGCCCATTTGGTTCCTGAGCTCCACAGTGTGCTATGGCCTGTTGTAAGGTATGAGCTCCTGTTTGGTGGTATACAATTACTCACTATTGTACATTGGTCAATTCAAGTCATTATAATATATAATGCCAATTTTTTTTTATATATATATATAACACTTGTTTCAGTCAGGGTTCATGGGAGCAACAACTCTGCCATTCTGCCTTTCATCTGCACTTCTGTAGTTGCACTTGAAGTCTGAAGATGTCATAGCATTCTTATGATTTCTGAGGTGATTCTTTGGAAAGTCCTAAAAACAACAGCTCACAGTATTATGCAGTTCACATTTCAAGGAACTTGTGTAGTTTTGTGCTGACCCTTTGGGTCTGAGAGTATGCAATCACTCTGTCTTTATCAATCTGCTAAGAGAGAGGTCAGTGCGCTCATGTGGTGGTTGAAGAGCATGGTGTGTCATCCTCAATAGCTTGTTCAAAGCTGAGACTTAGTCCAAGGTCATGTCCATGTTTGATCATGATTGATCAGCTGCATATTCTGCCCATGACGAACAGAGCTCATACAACAGAGGAGTCGGCAGCTGTACCAGCACCAAGAGGTCAGCTCCTTTTTAGGCTAATGGCACAACCCAAGTCAGTGGTACACATTGATGCTAGTGGGAGAGGGCAGAAAAATTTGAGTCATTCAGACAGAACAGGCTCCGGTGGTCAGGGAGCAGATATGGAGTAAACTACAGTATGCATCAAGACTCAGTAATGTGGAGAAGAGGCAATACATTGTGCCAGTTAGCGCAATTCTGTTTCACCTTGGTACAGGGTACAAGGGTAGTAATGGTGGTATTAATGAGCAGAGAATTAAGGAGCTACCAAGTTAGAGGGAAAAAAAGATCCCAAACAGCCACAGTGCCAAATGCCTAAGAACACGGAAAGAACAGTAGCAAATGGAACATAAGGATAATGTCATTCAATCGGTTGCCTACAAACAATGTTAAATTACTATACCTCATGAATCTCCCAAAGAAGTGTATCTAATAAACTGTAGAAAAGCTTAAAATGCTGATTGCACAAAGAACAACACAGTGTAATCTTCCACTCTGCTCAGACACTGGACACAGATGTGTCTGTTTAAACCCAGCTAAACACAGGCTGACGGATCGCCTTCCAGACATGAATAAAAAATTGCATGTCTAAACCATTCAAGCCCCAAATATCTACTGTTGTTTTATCCTGTAATAATTTATCAAATGACTCAAGTCAAAGCAGACAAATGCTTAGCACCCAGTGCTGGTTCAAGCCAAAATCAACAGTTGTCAACAAGGCAGATCTTTGGGAACGGAATGTTCTTAAATATATTCAGAATTATCTAGTAGTAATAATAGTAATATTAATAACTATTTATATTGCACATTTGTTAAAAGAGTTCTTTCAGAGTGCTTTCTATATAACTGTGTCTTTTAATTTAGATTCCGAAGTTCCTACAGAATCAACTGTTCCTCAAGTAGGAAACTCCAGAACTTTGGGGCTCTGATAGAGAAGGCTTGGTCCCCTCTGGTCTAGAGTCGAGTGTGGGGGGTTAATGTTATTAATAACATTAACAACATGAAAATCTATGTACAATAAAAAAAAAATTCCAAAGATATTTAGTACAACATGGAATATGGGCAAAACAGGTCTAAAATGACCATTTTGGCAACCTTTTCCCATCACATACTGTTACATTCGATCTTTGTTTGACTGTAATCATTGTGTCATATGTGTTCAGAAACCTCTATTTGCTGCAGTTTAAAATACAGAAGTCATTTTGGTCTTAAACAGAACATTTGCTGTGAGGGAAATTACTTCATACACTTCAAATCAGAGCTGAAGAATTCAAATTAAATCACATAGAATTCTATGTAAATTCTACACTTTTGATATGAGGTTTGTAAATATTCTCTTCATGAGCTGTCTATAAGATACAGTGGTCATTTTGGTCTTAATCTGAAGCTAAATATAGAAGGAAGTTTTTATTGTAAAAAGTATCAAAAGTTGGAATAAAATATAATAATCTGCCACAAACAGTCCAAAGTCTATGACTAAGGGAAGTTCATATTTTCTGATAGGTCTGATTTTGACCAACGCCCCTTTTAAACCCTCAAAACTCATTTTAAAAGATACAAGATTTTAATTATTCAGAGTTTGAATAAAATCCATGAAAGGTAAGTTTAATTTTTATCCTGAAATCTGGTAGTTTCCCATGAAATGGCCCCATATGCTTTCTATGTCCAAATGACTGAGAATTCTATCCATCAGTTTGGGGGTGTAGAACATTATTTCTGTTAGCGCAGGACAACTATGTGACACTATGTGACTATAACAGCACTTTTAACAGACTCATATAAGGTGGGTCCCACAAATGGGGTTTAGGGAGTCCTGACACTGAACGGGTCCAAGCTGAAACAAAAGATCCCAAACTCATAATGTCCCAAGGTGTGCATCATAGTAAGAAAAAGGTAGCAAAATAATGGCAGTAAAAGGGTCTGGTTCCTGGACTACAATACAGATCAGAGTCAGCCATTGGTAATATATTGTAACTCAGCTATAGCATCAGTTTATTTATTTATCTGCCATGTTAGTTTTTCTCAAAGGTTTAACAAAAAGACTACACAAAGCCCCTGGCTGGTTTGGGTAGTACATGTATAACTAGAAAAGCACTCAGAGAGCGCAGACCTCCGCCAAGGACTACCCCCATTTTTTATATAAATTGCGATAAAATCAGTCTTCTGGATCAGATCCGGATCAGCCTTTGAAAAATGAAAGAGGATCCCATTGTCCATCCCTGAGTCAAATTTCATGGGGTTTGGTCAATAATTAACCGAGATATTGAGAAACAAAATTTTTGGCCCCATTTACCACAATGTTAACTAAAATTTCAAAGTGATCCAGAATCCAGGGTTTCTTACGGATCACCCCCAAAATGAAATCAGTTCTTCCTTTTCACATTTCCAACAAATCCTGAAAATTTCATCAAAATTGGTCCATAACTTTTTGAGTTATGTTGCTAACAGACAAACAAACAAACAAACAGACAAACGCCGGCAAAAACATAACCTCCTTGGCGGAGGTAATAATACAACACATTGTTTTGGTTAGAAGATTTGAGATATAAACATTTTACCCTCTGGTCAATGTTAAAACTGAACTGTGACGCTCTGACCTGTGACCTGTGGGTTCTGACTCTTTGGTTCCGGTCATAACAAAGCCTTCTCCATGCAGTCTGACCCATGTGTGTGGTGCATGTGTGGTACATGTGGGACTCACACTTAAGTTTCTGTCCCAGATCTGGATGCTGCCATCCTGGCATCCAGCTGCCACAAGCCTCCCATCTCGACTGTAGGTGCAGCAGATGGGGATCACCTTCTTCCCCTGGAAGGAGCGTGGTTTGAACACTGCTTTGTGCTGCTTCTCCTTGTTCACATCCCAAGTACGCACAGTTCTGTAAATAAACAGGAATTAAAATGTTTTTCTTTAAAAAAAATGTAAGTGTGTTTTGTGTAACTAAACCATTTTAACAAAAGGCCACTGGGCATGGTAGAATATCGAGGACCAATGCAGACTGAAAACAGGTGTCACAAATTTCAAAAGAGAACAGAAAGTGCAACACCACGATATAAAAGATAAAGCATAAGTTAGAAGACTGGTCATTTCACCTTTGACTTGGTCTGAGAGATGTTGGAGAAATCAACTAGTCCGCCATGTTTTTACAAAAAACTACAGAAAACATGGGTGAAATTATTAGTATGTTGTATTAACATTTTGTTGTTGTTGTTAATGCAACCTCTCACTTTGCAGACATGACACATGTTTGAGATGCAGTTGTTTGGTGAGCACCCTGACCTTGTGTCACCAGGTCAGCAGAGAAGTATAAACAAACTGGGAGCTCTGCTACTAACAGCTATCAGCCCAGACCACTGCAAAGTTCACAGACACTCAAGTGTGTTTGGAGAAGTCCTACATCGTGAGACAGAAGACTGAAGACACATGCTCAAAGGGAAACATTGGGATAGGACATTTTACACTTGGATCCATAGATGAGATGAGAAGACCACACAATGCAGATTAATTAAAGCTAAACTAGTTCTCTGTATTGTTTAAATTGTAAGCTATAAATACTGCTCAGGACTAAACACCCATCAAGTCAACAAAACTTTTTTGCACAACTTGAATGAATAATGACAATAAAGACATACTAAAGTATAGCTCTGTCAGGCATCAGGAAAAATACGACTGCAAGCACTCACCTGTCAACTAGATGAGACTGTGCAAGGAAATAGAAGAGACACTATGGCTTAAAACGGGTGCTGCTTTGAAAATTAAGGACAACTTACAGAGACAACAACTACAGTTTTCCCAAGTACTCCTCCTGAGTTGAGTTAGCCAATATGCTTACAGGAATAAGCTGCCTGACCTGGTTTGAAAATGTGAAAAAAAGTTTTGTTTGCTCCAACTTTGTTTTCAGTTCAATCAGCAGCTCTCTTTTCAGTGAGGTGAATGTAATAAAATGAGACCTATACATTGGCACTCATGCGTGTGCTCTTTATGGCGTAGCGCGGGGTTCACACATTGACTGAGGAGTGACAGCTCTCCCAGCCCCAGATCCTATCTACGAGCGTTGTTATAGGGCCAGTCAGACCAGTGGTCTCTAGGACTGTTTTCCCAGATGATGAGATAAAGAAGAGCAAGATGTATGTGTTGTATAAGGTTGTTTAAAGCCCAGATCCTTGGGATGGGGCCAGGCTGTGCTGGTTCTTAGCTGGTTGACTGACTAACTGGGTTTTGTTACAAAGAGAGGAGGATGAGGCAGTCGTATTAGCATTGCTGAGGAAGATAAAGTCTTTGGTAAGGGGGGGAAAGAGTTGAAGTCATGCATAAAGCACAAGTGTGACTGCAAGCAAGATGGACGAACAGAAAAAAGCCATGTGAAGGAGGGAGACCACACATTATACTTGTCAAAACCGTAGGCCATCAGGTACAACATATGAATTGTTGAAGCCAAACACTATTCATTTTGTGTTGCAAGCCTGAGAAACACCCTATTTAGAGTGAGTTAAAAAAGTTATTTTTCTAAACACAACTTATGGGACACTACCGGCATTTAGCACACAGACATGCTAGAGGAGAAGGAGAGGAGGGCAGTCTTCAGTTGTAAGTAATAGTAGTAATGTCTTAGTAGTATTTTTATTTTCATGGAGTAAGAGAGCAATAAAAAGAGTTTTCCAAGGACCATATAAAAATGGAAAAAAGGAATACACAAACAGCGTAAACTCAAGTGGTGTTGTGGATACATTTGGAATAGAAGCTGCACACTCAGAATTTGTTTAATGACTTGTTTGAGAAGGATGAGTCATTTTTCAGTCCTCCCAAACTTCTCTTTACGTGTTTAGTTTAAACAGACTAATTTGTTTGGGAGCAGTTAAATGACCTCTGATGTCCTGTATGCAACTATCCAGCTGTAGTCTGACTCTGAGCCAACTCCAAGGGAATCCCAGGCATTCAGAAGACCTGGAAACATTCCACTAACTGAGTATTTGAGTGTAGTGCATGCACAAGTGCGTCTCAGGATCTGACAGAGATAACATGTGGGCCCAATTACAAAGTCGTCTTATGGCCTGTCCTCTGCTCCACCACAGTCTGAAATGTAAGTCACAAGAAGAGCATAACAGAATTTGGATTGTTCTTTTGGGGAGTGATAAAAGTACATGCAATAAAACTAAAAAAATGGCTCTGTCACATCAGCGAAGCCTGCATCTTGTCACATTTGATACACTGTGCTTTTGTTTCTTCAGTTATTTTGCCACAGCAGACAAAAAATACAGCTTAGCAAAAAAAAAAAGTTTTAACAGATGACGAAAAAAGTAATGGGTGTCCACTTTGTATCTGACCATTATTCATGTGGCAATTAGTCAACAAAAAATAGTTTGTAGGATTTCCCAACTGCCCATGCATTAATGCATTCCAACGCTGAACAAATGAACATACACAATAATTGCCTGCTCCCTGCTGCTGCATTATGAAGATACAACATCCGTGCTTCCTTCTCATGCTCTTCCTCTTTGCCTAAGACTGTGGGTTATTGAAATGATTCAAAAAGCTTGAGGTTCTGAAAGGGATTCTTTCAGCATGAGGATCCTTAATGAAGAAGTGGACTGGTTCACTGATCATACTTAATAAGCCTTTCAAATAAACAGCACAAGTCTAAAAGAAAAGCAAAGGAACTCTAGTGTGGCATTTTAGCAACAGGCTCAAAGCAGAAATTATGGACATTACGTTCATCATTCAAGAATGTAGTTTAAAAACATTTATGCCTAAAGAGAAAAAAAGAAAAATCTTGCCTAATCCAAATTTATAATGAATATTTCCATTTCTGTCCTCAAGTCACTGATTGTCTGTTTAAGCTCAACACCTTTCTTTGAGCAGGTCATGGCGTAAAAAGGTTGTCAAAACCAGGACATGACCTGGTAACGTAATGCTCCTGATCAGGACAAAATCAGCAGAGAACTCACTGTGTAACACACTCTTTGACTAACTGGAGCATCAGTAATCTGTGTGGACATAAAGCCCAGCTATATCCTCAGGTTGTCCATGAGGTTAAGTATAATACATGACCATAATCCCAAAAGGTTCAGAAGGGAAAGGGCACAAGGCTCTAGGCCCTGTCCCTGCTGCTTTATACCAGCAAAGCAGATGTATAATACAACCCAGTCTGAGAGCTGGTCCACTCCATCTCTTTTCCACTGGGACCGTGCCAGATATGACAATTTGTACAAGAATTTAATAAAAAATAAAAACGTGTCATATTTTTATTTGTCCCTTAATAACTAACAAGTTCTGGCCATATGATTGTCAAGTACCATTTATGGAACAACCTCAACATAATTATGTCTCATCTGCTTCCCATATCACACCAGGAAGCAAATTGATAAACTTAACCAAAATTGCCAAATGGAAAAACTAGGTAAGATTGTTAAATACAATTATGAAGCATTTTAGTCAAATAAATAAATAGTCCAATATGTCATATGCCTTATATGTCATAAAGTAACAAAAGATGTTGCAGGGGAAAATTAACCCCTTCCTTTCTCTCATTGCAACCACTTGCCACCTCTTGAACTTGTGGACTTTCTCGGCTACAGCTGCCTGCTCGTCAATGGCTTCCTGTGCGCTGAGTCGAGTTGTCCCGAGTCAACACCCAGCGCTAACGTGCCAGGGGAGGATTTCCAGAGCCTTGACTACGGGCCAAATAAACCAGCCGCATCTGGGAGTGCAGTGCGGCTGGTAAACACAGAACAGCCCACAAAGCCAAGTGTTCGTTTCAGTGATGGTTCGAGTGGGGTTTCTGCTATGCTGCCTGTCGCACCCACTTACAGTCATCACAGCATTTTCACTTATGGACCAACATGCATGCTCCCTTACACCTATACACAGGCCATGGCTTCTACAGTGGTGAGGAGTGAAAATATGTATGATGATGTTGTGTGGTATTGTTAATAACAGAAGCTGTGAACATGTATAGGGCAAGTGATTTCTTTAAACAGGGTTCCTACAGGTTTCTTCAAGTTAAATTCAAGTCTTTTAAAAGACTTTTTAAGACCCTTTTAAAAAATATATATATTTCATGGCCTATTTCATAGATCTACCCGAAATGAAAAACTAAATTCTTGAATTTCTGTTTATTAATTTCTCAAACAAATGTGAAAATGTGAAATGGGTTAAGGATGATTGAAGAATGGTGTAACCTCATTGCAGCATAGTAGTGAGTGCTCACGCTACAACACCACAGCACAGACAACCAGCCAAACAGAGGGGTGAAAAATCAAAGAAAATTCAGCAGACCATAATAAAGTTTGACTAAAGGCCACCAAACACTACAGGATTTTTCAAATTTTAAATGTGCGACAAAAAACTCACACCGCAGACACAAGGAGAATCTTATGAGACTTTAAATCTCCGATCACAAAGACTGCTACGGGATATGGCTGCGTACCATAGGCTATAAACAGGCATGAAAACCGGTTGGGGTGAAAAAGGTGAGAAGGGTGCGCGAGCGGCGACATGGCCTCTGGTGTGTGTGTGTGTTTTTCGATTAACTGACTAATCTATCAAGTTTTTCAATTAATCGGTTAATTACATTATAACTTTTAAATGACTTTTTATAGAGCAGTTTGCTCCAAATTTTCCATAATGGTTCATCCTGTTGTTTTTAGTTAGACTAATAATTGTGGTGCTGTAGCACGTGATCTTCAGTGATGTGTTTGGAGTATTTTGACACGGGGTTGCGTTGCGTTCTCAATTATTGGTTCCGCCACTCTTTATTTAGGCTGTTATTTAACTGAATAATGATGGCTTGCAAATTAAACTTTTAAAAAGAAAGGAGATACAGAACACTTACATACTGCACACATTTTAAGATCCAGATATTAAACTTCAACACTTTTTCAATTTTTAAAAGGTTAAAAAGGTATTTCCAAATTCATAAATTCAATGCTTTAAAAGACTTTTTAAGACACCATGGGAACCCGGTTTAGAACATCTTGTATTAACAGTTCATCAGTAATAAATTTGAAGTGGGTAACAACTAACACTAAACTACTTACTTATCTGTTTTGAACTGAAATCATAATGACTGCAAATCACAAATATGATACACATAATAATTTAGATAATTATTCAGACAATGGTCTCTTGCATATTTGTGACATGCAAGTAAAAAATTAAAACAGAAAAAATAACTAGATCTAAACAGTGTGTGTTGAAAAGATGTGGTAAAATGGCCCACACAACATAGAATCTATAAAGCCAAACTGAAGCTCTGCACACCTGACTGGCTTAATAATGTAGTAAATGAAAACTCACCCATCATTGGAGCAGGTCATAAACTCCTCTTTAATTTTTGGATGCCAGCAGCCACAATTTAGCATCGCCGTGTGGCCCTAAAAAGAACAGAGAAAGAGAAAATCAGCTTAGAACATAGTTAACGAGCATTGACAGTTAATGTGTGCAGACCCCAGGCGTCAAGGTAAGCTGAGGTATCACACACTCTGAGAATCATTAGGATTGAATTAGATCCAGTCAAGAAAATATATGCGTTGCATTTTGTACAAGCTAGGCAATTGTTTGTAAAGTAGTTTGGTAATGAGCACATGTTACTAATAGAAGATGAAGGCAATTGCAAAAAGAAGCTGAAATAAGTTCTTCATAGCAGAAATGACCTTAAACTGAGCCAGTTTCTTTGAGCAGATACCTTAAGTTCTGGGTCAATACCCCAAACAGCGAGCTCCCTGTAGAGTCAACATAAGCCAGTGTTCCTGCTGAAAAACTCATGTGGAGAAAGACTGAAAACAAATAATTTTAAAGTGCGCTGGCCCAGCAAGAGCCCCAGTGCTCTGCCAGGTTAGAGAGGAAGCACTGTAGTAGTGTGCAAGAGGCTGCAAACATGACATACCGCTATTTGACAGGATCCTTCAGAACCTCACAGGAGCAGACATTGCCAAATGACATTGGTATGTCAGCAGAGGAAAGACAAAACTGTCTGTTTACCCGTTCTCAAAGAAAACCACTTTATGGTCAGTAAAAGTCATGACGAAGTAATACACTTTAATGAGCAAAAAGCCCTTTGGTTGTAAGATGTTAAAGTACTGAATCTTATACCACCAAATATATAGTGTATGTGTTTAACATATCAACACCTTAAACTTTAACTCTGACGATACTTCCAAGAAAGCCTCTTGAAAAACACAGAACATCTACATTGTCATATGATTTTCAATGAGTTACACAGAATAGTTATCAAAAGATAAAAAGCCGTGTTACAGCACCGGTACTAGACATGGATGTTTTAAGCATGCAATACATTTTCACTGAACCCAATACCAATCAGCTCCAGATGGACACAAACAAAGGAAGAATGCAGGACATCCAAGAAAACACTACTGGCAACCAATGGACCTTCACGTTCAGCTAATTCATATGGGTGGTATAAACCATGTCTAAATGCAACACAGCTGCTGCAGATGGTTAGTGACCACCAATAAAGCTTCCCCAAACACATTTAAATCTTAACATGGACACTTCATTATGACTGCCCTTTGTAGACCCAGGTACAAGCAAGACATGAACCATGGCAGCTTTTGGTGTTCACCCCCCCCCCCCGAGAGCCTGCTTCTGGGCCCACTGCATGAGCCATTATCCCACATCCAAACACTCACAGCTCACAGCAGTGCTCCAATTATGCATTGGCAACATTTAAAAGCGGTGCAAAACAAGAGAGGACTGTGGATCTTTTAATTTTCTCTTCAACTCACTTGTCATAGGATCTTTATATGTGTTTAATTTATGTGTGTGGATTTTTTGTCATGTGCAATAAATGTGCAACTAAATCTAACAGATTAAAAAATAATACGTTCCTCCCCGCTTAAAGTAATGATTACTACAATTGTTAAATTACAAGACGAAAACACACTAAATTTCCACATACATACATACATTTAAAGGAAGTTCACAGAAGTATACCTTTGTGTTGGCCATATCCACAATGTACTGGTCTCCTTTTATACACTCCATGACATTGAAGCCATCCCGGTCCAACACCTTGGCTTGGGCATTACCAGAAACCACCAAGATCACATCTCCTGTGATACTGTATTGTAGTGACTTTATTTGATGGCTGTAGTAAAATGACACATAAAAATTATGTTTTAGACAAATTTGACAATCCTGCAAGTGTCTGGTGAATGCACTAGGACTAGGAAGTTACTTTCAAAATAATCATAAGCCTCTTTTAGAAATGTAATTGTTAACTGAACTATACAGGTTCTAGAGCACACGCTCTAGAACCTGTATAGACAATCTCCAACAAAGCTAATGTTGTAGTATAAAAATGTCAAACAAACAAACAAACAAAAATAAATTAAGATTTTCATTAATATTACACTTTATTCTTAAATATGGTTTATCTAGAAGCCTTCAGTAACCACTTATTTGTTAAAAATGTATTTAAAAAATTCAACACCAACAGGTTGACTAATAATAATAAGTACCTGCAGGCTAGTCAACTAATAAAATAATTGTTAGACCTACCTTTTATACCTAGATGGTAGAAACTCAAATCATTGTTGTTCAAGATATATATTATGTTTATATTATGTTTCTTAATATCTGATGTACATCATAAGATCTAGGGGTGGGCGATATATGGATATTTTAAATATATCGAGATAGTTTTTAAACTCGATATGAATTCTGACATATCGTATATATCGATATAATGCTTATATTCAATTCTGATTTTGCCGCTTCGCTTGTTTACCTTCTCTCTCGTCGCCTCCGGGCGCTCCCGCCTCCCTGATTTTGTTCGCTCGTGTCTCCTTCACTCCTCACTATCGCCCTGAACGCCAAAAGTTGGTGCCAGTGAAAAGCTTCAAGCACCACGAACCTTGTCCATCATTTACAGACAAACCATCAGCAGCACATCCTCATATTCCACCGAGTCGCGTCCTTTAGCCCGAAAGAAGCTAAACGAGCTGAGCTGCATGAGAAGTGCGCTGTTTATGCAAATGAGTCATGCACTTAAGTTTCGTTTCTGTAAAATGTAAACACATGTGCGCAAAACTGCATTAAACACATTATTATCTCAAACGGGCTGATGTGGCTCTATAGTCGTTATCCTTTATATCTTGTAAAGTTTAACAATGTAAAGTTTATTTATGCAGAATATTTTAATTAATAATCTGCTGTAGTGTCACTTGTACAATAGTATTTGGAAACGTTGGGTTTGATCTGCAGTGGATTGTGGGATTAAACCTCAGAACTCCTTACTGCTGGATAATAACATGGATCTATTAAAATAAGGAATATCCCGAGCTTCCTCTGCTAAATGAGCTCATGGTTCTGGTTCTGGTTTGGATAACAGAGTTAATGCAAAGATGAGCTTGTGTTGAGTTGTTTTATTTATGAATGAAAAGAAGGAAATATGTATTATTTATTTTATTTTACAGTTAAATTATTATTTATGTAATTAGGGTTTTTTGTAATCTTAAATGTTCCTATATGAACTGCCAACCTCTTACACTTCAATAAAAAAAAAAGACCTTGTGGAATTTGGCAGATTTGTTTTTGCAGTTTTCAGTTTTAGGGGGTTATTTTTTCTTGAACATATATCGAGATATATATCGTATATCGAGATATAGCAAAATATATCGAGATATATTTTTTGATCCATATCGCCCAGCCCTAATAAGATCCATCAGATCCATTCATCACATGAACCTTTCGATCTTCTATGAAGTTTGTTAGTATCCTGGTGTATTGTTAATTTCAAAGTTAATTTATTTATTTATGAATTTAAAATTATATTAGGCTCATGTGCAATTTTTGCCGTAAAGTATGCAAATCAACAATCACAGCGCTTGCAGTCCTCAGTCCTTTTTGGACGAGGGCCAAAGTCCATACAGTGCACGCTGTATAAGTATAAAACATGTATAAACTAATCTTTACACAGAAATCAAACTAAATAGAATAAGAGTCCTTCTTCTGCCCAGTAGGGCTCATTTTAAAACAAATTTCTTACAGATTTTGGTTAAATTTTAAAGGGGCAAGATCTGGATGTTCATTAGCATTTCTTAAGTTTTAAATACGTAACAAAGGCTGGCATACCAAATGTATAGGTACTTAAGTGGAAGACTCTGGGACATCCCACTAAGGTTTTCAATAGCAAGAAAGAAAAGTAATATTGTGCCTTCAGTGAAGGCCATAATAAACAGAAGCATACACAAATGCTTACAGATCTCAACCATCTGCTTATGTTGCGCTGGGCTCATTTGACTAAATGGTCAGGATGTCCACAAGTCAACATGAAGCCTGATTAAGTACAACAGTATGTGTGTAAATAAATGCACTGGATGTCCTAAATGTTTACATGAATCAAGTTCCCCACATGTTGAACAACTGTGTTGATGTTACCCATATACAAGGGAACTGACTCACCACTCACAAGGCTGCAGAGTCCTGAAGGCCTGGAGTGTCTGATCCATACCGGCAAAATCCCAGAAGCGCACATCAAAGTCATATCCCCCGGACACCAGTCGGGCTCCAGAGGGATCCAACCCAAGGGCCGAAACCTGAGAAAGAGGTATCACTTAGGGTTTAGTGCAATCAATATTTTGTCATTCACTCACAGTTGTTTGATGCTTAAATTTAATGACTTACTTACTGAAGAAAATGCATTTGTGTCTAGATGACTTTTGCTTTTAACTTACTGTTTTGGTGCCATGTTGTAATGTGATCTCATGAGTGTCTGGAATCTTTTTAACTGGATCCTAAGAATACGAAAAGAAATTATGTTTTATTTTCAGAGACGTCACAGGTTTATTAGCTCATGAGAGCTTAATCTCAACTAGTTACTCTTAACGCTCTTTGATCAGCAATACGCAGACTTTAAAAGAGGTAAAACATTTGTTTTGTATTATTGTGCTGCCATCTAGTGGCAACATAGACTACCTATCCTCGCCACGCCACCACAAGAATTTTAAACTTTTTTGTTGGTGTAAAACTGTGTTTAGGCACAGAAAAGAAACTGAAGTTTCATACATACATCTTCATCTTGAGCTTCACCTTCGTCCTCCTCATCTTCATCACTGTGGGCTATGCTGCCTGTATACCCTGGAGGAAGAGGTGGCCCCACAAGCTCCTCATCCTCAGGCTTGTACTGGGGAGGCAGCGGAGGACCAATTTCAGATTCACTGTTGCTGTCGCTACTGCTGTCACTTTGTTTTCTTAAATAAGAAGAAAAAACAAATATAATTAAAAGTTTACAACATTAAATAATACGCTATTTATTGAAGAATTCGACAACCTTGAACATGCAACTTTGCTCTTTAGCGTATTCTTCAAAGAATGTGAGCTTTCCCCTTGATCTTTCGTTTGACTGTCCTTCTCCCTTTCCTCTATGTAACAAAGTCAAATTAGCCATCGAAGACAGTAATCTGATAACAAAAATCATCGTATTGCTTTACCTAAAACGCGCTGGCTCCTTTCTACAGCTGTACGTCGAGTTTGTTCGAAGATGGCATCGAGATCAAAAGTTCGTGCCTTCTTACCTTACATAAACAGGATGAAGAGTTTGTTATTAACTCAAACATGTAAATTTATTGAAACGATCCAAGTATCCTTGAAATTAATTTAAAGAACATACCAAACCCTGAGAACCCCATTACAGATGCAATGTCTCCATCAGGACTCGGTGCTGGTGGTGCAAAACAAAAGTTAATAAACTTTAATAGGCATAAACAGGACCGTAGCCTGACAAAATAATATAGTTTGATTTAACTTTATAGCGGTGATATCATATAAATACGACATGTTAGAGATCATGGAAATATAGATCCATGGTAGAGAAGATGCAAATTATACAGCAAGGGAGACATGGGAGCATTTTGCCTTTGTTTAACTTCATCTAAGTTAGCCGTTAGCGTTAATTGTCTTGCTAAATCCTAAAGCCTAATACCCTATTTACGATGAAAAGGTGCAAAAAAACAAAAACAAACAAGAAATGTAAGAATATTATCAGAAATGCTACCTTCATTAGCATCCATATTTTCGAATCTTGAAGACTACCTTTGACCCCGGAAACATTTCTTCTGCTACCGTTCTTGTTGGCGACCGTAGATCGGATTGAGTGCGCCACCTTATGTTCATAATTAGGTACATTCAGCAGAGCTATTTCATGCGAAATTGTGAAACATGTTTTTGTATAAAAGTCTAATTTATTTATAGAACTCATAGTGTCATGGCTAAATAAAAATATCGAACATGTCCAAAAGCCCCAAAATAGCACAAGAATAATAAAAAATAATTTGTATTGAAAGATAAATTAATTCTTATTGATTGCATTGCATACACAAATGTGATCAACATATATATCTGAAGTGATTTCACATTTAGGCATAAGTGATGCTTACAAAATTTACTAAAGATATTTAGGTTTCTTCTGCCACCATCCTCTCAATTGCAGCCCAGTCAATTTTACTGACGTTGCTGCTTCCAGTTTCAGAAAGATTATCCAGCCAGTCCCACTGTGTGTCACCACCTATGGAATTGTCCTGCTCCTCTTGTCTATACTCCAGCCCAGGTACATTCTAAAAGAATCACAGAGACAGGTAATATGACATAAATGTAAATCATTGTCTATACATTTTTATACTTGTATCAAATAAATCCCAAATATTTTACTCAAATGAATAAGTCTTACAAGGTGAGACGCATCTCTCTCTGTATATATTTTGAATGTCCCGTGAGGGTTTTCAGTTTTATTTGGATGGTCTCTTTTGAAAGCAGTTGACCTGGAAGGACTTCTACTTTTTATTTTGTCATTTCCTGCATTTAACTTGGAAGATCTTGGGTGTGTCAACATTCCACGCCGAGTCACCTGGGAAAGACGGTCCCTGGGCAAAGATGTCACTAATAGAATACAAGCAATTCATAAAATTAGTATTACACATTAATTAATAAAAATGTGAAAATAATAGTCTTTATACCTGGTCTATCTAGACCAAGTCGTTTGTGGTATTCATCTGAAAGAATGTCTTTTATTCCAGTTAAGCGAGAATGAGTGTTTTCAGATGGACACTTATTCCTGACTGACGCGTTATAGACCCTAGGGGAAAAAAGAATATTAACTTGACACCATATAGCACTTAAAATGTGCTATATTTTAAGTGCTATTTTACAACTGTCTAAATCCCCATTACCTGTAAGTATTACCAAAGGGTAAGGCAAAGGATGGGCTGCCCGCTGCCCTTTGCCTGAATGCCCCTGCAGTATCTGAAAAGAAGTGTATTCTTGGAGGACTGGCAGAAAGATCATTGGCCAAGTTACAAGCCTCCAATGTCCTCTGATTAAAGTGGTCCAATACACTATAAAGCAAAATGTGAATAGTCATTCACATGACCTATCATCATGAAAATTAATTCCCTAAACAGTACAGGACATACCGAATAGGTTCCCATTTAGATTTCATATTTGCAGTTTTAGTCACACATTTCTATAAGAAAGAAAATTAATGCTTTGTGAAGTACATTCTGATAACAAAAATATAAATAAAAAATCAACAACTTACAACTTTGGTGGGGGAGGAAAAAGGTCTGTGTTCCATCTCCCTCAAGTTTTGCCGGTGTTTTTGATAAACAACAAGTCTCTCCCGCTGCTTTTTTCTCATCCATATCCTTAGCTCTCTTTTTTCATCTTGGGGCATCAACCCTTTTTTTGACATTATCCCTTTTTGCTCCAGATCCAGCCTACTAAAAAGACTTTTATTTACCAAACATACAAAGCAGCTTAAAACTTGCACATTACCTCTTATATTTTGTACTTGAGGTGTCCAAGTCAGTTGGTGATAGAAACCCTTCTCTGACCAACTGGTCTAAGATTTCAGCTGTATCAGATAACCCAGTCTCCTCTAGAGTTTCATCTGTCAAACTACTAGACAAAGTCACATACATAGAATACAGGTTTAAAGTGATTTAAAGTGACTGAACAACTACAAAAGACTTCTTACATGTTGGATATCTCAGACAGTTCAGCTAAGTCATATTTTCTCCCTGTAAAACACCATGCATGAGTAACACAGTGAGGGTTTATATTTTATTTCTGAGAGATGCATCTTTACCTGGTGGAGTGTGGATGTTAGTAGAGCCAGCTATTTGAGGCTGAAATGAATCACTCAGTTCTGCTGAAGTAGCATGTTGTGGTGTCCGCACTGTTTGAGAGTAAGGTAAACTTGCATTTACACAAGAAACACAAAAATATAATCTCATTTTATGATGTTAACAGTTACTTTCAAGCGGGGAATATAGTCGCACAGTTTTCTTTACTCCTATGCTTGCCTTCTTCTCAGAGCTCGGGACTGGGGAGAGCTTTTCTATAGTGTTCTCCAACTATAAGGAAGAAAGCCAAACATACAAGCGATTAGTCACTTTTGTTTACAACAGTGACTCTGAAAATGTCGAACTGTTTTCAGTCTGTTTTAAAAATAGAATTGTCACCATTCTAGACTTAGAAAAGTCTGTTTCTAGGGAGTCTGCAATGCGCTGCAAAGCGGTCAGCTGTGAGTCCAGGTGGGACATCTTAGAGGAGAACCAGACTGTGGGTTTTTGGGCCATGAGTGGCTGAGTCTTTATGGCTCTGATTATTTTTGCTTTAGATTCACAACTTTCTACAGCAAAATCTTCTTGATCAACCTCCAGCACAAAAGGACTGTGTAAAACAGATTCTTTATTGTCGACTGCTGTGATGAAAAGAAAGATAATCAATTAATGCATAGTAACAAATGTTACAGAAATTATCCAGTGATTTGATTTAAAGGAAAGTCTGAGACCTGGCACAGAGGTTTGCCCTTGAAATGTTTCATATATTGCTTCATGGGAACTTTGAGGTTTGGTATCATTTCTAAGAACTCTGGTTGCCATAACATGAAGTCCAGCTGTGGTGGCTTCAGCGCAGGCAGAAAAATGATTGTTATGACACAGCGGCAAATCTTGGTGCAGGGATTTGTCTTCAAGATCCACCACACTGACAAACTGATGGCTATCTTGGGTCTATAGCGTAATAAAAGTATAAATAAAGCAAATGTAACGTAATTTTTCTCAAATACATTAAAATTTACAAACTATTTAAAACTATTTATGTAGTCATCTTACAAGATGTCTTTCTTCTGTTAGCTGTAGATGATCTTGAAAAGTACATTTGTTGTGGGTCTGGTCCTCTCTAAAAACAGGTGCTTAAAAGGAAAACAAAATATCAAAATAAAGAAACTTAACCCTAAACAAATATACAATTACTTTCTGTTCTGATGTCAGTAGAAACAGCTTTATCAAGATGAAGAGAACGGTCTTAAATATATAAATAAATAAATAAATAAAGTTCAGAAAAAAAACACCTACAGTAATATTGGAAGACAAGTAAATTACCTAAATAATCCTGTTCACCTGGGTCTGTGTTGGTAGATGCATCATGGCATTCTGGAGGTCTCTTACATGTAGATGCAAAGGCATGGAGCTCAGCAGCAGTGGCAAAGGCCTTCTCCAATAAACCCTCCCCTCTGAGAAGAGGGCCTCGAATCATCACAGTATTGTACCATGTTATCATAGGCTCAGATTATGAATGTGTAGCTCTCTAAATAAGCTATGCAATTACCTGATGGCATGGCACAGCCTGGTTCAGAGATAGCCTCCTCAGAAGCATGATTTTCAGTTGGAAAATCATATGTTGTCTAAATAATCAAAAAGGCATGATATAATTAGATATTTGGTGGTAGTTTGGAATTGACAGATGAATTCTGAAAAATGTGTTATTGTAAACCTCTTGTGGAATTATCGAGTCTTTTGGATGAAATGTTATCTCTCTTGCTGCCTGTTCCAGTTTCTCTCTTCTTTTCTGCCTATGAATAAAAAAAAAGTGAGACAGCACAAGAGAAGCACAATATTTATACAAAATAAACATAATTACCTCTTATTGGAGTTGTGGAAAATGGTGGATTTTATTGGAGTTGTGGAAAATGGTGGATTTGTTTGGGTCATTCGTAGGCTTCATTGCTCTCAGCAGATGAACCTGAGCATTATCATTTTGCTGCTTACCCAATGCACTCCTATGCTTGTCTGGTATGAGCCGTGCTAATTGTGATGAAGAGGTTTGCAGTGGTAGCATCTTGCAAAGACAAAGACCCACATGAGAAAGAAGGCAACTTAAATGCATTCATTAAAAAAAACAAAAAACATTCCTTTACCATTTTAGGCTGAGGTTCTGTTTGAAGAAGCTTTATTCTTGGGGTTTCTCCTATTGGTATAGCATGTGCAGTGTGCAGCCCTGAAAATGTGTTTGTTGGCAGTTTGGGGAATGTTATGTTGCTGCTTGAAACAGGCTGGACACGTAAAAGCCTAAGTCCTTGTGGGGTTGAAGCTGAACAAACAGGTAAATCCTGAGGAATTGGTGGAACCTCTTTTGGTCGTGTCTGATTTGAATTAGAATTCACAGGGACATGCTGATGTTGAGCCTCAACTGTAAAATGTATGTTTTTTGCATATTTGCATTTTTGCATCGTTGTTAGGTCATTATATTTGAACACAGATGAACTACATTCATTATGTGGATAATTCCGTAGAGACTGAGGTCCTTGCTGTGAGACATGGGCTGGCAACTTTGGCGGGCGGAGCTGAAGCAACTTTAGCCCTAAGAGAAGGGGAGCGGGGTCACTCTGCAAGCTGCAGCTAGAGGGTGGTAAAACAGGGGTTTTGGGGACAGTTTGTTTAATTTCAGCTGTGGTCAAAAGGCCCTCAGAGCATGGGATTAGATTGTTTCTTGAGTTTCTTACAGGTGACCCGGCTTGAACTGAAAGTGGAGTCATGTCTTTACCACCAGACAGCACTGGTCGATGAGAAAAAGCACTAGAAGGTGCTGTTTGGAGATTCATGTTAACGCCTGTGGAGACTGGCTGAATATCCATGTACACAGGGACTTGAGTAAACTGTTCAGGTGATGGGCTTGGCTGACTATGAGTCTCTGTGGGAGGGGGGGCAGATGGTGGAGGCATGGCATTATGCACATTTAACAATGGCACATTTACATTCAAGTTTAAATCAGACTGAACCAAAGAGGCATTCTGCTGGGCAAGTTGTAAATTAGAAAATGACGCTCCCAGGACTTCCATCAGGCTCATGTAGTTAATATTCTGAGATTATAAAAAGAGAAGTCACTCTAACTTTAAATGAAATACAGTGAATCAGTCTCAAACTGTGACATTCAGTTCCTACCTGAACCAATTTGTACAGATCTTCACCTAAACGCTGTCTCATCTCTGAGGTCTCAGTTGCAAGATCAGGGACACACGACACTAAAGGGGGGACAGCTGAGGAGGGCTGTGTGCGAGGATCTGGACCTTGGCTTGAAGACTGGACCTTTGAACCACCATCTTGAACCACACTCTCTTCTTTGTCTGTTGAACATATTTGAAGGTTTGTGTGGGGAGAGGACACTGGTTCCCTGAAAAAATTGCATACACAATATATAATCTGCCATATGTATTATTTTAAGAGCACTTGATTTTACTTACAAAGTGACAGAATGTGACAGAGGTTGGGGATTTTCAAGGTCTGCAAGCTTCAAACTCTGTAAAAAGAGAGTCTGTATTTATTTTAGAAACTAACATTAGTTACAGTGCGGGACAATATTTACAAATTCAAGTATACTCACTGTTCCTGGAGTACAGATTTCACTTGAAATGGAGGAATGCTTCCAGTCATTGTAGTGAGTGTCCCTGTCTGTTATAGAGACACAAATAAATATGATGATACATTAACAGTTACTTTAGGTTGCTATAACATACCTTCCTCTTGCAATGCAACATTTGCACCCTCAGGAGAATGTGAAGATGATGAACTTATGAGTGTGCTTGGGTGCAGCTGATCTTCACATCCACATGAACCACTAGACAGAAACAAATGTTGATTAAAAACTAAATCACACTTATAGGGAATAAATATTGGGCAAACTAAAACGTACATAGATGATGCCTTTATATTTGAATCAAGAACTGTGGTTGGCATATTAGTCGACAGAGAAAGGCTTGTATCCACTCTCCTCTCCTTTTCCACCTTTCGATCTGTTGGAAGCTCTAGCACAGGGGCCACTATCCACTGTGTGTTTGGTATTTGCATATGGGTTCTGTAGAAGTCCATCCCAAGCACAGCAGTGTATCTGTGTTGCATCAAGCACAGCGAGGTAAGGACTGCGGGTGCAGAGGCTTTGATGCGAATGACCACTCCTTCATCAGCTGTTTCTCCACCCTCACCTCCCTTCTTTCTCTTCTTACCATGCTGCCCCAGAAGCAGCCTGCTATCTGCCCAGCGCATCATCCACACCAGCAGCCTGCCCAGCTCTGGAAACTGAGCTTCAAATTCTGCATTAAGGCTCTGCATCACCTCCACGGCAGGAGCCACAGAGCAAAACCTCAGGTTCTCAGATGCCTGTGTCTGAAAAAAACCTCTAACAGGGCTGGTTTTAATACTTCCTTGTGAACAGTCATGCAGTTGGTTTTGATGACTAAGCAAACCTTTATGTAAGCCTGTTGTATGCTGAAGAAAACCAGTAGAAGAGGCATGTTTTGGGGAGAGGGAAGACTCACTTGATACAGCTGAGGTCGTAGCTGCTGTATCTTGAGTCATTGGCCTAAAGCAAGAACCAGCTCTAAAAATGTGAGTCCCTTGGTTGTTTTTTGCATCTCTTTGACGTCGATGCATAGTTGTTAAAACATCAAAAGCTAGAGAATGCAACTCCTTTTCTCTCAGTTTGTGAGAGAAGTCTTTCAGCAATGGAAGTTCATTAGAAGTGTCAGCAGTGTCCTTTTCTAAAAGATAACTTAGGAAAAGCTCTAGGAAGTTCAGATACTCTGCATCTTCAAGCTCAAACTCCCATGATCCCACTAAGGGGAGGGAAGGCTGGTTTATTGATGAATGTTGCTCATCTTTGGCTTCACCTGATGGACCCTCTTCTGTAATGACATTCTTCACCTTCTTTGAAGTCTTATCTCTCCTGTCACGTATTTTAGACTTTTTGGTTCTGAAGTGGAAAAGATTAAAACAAAACAACAAAAAAACAATAACTGAAAATGTGAGTGAGATGAATTCAAACAATTGAGCTATAAAGAAACACCATTTGCTTTGAAAGGTCAACCAAAAAAATATATTGTAGTATGGTGTAGCTTCTTACCTAAACTTTGTCTTTGTGGTGTGTGGGTTAGGGGACACTGGTGTCTCAGACATGTTTTCTACTGTGTCTACATCACTTTGCAGAGGGAGCAGCCCACAGTCTGTTAAGGTGCTTGTGCTCAGACTTGTCCCCAGAGACAGTTGCTTTAACCTGGCCATCCCATGTTTGCTTCGACCTTCTTCCTCTTCAATTTCTTTTTCCCATAAATGTAACTCAAGAGGGGCCAGGTGCCGTCGCAACCGACCAAAGTGTTTTTTCCTTAGCCTGAGTTTGTCTTGAATGAGAACCATCATGATCTCCCCTGTTTCCTTTCCAGTACCTACAATTCATATGCTTTTAGTTTATATGCTACGAAAACTGGAATATATAATTTACATTCCAGTTTTGGTTGCATAGTGGTGGTTCCACAGAAGATGTTAATATTAACAGTTGTGATTACCAATGACATTACACTGCCTTAAAGTCTGCATTATGGTGTTGTACTTTTCTCTCAGTGGGACTCTAATGGATTCTTCTTCCTCTGGGAAAGACAGCACCAGAGTGTCTGCCACCTATGAGTAAAAAGAGTGAGAAACAAAGGAAACCCACTTAAATGATTGCATTATCTAACAAATGAGACACTCTACCAATAAAACAGGAGGCAGTTCAGACAATAGACTGAGTATAATATCTTGAACAATTTCTTCACAGTTTAGAAACCGAGAAAAAGGTAGAAACCGTTGGGCCCACTGAAGAGCATCAACACAAGGAGATCTCATTTCTGAATCCTCTTGGGTCTAGAAAAAAATAATTAACTGAGTATTCATAGACAAGATTACACTATTTGTACTAGGGCCCGACCGATCAGCCGATATGGGCACCAGGAAACATATCGGCGATTGACCTAAATCTTGCCAATATGGACCGATATTTCACATGGGCATGTTATACCTCGTAAAGCTTAGACTCTCCACATTATATTAATTTAATCCAATTTACAGACAGCTAAATGTCCTAATACGTGACTCCGCATCAGTATTTATCTGCGGACTAATTTGTCTGTGACCATACTGTCCCTGAACACACCCTCAGAGTCAAGTCACTCACATGCGCTTATTTACACCCACAGACATAGATCCAAACACTGAGATAATATTCTTTTTACGGACAATCGGTTTGAGTCTGGATTAAAAGGACATTTATTAATGCTGACTTGTGATGTGAGGAGGAGCCTGTGTGAGTGGTGAGTATTGGAAATGTGTCGACTTTGAAGCTGGTTTGGTTATTTCTCATTGGTTAGTGATTAGCTGCTGTAGCTCCCACACATAAACAGGCTGTTTTCTCTTCTGTTGGCCTATTGTAAAGTGACTATATTGGCCATATATATGCTACTGGATCTGCATTGATATGTAAATGAGGTATAAACAGAGGTGTGAATGATGACATTTACGCATATAAGTAATTACCACAGTGCAAACACATTAACAGCTAAAGGCTAATAACAGTAGTTTACTTTCTTTACTAGCTAGCAGTGATGGGTCGGGCACGAACGAAACGGCTCTTAGAGCCGGCTCTTTGAAGTGAACGTCAGGAGCCTGCTCCTTATTGGGAGCTGTGCTTTCTCTTTCTCTCACTTTTTTTCTCTTCATGCCACATGCAGACTCTGAAAACGAAACTTTCAGAAATATGCACATGCATAGGATAGAAAAACGTGCATTTTTGGCTGTAGTTCAGCATAAAATTAATAAACCAGGACTAATCTTGAGCCCGAGAGAGGGAGAGAGATAAAGTCTCGACACTCAGTCCTGGTTCAGTTCTGGTTTAGTCCTGTTTTACACATGGTTTAGATCTAGGGTGACCAATCGTCCATTTTTCCCCGGACATGTCCGTATTTTGCGTCATGTCCTGGGCGTTCGGGGTTTTTTTTTATAAAGTGATGCAAATGTCCGGGTTTTCAGTACCGCTCATTAAACTGAGCGTCTCTCGTAGCGTCTGTGACTCAGAAGGAGCGAGCAGACACAAACAGTCGGTCAGTCTGCAACAGACCGAAGCACAAATGCCCATTTAACAATGACTTGTACAAAAAATTCTCCGTTTTCCATCCCGGTCGGGACAAGTGGGAGGCCATGTGCACAGGTTGTGAGGTGAGAGTACAGTGATCCCTCATTTATCGTGGGGGTTACATTCTAAAAATAACTCGCGATAGGTGAAATCCGCGAAGTAGTCAACTTTATATTTTACAATTATTCTATCTGTGTTAAGGCTGTAAAACCCCTCAGCACACACTTTATACTCTTTTCTCAGACAGGACAGGTGCAACCCTTTTTACTTCCTTCTTAAAACTTATTGCTGCTGTCGTCGTTGTGTTATTTTCCTCCTTCTTTATGTAACAAACTGAAGATTAATTTATTCCATAATGGAGCCTACAGCGCAGAGTCCCGCACGGGTCCATTTTTGGAGACCCACAGTACACCGCACCTGCGCAGTACAACAACGCAACCGCGCAGTACAGGACCACACCTGCCCGTTAACCCAAGATTATATCAAAGTTTTGCGCTGCCTACGCCACGGACTGAACCAAGACTAAACCAGGACTAACCCAGGACTGATTCCAGGACTGAAGAGGAGGACTAATCCACGACTGAACTAGGACTAATACAGGATTAAACCAGGACTAAACCAGAACTGAAACAGGACTCACCGTCAGGACGGGCTTGGAGGTGACCACAGGAGAAAGGACTGGCTCAGCTCCGTACCTCATGGAGTTAAACGCGGCAGTTGCCCAATCGCGCTTTGCGGACAAACTGCTCGGCGTTTTCTCTCTTAAGTAAGTTAAGTAAATATGGTTATCCTATTTAGATCTGTTTTAATCCGGGTTTGGTCCTTTTTCAGTCCTGGTGTAGACCTGGTTCAGTTCTGGTTTAGTCCTGCTTTAGATCTGCTGTAGACTTGCTTTAGATCTGCTTTAGACCTGCTTTAGGCCTGGTTTAGACCTGGTTCAGTACTGGTTCAGTACTGTTTTAGTCCTGCTTTAGACCTGGTTTAGACCTGGTTCAGTTCTGGTTTAGTCCTGCTTGCAACAATCAATCTGAAGAGCCGCCTGGGAACCGAAAGAGCTGGCTGCTTTTAGTGAGCTGAGCCAAAAGAGCCGGTTCTCTAAAATGAACTGGAATACCCATCACTACTTGCTAGAATGTGATGCAAAAATGCCATTAGGCCGACCTACTGTCTGTAAATATGACGTAAAGAAGCTGAATAACAATAAATGTTGCCTAAATAAACCCAATTTTAAATCCACCAGAGTCAAAGTTTTTTAAACAAATCAAGATTACAGTGAATTTTTACATCACCAAATATATCGGTGATTATATCGGCTATCGGCAGCTCCAACTCCCATTTTATCGGTATCACATCGGACGCAACAAAATCCATATCGGTTGGGCCCTAGTTTGTACATAACTGGAAATGCAAAACCTGGTCATCTCTTGCTTGCTGTCGATCAGCCTGATACTTTCTGCAAGATAAGGAGAGCTTATCCCTGATGTGAAGCATCCAGCACAGACCACACAATTCCCTGAAACAGACTGAGAGAGTACAACATGAACATGAACAAAAATCTGATTTAAAGGGTATAAATCTACACAAAATATAAATACTAATAACTACAGTAATAGAAATCCAAAAGAGATTTTACTTATTGTCTGAATTGTTCCAGGGTCGATGTTCTTTTTAGGTCCCCATCTAAAGTACCCACTCCTGTTGATGAACTTCAAAAGACCATCTGGAAAGGATTTTTCTTCTTGAATAGCACTGGGATAGGAATATTTCTTCCTCATCTGAAAATAATGTGGTATATGATCATTTGGAATTCTAAAAATGTTAAAGTAATGCTTTTGGAAAGGTTTAACAAAATAGCTTGTGAAATGCCTTGTATAAAACGTGTCTGGCACGCCGCAGCTGGTTGAGGTACCACTGAGCGGCAGGATAACAGCAATTTGCAGATCTCAGAAGTAAGAGTAATTTCTGGACGACTTTCGATATTCTATGGCGAGAGGCGACTTCTGTTTGACACCCCATTATGCCCACTAGGTCCTAAAGACAAAGTCAGCAATAAATAGTTTCAACTTAAAGGTTTATTTGAAATAAATGAACTATTCATACACCATTTTGTACCTGAGTGTTTAGGGAGGGCTGGGGACAATAGAGAGGTGGAGATGGAAGATACAAAGCTGTAGGCACCATGGCAGTCAAACATGAACACAAGTCTTTGGCTTTGTTCAGAAGGGAGGACAAAGGAGAAGACACAGCATCCACCCCTGCTATGGTTGAGGCCTTCAGAATGTCCTTTATGGAAACTTGCAACAGACTCCAGTCTTCTTCGTCAACAGGGTCTAATTAGGAATATAAATAAAAAGTTTAATTAAAGGAAATCTGAAAGCAAAATCCAACTACCAATAAGAGCAGACCTGAGAAAGTTTGGTTTGCATCGGTTTCCCTTTGTTCCTTTGAGTTTCCATTGCCTCCTAAAAGACAGTCGAGCTCAGCTTGAAGAATGTTTGCTGGTTCTAAATCCTTTGGAAGACAAAGCTCTCTTCTGTTAAAACTGTCACAAACATACAAATACACATAAATTACAGAAAATTCCCTAAATGCAGAACTTTAGAACACAATGTGCTTTTTACACTAACCCAGTGAAATCAAAGTGCTGCTTGCAGTAACATGAATATGCCTGGCTCAGAGAAACTGCTGCTTTCCAATCCCCCAGATGGTAAGCCAACCACACAGACTCTGGAAGTAACCCCCCTAGCAACAGCAGGTCCTGTGCATACTCCACTGTCCAGATTTCTGAGAGCTGTTGCTGTCTGACCGCCTTTGCTACCTCTTCGTGGCACAGCGGGACCAAGCGCCCAATGCAAGAGGCTGAAAGTGTTAAAATGTTCAATAAATGAAAAACTTAGGTATAAATGAAAAGCAAGTATTTATTTTTACACACCATGAGGCATATGTATTGGTGGAAGGACATCCACATTGTGGGGTGGTAGTATGTAAAGGGTCTTGTTGCTGAAATAGGAAGCCATGAATCTCCCCAGAGTTTGAACCACTGCATAAGCTGCATCTGTACTAAGATCCTTTGAAAGCCACAAACACTGAAAGGATTCTGTAATAAAATTCAGTAGAGTTCATACACATTTGTTTGTACATCTTTGACTAACTGAAATTAGATCTAACCTTTTTTGGTAGTGATGCCGTCTCTGCTCCCGTCTTCCTGGTGCTTATTTGTTTGCAGTATTAGACAGGCCATGTGGTCTCCCAACTCCTGTGCTTGTTTAAGATGGTACTGAGAGAGTAGACTGTACAAAAGTGCCAAACAAAGACGTTTTTCCTGAAACACAGTTGATTTACCACCTAAAAAAAGAGATAGTAGTACTTAAACAATGCATATTTTAGGCTCATGTAGCATTACAAAATTAACTACTTTTTTTGCTTGTCTTCAAAAGTTGTGAGAACCAAACTTCTGAACTTTCTGTGTAATAGCCAGAAAGAAAAAGATGCTCCCCTACAATAAAATATCAACAGATATAAAAAGTGGTAAACATATTTAGTAACAGTCCAAAATGAATCAGCAACAAACCTGTATATTTTAGTAGCCTGTTGGACTCTTCCAGCTGCTTCCCAGAAGTTTGTAACACTGTCTGAATCTTACACATTATGACCACCAACTGTTGTTTTTCCATTTCCCAGTTGTCACCACCTTTAAAATGTTCCAATTCCTCCATGTACTTTTGGGTGATTGTGTAAATCCACGTCCAGATACTGCGCAACCTACTCAAAAGGAAAATGAGTAATTAAATACATTTTTCTAATAAATGTTAAACCAATCTTCAAAAACACAAAATGCCCTTGCCTTCTGGAGGGCATAACAAGACCAGGTAGTGGACGATGCAATAGGTCTGTCTCCTCTCTTGTTTCAGTTTGCAGCACTGGCACACTGTGTAAATCTGAGGGCCAGAGCTCAAGTGGCTGAGAAGATTCTTTTCCATCAGAAGACCAGATACTTCTCTGCTGTAGCGAGAATGTTTGATCAAGAGACTGGGAAAACATTTGGATTATTTGGAGTGCTGTAGATAAATTGTAAGATGATATTTCACAGTTACAACGCTGGTATGATTCCGTGTATGGGGTCAGCACTAGTTGAACCAGATTTCTACAAAGTTCTACCATTATCCCAACCAATAGTGGTCCTTGTGAGTTTGCTCTATCCCAGGGAGTAAAATGGAGAAGCTTCTTGAGAAAGTTCAACATATAAGCAGGATCATTTTCTGAATGCATCAAGGAGTTAGGTATTAACTGTAACAGTGCTGCAAAGCGAACAGTACACTTCATGGCATGTTTCAATAGAGAAGATTTGGATTCACCAAAGGTCCCCAAAGACACACCAAAGGCCCAGGCAGTTAACAGCTTACTTTCCATCTTTTCCAAGTCACAAGAAGTTATTTTCTTTCCAACAGTGGACCCTTGCTCAGAATCTGAATCTCGAAACTGTTCATAATGTGTATTTAAGGCATGAAGGGTATCAAACATTGAGGCAAATTCCAACCGACCACCCTCCTCAACATGGGAACCAACTGGAACGCCATCCATGTCAGAATCATCTTCAAAGAATGTCTGGGAAAATATTGTTGTCAAGATGGTAATTAAAATGTATTTTTACTTTGATAAAAGTTATCTTCTACTTTTTCACTAACCTGCACTGTTTCTAGAATCTCATGGGAGGTTCCCATTGTTCCTTGATCTTGCAAAAAGAAGGGCAATGTGGATCCATCTGCAGAAGTTATCATGGTATTAGGCCTGTAGTTTGGAGCTAAGTCCAGAAGGTTTTTTTCCACATTCAGAGCTGAAACCGCATCCAACCACACCTTCATATGGTTCTGCAACAGCAATAATTGGAAGTATTAAAAGGAATCAAAGGAAGCCTTGCAGGTACACAATAAAGCAACAAATTGAGGCAACAAATTGAGGCAATTGGAATCTGAGAAAGAAGAATTTTAAATTTATGTTTAACATAAGCTTAAAAGACCTGTGAATTTTGCAGTAACTGAGTGGCCTTCTCAAGCTCTGTAGCAGTGTCCTTCAGTATAGTTTTCAACAGCAGAGCAGGTGAAATCTTGTCAAGCACTCTTACAACTGTTGCCATGTAGCCATCAGATACAATAAAGTAAAAAAGCTGTGGGTGCCAAGTCACCGAGTACCGTTGCCTCATCACATCTCGCACAGACAAACTTGAGCTGGACAAAGATGCCTCTCCTTTGCCTGTGGTTGATGGAGGCCTGTAAAAAAGCCATATAATAAAATAGAAACAAATAAAACAAAATCCTATCAATGTTTGTTAAAAGAAATTCTAATCTTTACCTGTAAGTTACTAATGGGTGCAATGGAAGGAAATGCGCAGGTCCAAAATCAATGTTGCAACCAGAGGTTGATAAAGTCAAAATCCCTCCAAGGCGTGCCAATATTAAAAGCGAACCTCTTTTCAAAACGCAAGCCAGAAGCAGACCATCAGCAGACCAGCTTACACATCCTACCCAGTATGACCTAAATAAACATACATAATGTTGAAGAACATCATATACATCCATGATACATGGCATTCTTAATATATACTGCATTTGTCATTGTATACCTTATATATTTTGATGGAATAGCAATTTTCTTACTTCCACAACCTCCAAGGCTTCGTGACACAGACACAAAATTAACAATGTTGACAAAAAGGACTTGTGTAGCCTAAACAAACAAAACATTTTTTAATCTAAAAGATACACTGAAAGCCGATCACATAAAAGTAAAAAGTAAATAAAATATGCTTTTCAGATAAATAAAAAAAATGAACCTGTGGCTGTCTCTGGTTTAAAACAACAGCTAGGATTTGGCCATCAGGTGAAAGAACTGACACTAAGGCACCTCTGGACTTCACAGGTTGGCAGGGAGGTTTGAGACTTGACATCGGGAATGTTGTGGTGGCCCATTTTATACTGTAATTCACTGGACTGAAAAAAACATGTTATTAGAAAAAAAGAAAGAAAGAAAGAATGAAAGAACGATACATACCAAATTTTCTCCTGATTCTCACCCCACATAATTTTGAGACAAGATATGACTAGTTTGTTTCCAGATGTAAACACAAAGGTGGATAAACCTACATCACCCAAAGCCTGTAAGTAGTAATGATATAAAAAGTATTAGGGTAAAAAAAGGAACAATACAACGTTGTTATAACTGTATTCTTTCCATACAAACCTCTGTTTTAATAAATAGTGTGTGCACACAGGCTTCTTTGTCTTGTGAAGTTGGCAGCATTGTGTCATTAGAGGACTGTATTTGGGTCCAGTTTCCTTTTACTGTGCAATCTCGGACACCTATCATATCTCTGACATCTGTACACTGCCAGAGGAAAATGTGCCCTGTTACACCTACAAGCAACACACGCATGCCATCTCCTGAAACCTGGACAGACAGTCTCGAGGCACTTCCTATGACAAACAAAAGATACAAATTACTAATTTTTTAAATGCAACAAAAGCAAAGTGAACTCAGATTAAGGATACAAGCAAACCTTCGGCACTAGATATGAAATCAACAATTTCAGGCACAGTTGTTGTAGTTTTTAAAAGGTCTTTATCCCTATTCCACATAAATATCTTCCCAGTTTTTAGGAGTCCACAAAGCCACATACCTGAAACAGAACAAGCAATGTATATCATATGATTGATATGATGAGCGTTGAGTCTGATAATGTTCCTGCTAACACACAAACCATTGCTTGCTGAACCCATTGTCACTACATTGTTGAGCAGTGGCTGGAGTTTAGGAGTTCTTTTCTTGGTGCGCCCAGAAACCATGTTAATCTCACTTATCCGTTTATCATCTAATAGGAACACAGTCTCCTTTTCCTGAACCAAAACACATGGCTCGTTTGTATGGTGTCTGCAATAACGCAATAAAACAGTCAGCGTTGCATGGTTTTACCTGTCCGAGCCAACAGAATCTGGGCCATGGTTTTTTGCGTTTGATGCTCGAAGACAAAACGACCTCCAGCTTCAGCTCCATTTTTCCACAACAGCATGCGTTTTCCTATTAGATTTTTTACTGAAGTGATTTAACGTAACCGAAATCCATTGTTTACACTAACCTAGAGAAAGAAATACGTAATAAAACAAATAAGTTAGCCTAAACAAAAGAAATCGCATAAAAATAACAAACGGTTATAAACATACATATTTATATACCAATCATGTAGTTTAACTTAAATAAAAAATCCTACCATTTTGCGTTTAGCATGAGCTAGCTTACCTAGCCAGTCTTGTAAAAAGACACACACTCTGGCTGTTGAAAATTGCGAATTGGTTATCTACGGGTCGCTGAACTGAAATCTGTGGAAAACTGTCGTAAAATAATTGCTTTTCGAGTTTTATCTTGCCTATTTAGAACATGTTTCAAAAATCCCTCCGTGTCAGTAGCACATTTTTCCCACAATCCTTCAGGAGGAAGCCTCGGTCCGTTGCCGTAGGAACAGAGGAGGAGGTGACGGGGCGTGTGATCATAACACAACCAAACGTTACTCAAAATCATATTTTCATTTAGCTAGAAAGTACAAGTCTTGCTGGCAAAGGGCAACAGAGCTAAAATGTTGCTTTTTGTGTATTTGTTTAATGAATAGATTTTCTTGTACATGTAGCCCTTGTTAGAAAGTAGATAGCGTTCAAAAACTAGACTTGTTGGCCTATGCCTATGTTGATTTTGTAGCCTTCCAATTACCCGCATACAGTCTGCAAGCAGAGTGGCTCCTGTTCACTGAATACTCAGTTGGAAGCGCAAAACCAGCAGAGGGCAGCAGAGCTATTCTTCTATACAAGAGCCACCTCAGCTCTGGCTTTGTGACATTGTTGATCACTGTGGAAGATAAATAGACTGTTTTCTTCTTTATTTCTAAGCAATTCATATATTTGTCCTCAAGGTCATTTCTCTGTGGAGTCTGCAAAGTGTCACTGGCTTTACTGTTTCTCTTCACCATTAGCATGCCTTAGCTTATGTGCAACCTGAAGCAGCTCTCCCTTATAGCCTTGTAACACAGAGTTATTAGGTTTGCCCCCTGGCCTCTGGTGGTTTAATTACCCTTGTACTCTTTTCTTTTCATCATGATGGAGATGACGGCCGCCATCGCCAATAGGTGAAAGAGGAGACTTGAGCAGACCTTAATTGGTTCATTTGCTTCTGCCTGCCAGGCGCAGATGGAGCTCTTTATTACTGTCACGGCCAGGATCACTCTGGTTCGAGGAGGTCTAAGGAGCAAGACATAGCCTAGCCTTAGACATGATGAAAACAAGAGGGGCAAAAAAAAGATGACATTTATATTTATATCTGGCCCACTGATGAAACAAGATAGAAGAAATAGCTTAAATAATTGAATTATTTCTTCTTATCTCTTCATTATTATTATTTTTTTTATGTACAGCACCACTACTTAGTCATGCCCTTCCACAATAAGGAGTATAACTTGATGAAAAAATAAAAAAATTGGAATTTTAAGACAGTAAAAGAAATATGCAAATTCAGTCAAGAGAGCATGTGTTGATTTAGCAATCATTACAATATTATATGATTACATAGAACAATTCTGCTGCAACTGGGCCTATGTCTTCTGTTCAATATAGAGACATCAGTTGGCATGGTAACCTCATTTGCCATCTGCAGGCCCCATTCATTCTGAAAAATGACACTCTGAAAGCTGTCAAGAAACAATTTGATATTCTTATCTCAGTGACAGTGAGCTTTCGGGTTGGAGTCCTTCTGCTGTAAGCTGTTCATTACAGTGCTATGCAGGACAATTTCAAGTTTTACTCTGGTACAATTAACATTGCATTGCATTTTCATTAGGGTTCAAATATACAAAGTCCCAGTGTATATTGCAGGCTACAATGTCTGAACATTTAGGCCAGGTCCAACATCAAGGAAACAACTTTAATAGAAAACATGCACAGGTACATTGCCCCCATGCAGAGATGCCATTTGATGCCCCACATGTTCATTTCAGCCACGAAAAAACTATTATTAAATTTAGGTTGGATGACTGACTGCCCAGCTTGGCCGTCATCTCACCTCATCACACACCTCATGACCCAAAGGGCTAAAGACACAGGGCTTTTTATGCTTTTATAAAGCCAAGAAAGTATATATATATATATATATATATATATATATATATATATATATATATATATATATATATATATATATATATATATATATATATATATATATATATATATATATATATATATATATATATATATATATATATATATATATATATACTTACTTGGCTTTATATATATACTCTATATATGCAGACTTGAGTTTTATGAGTTTTATTCTTATTCAATAAGCTTTCATAGCCAGGTTGAAGTCATTGCTGTTAGGGTTTATAATACATGACTGTAGTAGGCTAAGTCGCCTACTTTTGAAGCAGCCCAAAATTTGCCTAATCCACTCTTTTGTATACTATGTAAATTATAAAGCCCTTTTATTTTTGGATAATTACCTTTCTGATAGGGCGAAATCCCATCAGTAGAGAGAAATTTGCGTCGCAAGATAAATCTTTGTTGGAGACCAATAAATCCCCCTTTCCTTTAAGTATTTTTTTTTTTTTTTCTACAGCAACGTGCTTACTCTGAGTGCCAGAACGTCACAGTAGCGTCCGCCTCCTTTGCGCCATGATTGGTCGAGCCGTGGGAATATTCAAATGCAGCTTTGATTGATTGGCCCGAAGCCGGTTTCAACAGTACAGAGGAGCCGAGGACTCATTTCCATTCCGACATCACTCTCTTGTGGCACAGGAGCTGCTCGCCAGCTGAGGTGCAAAAAGACGGGACACAGCGTCGCCTCTAACCAAAATTCCAATCGAGGTCTTGAACATGTAGAGGAAGTGGAGTGAAAAGAATCTCGTCCCATCCATGGATATTTCTCCGGAGCCAAACTGTACGCATTGGGAAAACAGAGCACAGGAAGTACGCCTTCCGAACTGGAGAGCGACCAATCAGCCGTGGCGAACCAAAGATAAACAAGCCTTATGATAAGCTAAAACTACGTAAGATATATACATTTAGTAGTTTTAATATCTTAATATAGCTTACCCTTTGTGATTCGTCTAAATTTTCGTGGGTTTGCATTTTTCTTTGCTCTTGAATTGAAGAGCAAAGAATGTTGTGGGTGGATGCAGTGTGTAAGTGAATTTGGTTAGATTGAGCTGTTTAGATTGTCCAGTGTGTGCCCTCATATATCTCGTTAGGTTCCCAGTGTGCACCTGTACTGTTATTGCTATGGTAGATTTTATTAGCATGGGCCTGTCCTAATATGGGATAGGCTGTAGGTCATCATTAGTTAGATTCAGGGAAGATTGCCAACTGTTTTGACTACTGTGGATTTTTAACATGGGCTTATCTTCATACTAAAGGCTGTGTTATTACTAGTTAGATTCACATAAGATAATTCTTCTTTGGATAAGGATTGGGTTCGTTTCAAGTTTTTCCTTCCTCTGTGAAGTGTAACCATGCAATATCCATTCTCATCAGTCTGCACTGGATGATGTGAAAGCCTCTTTTCCACGTCTGAATGTCTACGAATCCAGGAAGTGCTTTGAAGTATATTATTGGTCATTGAGAGCTGTCTCTGAAGGTTTCCACTGCTATTGTCTGGAAGCCGGAGGAGGGATCATCGCACCTCACTGCACCGGTGGCAGCCGAGGTTGAAGGTTATAGCCGCTGCAGAGGGCCCTATAGATTATTGGCCAGGTGTGAAATTCTACCCTGCAAGCCTTTTTTCCTGCTTGTGCCAGATCCTTTATTATCCAGAGAGATGGGATGTCACAGCTTTCCACCAGAGGCAGAAGAGAAAAAGCCTGCAATTTGCTGTTTATTATCCTCTTTCCTTCTTGTGTGCTATTTTTTGTGTGGAAAATAAGTCAACCCCCTGGGATAAGCTTTATATTGAGGCACAAGGGAAATGCCCCCGGTTTAGAAATGGCACAGTGTCATGTTTTTGAATGTGCCTGTTTGTGATTTATAACAATAATGACTTATCCACTGCTAAAAGAGATACAGTATGTGTGATGTTGACATTCCAAAATTAACACCAATCAATCAACAGCAGGGCAGTAGAGAACAGAAAGTACCCCAAAGCATCAGGCGAACGGAATCCCATTACTCACACAACCTGTGATAGAAAGGCTTTAATTTCAAATAAGCCTGTGCTATGGATCATGCTCTTCTGACTGGCTCTGTTTTATGGCCATTTTGGTGATTAAAATTAATGAGAAGGTTAGCGAACCCAGTTCAGCTGTAAAATTAAGGGACCAGGCATTGGTGTAAGACCTACTGATCTGGAGCAAAGGTTCACAATATATTGAAATTTTATTGTAGTGCAATATGGGCAATATTCAGTTTGATAGGAAGCAAAATGTGCAGCAAAAAGAGCTATAACAATCAATTAACATAGTGAAACTAATCTGGCCATGGCTTCTTGATTGTTTTCATTTATTTATTTATACTGACAGTGTTTCAATCGTAAATCTTCTCCCATATGACTCCCTATAAATCTGCCATGATTTGCATATCATTTTATGTATAGGTTTGATACGGTATGTCCTTCCTGTTTCAAATGTCTCCTTATTTTGTGGCTGTTATAAACACAAATAATCTTGTTATATTGTGATTGCTATATAATACAGTAATCACATGATTTCTTATAGCTTGCAGCCAGACATGGAACCCATTCTAGGCAACATAATACAATTTCTCTGTTTGGGTAGTCATATTTGAACCTCTCCAGAGCTTGTAAATGGAGTCATATTATGAAGAGTCGGAGCACAGGTATCCCGTGGGCTTTTCCTTCTGATCTCACATCACACCCCAGCAGTAATTCCACGTCTGTGAAGAGAAGGAATTTGTCATTTGGCTGCTCGCTTCTCTTTGCTTTCTCCCTAAAGTAACCCAGCTCTGATTTATTGTGAAGTCTGCCCGGCCTTGCTCAATCTCCAGGCCTATACTAAATTACCAGATGAAGGATTGAGCTCACCATGAGAATGACCTTTTCCCCGATCATTATTACTCAGGCCAGTGCAAGGACTGATTGAGGTCATGTATTTTTTGCCATGTCATCTATGTGGGAGCACTTCCAGCCCCTGTTATAGCTGACATTGAGACTTATGCATAAAGACGATAGGATAAGATTAACTGAAACTACTTGGGAGAAGTATACAGTATGTCTGTCCGCAATATGTCAGCGGTTTAGTTTCTATTGTGCACTTATCGACTACAGGGGGACGTCATGTGTAATTACGAGTAGCTTGGCGTCTTTTGAAATCTGTCTAATTGGTCTATTCATAGTAATGGGATGAGGATGGGGGTGAAGGGTGGAAGGTTAAGGACTGGGCCTCTGGGGGTCAGTGGGGAGGGGACACAGACCCCCTGTGTGATCGGGAACTCCTGTAATCTTTATTTTGTCTACATGATTGCATCTGGTCATTATTTCAAATTAATGATTAACTACAGCAAATTGCAAGTGATGTATCATCGTTTGACTTAAACAAAGTGGTGAGGGCATCCTCAGAGGGTCTATACATCAAAGATTTGTAGAACATTTTGATGTTATTTGAAGCTTGTGTAGCAGAAAACAAATCATTAGCTTACTAAAATGCAAGAAATTAACTTTTCTTCCTAGTTTGTTTACACTGTATAATTTTATTTTATTTTTTTTACTTTGTTTACAATTATTTATCTGAGCTTTATTTGTCTGCACATGGTTTTTAAATGCTAAAAGCAGGCTGTAAGATTACCACCCCTTTGCCATACAATTGACAATGGGTAGGCGGGACAATGAAGGCAGACATCTATAGTACATGTGACATTTCCATGTATGCAAATTTTGTCATGAGATTAGTCACTGCAGCCAAAGTCTGGCACAAATCCTTGGGTGCCAATTAGCTGAATAAATAGCTTAGTTGTTGAACCAGTTGCAGCTAACAACACTGTTGAATGCACAGTTAAAACAAAATGGCTATTTACAAAGAACAGCACACTACCATGATAAAAACCATAAATCAGCCCAGTTTAGAATGGTAGACCTCACACAGTATAATTCACCGCTACTCAACTCCTTGTTGTTGATGTTGTCAGACTCTGTAAACATTAAAAACTTTGAAAACTTTCTAAACGATGTTGTAGGGTTAGACTGGACAACAGTTTAGTTCTTGCATCAGTTATTGATGTGTGCAGTGCACTGGGATACTGATTAGATAAAACTCTAGTGTTTACTCTCTAAATCTGGGCTGTAGCATTTACCCCATGACCTTGCCCCTGCTGCATCCTTTTGCCTTGGCATCAGCCCATCTTTGAGAGCAGATCTGAGCCTGGCCTGTAAACTGCTGACTTCCCTGATTAAACTGCCCTTGATGATAGGACGTAATTTAGCCATTTGGCATTAGAATTGTCCAAATCTCTGCTGGCTTGTGTATACATTCCTTATCAGATATGAAAAATATTGATCCTGAAATTGAATTAAAAACCTTCAGTAGTTTAAGAAGTCATTCAAAGAGGCTCTATAAAGTGTCCCCTAAACCACCCATTATATAATTAGAAAATCTGTTATTTCTCAATTCTGTCACCCTCGCACCTCTTTCTGCCATACCTTCCTCATCACCTATTCATCACACCAAAGCATTCAAATTTTGTGCTTGAGAAGGCAAAATATTAATATTTTCTTCAACACCCCAACCATTAGCGCTGCATGATTTACATTCATCTGAATGCTGTGGACATCTGTCAGAATATTGCCAAGCCATTGTATTCCCATGAATCTGCAGCTTGCATAAATCATATAAGAAAGCCCCTTTAACTGTGTTGTAATACCTTTTTACATGGGGCTAATCTCAATGGAAATGAGGCTCATTGTTATCAGCCTCTGGGCATTAAGTGTTGGACTGAAGTGGTTGTGGGATGTTTGGTTTGTGAACCTTTGTATCGCCTTTTATTCTGTCAGTGCACAGAAGGCAAAAAGAAAAATGTGAATCTCTCTTATACGCGCCTCTGATACCAATTATGCAAACTATTACAGAATTTAACCAGGGCAGCTCTTATCGGCTAATCCAGAAGTAATAGATTCTATTAAAAATGTATGAGGGGGGGGGGGGGGGTATAGAGTTGAAAATGGCAGCTGCGGCTGGACTGCTGTCTGTACGTCAGACTTTACTTGTCTAGTCTCCATTACTATAAGACAGCTTCCTGCAGTGCTACCTCCAACTGCGTTGTCCCAGTCATCCATAATATACAGTTAATTATAGCCATAATGCATTGTTATTCACAGTACACATCGTTTTCATTCAAGGAGAACCAGCGTATTACCACTCGCATAATGACCCCACGCTCTGTGTTAATCATTAATTTCTCCCCAAATTAACCTTTCTGAATCATTCTGTCCCTTTTTTCTGCACTCTGCCCGTTGCACAGATGAATTTTGAGTGCAGTTGAGGGAGGAAAAGAGGGCATTAGCATAGGCCTCACATGCTAATCCCCCCACAGACGCAGAGTGGAAAGGGTGCACTTCCTAAACCTTTTTCATTATCATCTAATTATTAACTGAGGAATCTGAGGAGAATTAACAGCAGAGTGAGATGGTGAGAGAGGGAGAGATAGTGGGCATGTTTAGACTGTACTTTATTTCTGGAAGGGTGGAAATTTTGGAGGAGAGGCGAGTTTTTGTCAAATTGCCTCAGAAGGTCAGAATGATACGGAGAATCCATCTATATTAATGTCACCTTCTCCTGATGGATATTCTCAGTCTGCTTTGAAGCTTTGAACAGTGGGAGATAGGCAGAAAGTGTGGTGCATTTTATTTTATATTACCAGTTTGTTAAATGTGCTCTGTGTAACTTTCTGGTAGAAGGTCCGTCACCTGCTTGTCTCCATGGAGATGATATTGTTGGTATGTATAACATTAATTCCATTAATATCCAGGGAGACAAAATTGTGACACCAATGGGCTGAGTTACAAGTCTGATCTGTGGAGAGCTGACCCTGCTAACAGTAAGAGTTACTTTTTATCTGAGGAATAAGACTTGTTACTTTGCCTGTAATGTTACAAAGTCTGGAATTAAACTTACTACATCTCCATGGAGGCAAGTAAGTGGCAGACTCACAAGTAAAGTTACATTGTGCACCATTAAAATTGCAATCTTAGAAGTGCTATGTAATCTTAGGAGTGCTGCAAAAAAAACTTAGACTTGGATTTACACTTAATAATTTATTAATAGCACCATAAAAAACATGACAAAATGAGAATTCAAAAGTTTACAAATAATCCGTTTTTATTACCTCTGGGGAGGGGCTTGTCAGGATCTTTTCAACAAGCCAGAGTTTGTTTTGTAAAATATTTCTGCTTGTTTACCCGAGGCACTTGTCTGTTGTGTGTTTTTTATCATTAGCTTTGTGACTCTTTAACCGACCCTCTTATCTTCTCCAAACACTTCTGTGGTAATCATAGGACAGTGGATGCATTAGAAAGAGCATTTTTAACCCTCTTGTGTCAACGCAGAAGGAAAGACGTTGAAAAAGTCTATTTGTCTTACTGCCAAAAACAGCCTTATCAGGGAACCATGGGGGACAGTAGATGGACTGAAAGCACAAGCTGACTTATCTTTTTGGAAGGCCCACAGCGGACTTCATAACGCTGATTATCTGCTGCATGGACGTGGCCCAAAGTGAACAGGATTAGACACACTAACAGCCCCAGCGTTATGACCTCCTGTGTCTCTTTAGCTTGTCCTTGATGGAGGCAAGTGCAGCTGTGAAGGCTGCGTAAAGAAGTGTGTAAAAAGAAAAAAAACACTTGATTTTGAATAGCACCACTTTTAATATGTAAAAAAAACCAACTTTCTATATTTATTAAAAAGACTTTCTATATTTATAAAAAATAACACTGTCATATAGAAATACTGTTGCTTATTATTGAAACTGAGATTGACTTTTTTGTTGACTATGGTGACAACACTATTTTTATCTTATACATATTGAATGTTTTAATAGGCCAAATTGCTGAGATCTTTCTTTTTCCACTGTTAATGTATTTCAGAGACTTTATGCAGATATAGCAGGATCAGCATTGGGTCCATGGTACTTTACTGCTCTTTATTCACTGTATAATAACTATGTCTGCTCTCTATTAAAGATTTTCCCTTCCAGCTGTAAGCCACTATTTGAATAATATATAATGCCCTTCTTGACCTGTTTCATTCATCTACATATAATTCCTGTCTCATTTTCTGTTATTCAAAGGGATTTCCCAGGAGATACCTTTTTCTCTGTTTGTGGTCTTTGTGCATTAGCCTGCCTCCTGACCAATGTGCAGTAATGGAGGGCTTGTTCTGAAATTGCCATTATTTTCCAAATGGAATGTGACCGTAGCAGGGCTTTTAGTTCCTCACATGTGTGTGCTCTGATGAGACAGCTTGCACTGAGCAGTTTGAAGTGGGCTTGTCATCAAGGGACAGATGTTGAGTGGTGGAGAGACACCTGAGGAAAATGTACACTCTCTTCTGCCTTCGGGGTGAGGCTAATCATCCTCCTGCAGCTTCTTTGTGAACACGCCTTTGTTTGACTCAAATAACTGTCCTCTGCCCTTCAGGGGCACACAAATGTTAAAGCTTTCTGTGTTTAGACACAAACAGCTTTTTACTTAAAATAGGACAAATAATGCAATACTGCAGTATTTCTACCTGATACACTGTAATGTCAGGTGTATAATACATGAACCATGTGCTGGCATTCACATCTGCTGACGACTTCAGATAATCAAAGAGAATGTCAAATGTGATTGCTAATGAAATATTCCCTTCATGTGAGATGAGGAAGTGGCTGCACAGCTGTGTGAGCTGTAAAGTATCATTACCCTCATCACACTAACCATAGCACAAAAATATTCTCTGATAGTGAGTTTCTGCTCTGATCAATAGCCTCATAAATACATGGAATATCCCAAGGCTGTTTACAAATTGAAACACACAGCCCGAGGCTACAGAAGGCTCTAAATGATTTGCGTGATCAAAGCCAAAGAAGCGACTGGAAACAGGAAAGAGCCATCAGAACAAGTAGACAGTGGGACGAGACAAGTCATCAGTAAGTGATATTACTTTGTTAGATTCTAAGAGTTCTTGTACATGCTCACTACTGTGATGTACAAATGCATGTGATCTGGTGCTTCTTAGAGAAATGTATAAAGGGGGTAGTCACTGTACTTTGTGCGTGAAAATGTAGTGACTGACAGGAATAAGTGGATGCTCAGCTGCTTTCATATGAGCTCAGTTTTGTGGTGAGCCACCATCAGCACCTTTGTTTTCAGACTTACCATGCACTTTATTCTTTTCATTGAACTAAAGTGTTCATTGATATCCCACTTGCCATACTGACATGTTTTTTCCTTTTTTCCAGCAGGTACTTGGAGGCTGTGTGCAGCCGTATACATCTACCATGCTGGCCTGTATCCAAAGACGACAGAACTTCCCCTCACAGCATCTCAATTGCTCTACCAAAAGTGTCATGGCTTCGGCACCTCCACTCCTACTGCCAGCGCCACACCTGCAGCCTGGCATCTCAAAAGGTGAGCTCCTCTTTGCATCAGTCATCTCTGTGCTAATGTCATGGTTTTTAGACATTTTCACCATTGATCCTAAATTAGTGGCTAAATGAATAGCTCTTGTATCGCTTAAAAGTTGGCTCCTGGAGTTCTGTGACTATGACAATCTAATTGTCGATACAATGTTACTGTCCTCTTTTTAGACATTAAGTACGGGATAAGTGAACTGTTCCTCATGTGAGTGGATTAAATTCTATACAAATGCGGATTGAGGTTGGTCTTTATTGAAATTACCACGTTTTTGTGCTGTGGTTTGAACGAGTGTTTTTCACCACTCAATTTACAATGTGTTTTCCTGCGGTGTATTTTCAGATAATGGGCCCATAAATATAGTGATTTGGCATTTGCACAGTCACAGTCCTGCCAGTGCCATATGATACAATATTTGGGAAGGCTTACCATTGTCCACTGGGTATACAGCCTGCAGATTTCACACTTTTAGAGGCACCACATGAACATATATAATGGTCCCTAATTGTCAGCTTTCAGGGACAGCTGTGCTGAGATTAACCTGACTCCTACTAATGCTCGCAGGTGTTTTGACTAACTGCTGCTGGTTAGACTTCCTGTCAGAGGGAATGTGGCTATATCTGGGCATGTGGTCTCTAGACTACGTATCATTGAGAGTCATGAATGCATCAGTGCTCTACAGACAGGTGTATTGCAGACACTGAAATGGGATCTGTTTCACTCTGCACAAATTACTGTCAGGAAATGGTTCAGACTAACACTATGTGAAGCACTAATCTGTAAGTCAAATGTAAAAACTTTGTCAGCAAATATAAAGTATACACTATTAATCAAGAAGTATCACTTGTTGATGGCACCGATATGTTTATTGCTATTTACAGGGAGTTCCTAATGTGTCCTAATACCCTGTCACTCATCATATTTACTGTTGGGACTGCCTGGTGCTATCTGGAGTGTTGGAGCTGTTCTATATTTTACCCCCCACATGATCTATTTTTATTCAGTTATAAAAAAGTGAACTCTTCTTTGCCTCCATTTTGCTCCTGCAGTGAAATAGCTCTTTGTCTCTATGTTATTAAATATTAATTGGGAATCAGTGGAGCGATTGTCTGCTAAATGCTGGAACAGAAGGAGCCAGTATGCCCGAGGCACACTGTAACCAGGGGTGTACTTCACATCCTGTTTACCTGCAGGGCCCGCCCCCCTGGGTTTAGTGTTGAGCAACTGTGGTTGGTGCAGCACCCTGCAGCTCCAGCCTCACATTTCACACAAACCACAGGGAATCGACTGAGGAGAGCTCAGTGTGTGTGGCCCAGGCCCCTTCATTAAACTCATCGCTGTTGGGCTGAGTTAAATTGGGACAGTCTTTAGTTTCTGCAGTGCTTTTGAAAGTCATTTCCATTTTTAGATATAAATAAATAGAAGGCAATGGACAAGAAAGCTCTTAGCCACAGAATGTCATTTGAAAGATTTTGGTGAAATGAGTGAAGAATTATGAGTGAATGAGAGCTGTGCTCATCTTGAGCTTGAAGGCACAGACTGGAGATGCTTTTTTCCCACGCTATTGGCCCACGCCTGAGCCGGCTCTGAGAGAAGAAAACTTTGCCCAAGCTGGTGCAAGCGGCACAGAAACCAATGAAGAGTGACACTGGTGCGAAGTACAGAGAGAGCCTCTTCCAGCACACACAGCTAAGCGTAGTGTTCCACCCTGAGGTTACTCTGTTACTGTTTCTTCTCTGGACACACTGGTGACTGGGGGAAAGGGGGGAGACGGGAAAGGGGAAAGGGAAGGACCTGGCTTTAGTCTTCTGTCATAGTGTCGATGGTCGGCAGTAGAGACTTGGTGTGTGGGATGTCAATTTGTTTACTCCATTTTGACATAGGACTAAATGCTCTCATCTTTGACACTGGCATCTTTAGAGATGTCAGTAAACCACAATTATTAACATACAATTTACTGTTTAAAACTGATTTTATAGCTAATCACAATGATTATGAAATTTACTCATTTGGTCAGGGTTTGTTGAATCAGTACAGAATCTCCGCAGTCCTCCCAGACTGTATGCATCGCTAATTGGATTTCTGTTCATTATGTTTGAATAAAATGAACATTCTGTTTTGGTGTTAAGAATACTGTGTGTGTGTGTGTGCGTGTGTGTGTGTCTGCTCAACTGAGGTTTGTGCTTCTAAGCAGCGGACAGTCAGTACAGAAGCTTGTCTCCCATAGACGAATGGAGGCAGGGCCAATTAATTACATGGTTCTAATGACTGGGCTTATTGGGCCAACAGGGTACTTAGAGGAGGTTGTCATGGTAACCCGAGACATAGGTTTTTAATGTGTCTTGAAAGTGCTGTGCCTCGCCGTCCCTAAATCTTAAGGTAGGCTGGAGCATTTTAAATATCAGGATTATTGGTGTGGTAAACAAGTATTTAGGCGGGCACAGAGGCGCTGGCCTGTAATTAGCTGCCAGCTCGGAACTCCACGCTGCTGCTCAGGATTTGACATGCAAAATCTGTTATCTCCAAGTGCGTCCCATAAGTTTCGCTACTACATCAAAGCCATACAAGCCTGAAGCCTGGCAACGCAGCACACATGTATGGAAATGAGCAGGCATAATTTATGAAATAAAGTTTATCTCCGGAGAATCCTATCTAGCGGTCACTGTAATGCGTTCCTTATGTTGGCCCTGGGGGGTATGCAACCATTGAAAGCTGGAGGCTTGGAGAAAGGCAATGTTCGGGTTCAACTTCTTTTTTCAGACCTGCCCCTGGGGTTGTTTTGCCCATAAATTAGTGATTAGCTCCAGCCGCTAAAAACAATGAGGTTTCTGCTCTAATCTTGGAAAAAATGGCTGGGAGTATGGCCACGGGGAAAAGATTAGGCAGTTAAAGTGACAGAAAACACTCAGTGGGAATGCATGGGGGTGGGACCTGTGTAAGGAAAGGCCATATATTTGAGGCAACATTGTAAATAAGATGGCTATTATTCCCCAATTATCTCAAAGCCAGTGTATAAGCCTTCCTTTTTAAGCCCTGATGCATGCATGGACACAACCGCACACAAACCGAACAGCCCTATTGGTGACTATGGGTTTATGATGGACCAGAGCCACCCGCTGTTTTCTTTGCGAGCGTGTCTCCTGGCTGGAAGCAGGAAATGAGGATTAGGTGTTTCCTGTGAAAGCGTGCCAGTTTGACTCAGCAGGGTGCCACAGCGCCTCAACAGCATGTTTAATGTGGACCGCCTCTTCCAACCGGGAGCACATTTTGAGCCCGACTATTGGGATCATTAAATCTATCAATCAGGACTCACCAAATAGCAGTGTCATTAGGAAGTGGAAAAAGTAAGAGCAAGCCTTGTCATCTAGAATCAATCTCCATCTGTAATAGAGGGAGGATGTAATAAAGAGCGCAAGTGGGTAGCCATAAAAAAGTACTTCTCTGTCAAAATGATACCAAATGGGTAGAAGAAAACAAGCTATCCAATTATTTGCTTGAGATTAAGTATTTAGAAGTAACATCTAATTGACAAATGGATTACACCATAACAATAAAGTTTAAATATAGCAAACTAAGTTTCCATTTTTCACCACCTAAACGCATATATAGGTAACATAATAATAAATAGACTAACAAGGCATCGACTGTTACTAAGTAACTCATCATTGAATCACTGTTTAAAAATGTATTTTATTCCCAAAATTATTCAAGCAAAATGTAACTCATTACTCTCTGCTAAAGACTCAGTAAATGCAAAGTGCTAGACCAGTCAAGGTTGTTGCAAACACGACTAATGGTGTATTCAGTGCCATTTGGCCGTGGCTCTCAGGCAACAGAGTGAAGCGGTGTGCTATGTGCAGGTTCAGGGTGATTAAGTGCTTAAGGTCAGACTGCTAATTATCTCCGCTCTTCTCTTTACCTGACAGAGCTGGGTTGCCATTTCCTGGTTGTCATGTCAACAGTCCCATGTTTGTTTTTGCTACTATATTTTATGCCTCCGGTTCCTGATTATTTCCTACCACTGCTCTTTTTAAATGTGAAAAAAACAAGATATTTAATGTTACCTGTATTAGGGTTGTCAAAATCAATACACAGAAACTAATGGATACTAAAACTAGATTCAGACTAGATCCTCATTTCGGCAAGTATTGATATGTCAGAACTAGCATAAGACCACATGTTTGCTGTAATTTATTTGGTAAAAAATAACATTAAATTGTCTAAAAAGTGTTTTGATTGAGTCTATCATTGTGTTTTTCTTAAAATTAAAACTGAATTTTTAAACTTTAATATCGTGACAACACTAGCACTTTAACAGCTTTTCATATGACAACCTTTCATATTCTCTGATGTAAAACAGATAGGAGCAAAGTTAGGGAAAAGTCGTGTAATTTTGAGTTGATTTATATCCTCCAATTTATCTCTTCTCAGTCCCCTGGGGAACAGCATCCCCACGTTGGTAAGCAGCGCGATAAGCTTTAATGAGCTTTCCAGCCACTTTGGGTTTGTGTACACTGTTTGTCTGCATTATTTCCCTGTATGTGCCCGCTGTGTGCGAAAAATTAAGCCCATATTAATGCAAACATACTCCAGGAACAGCGTGATGAATATTATCTGCTCAAGGCGCCAAAGGCTGATTAAAGCTTGGTAATATTCTCAAGCTCAAACTATGGAAATGTTTAACTTGGCTTTTAGATGCGAGGTGGGAATGGCCTCATTTACAATTCACTTTGCACACTTTGAAGACCATGAATCAAAGCCACTGTAGATGCATATGGATAAGTAAGAGTTATTGTAATTTTTTGTAGTTATTGTCTTAATATAGTTTAAAAAAAAGTAAGTCAAGATGTAGGAAATAAGAGTATCAGTAGGAAGTGTTTGGTAGAACAGAAGTGACTTTTGACCCACTTTAAATGTAAACTATTGATTGCGCTTTTTTGGTAGTCACCATTACAGTGAAAATCATAAGTGACAAATGTGTGTTTCACTTCATATTGCTTAAGTTTAGCCTGAAATGACTTTTTGAGCCTTGTTTTCTTTTTACAAATAATATGCCAACCTTTGCTGTTTTATTGTCAGGTTGAATTGAATAACTCATACATTTCAAGTGACATAAGCCCTTTGGCTGCGCTCTCTGCTTGGTCTACCACAATTCAGCACCTCTGATTGGCATAAAAACCCACAGGACTGAGACAATTACCTCTGTTTGTTAATTTAAAACCGGTTTACTGCTTGCTGGGTCATTTTCACATCTTATTTTTTAATAATCATTATCACTGAATTTCTGTTTCTGCTAAAATAACAATTGCTCTTTATGCACATGTCACACACAGTAGTGGTCTTGCAAATGACAAATGTAGGAATGCAAAGCGTGGAAAGGCCTATTTGCTAATGAGGTTACCATAGTACCACATTAAGGCAGCCCCAGTGGGTTGTGCAGCTGTGTTGTGTCTCCATGGCTCTGACAGGGCTCTAATCTCTGGCCTAACAATATCAGACACCCTGTGAAGACATGTTAGTATTCAAAGTGTTTGTGGAACTGCGCGTCAGTCGCACCACACAAACTCTGACATTTGCCTCAAAAGAAAACGTCCAAAATGCCAGATGCACATTGGACCCACACAGATTTATTCCTTTGGTAATTAAGTAACATAATTTCACAGTAGAAATTGATGCTACATTTTTTGTCCAATAATGTAATGGTCCTGAAAGTGCATGTGCCATTAGTTATATCCTATAAATGAACATTCTACTGGTGCTATGCTTTGAAATAACAAAACTTGCTTTAATACAGGTATGGTTCTATATTACAGTGTTACATCCTGTTTTAGTTTAGTCCAGTCTGTAGTTTCAGTTCAGTTTTAGATCAGATTTTGTCTTTTTCTTCCTGTTTATAAGTAAAATTTTTGTAGGGGTATGTCACCTTTTATATTTTAGGACCATATCTCCAAATTGTTGGCCTATTAAGGTGTAACCAGAAGTCAGAGATAGTTCATGCAGCTGGTTCTTCCGGTTACTTCTCTCCGCAGTGAGATTATGAGAAAGCACAGCGGATTGGGCTCACATCTTGATTTTGTATATAGTATAAACAACTCCTTGGGCAAACCCAGATGTCGTTGTTTTCCAAAGCAGCTCTACTCAGCGCTACATAATAAGCTGTGTTTTTGCTTTGTTGTATTTCTCTGTAGAATGCATTCACGCTCCTGGCACTGCACTTGCTCCTTTGGGAGATTGTTGCATGGATTGAATGGTTCTACCTTATACCCATTCCTCCTCCATTTTTAAACACCCAATTTATTTTCTTCATGAGGTGGATCTTGTAGATTGAGTCATTTTCACAGTCTGAGGCTCACTGTAGACCTGAAATGAAATGAACTCCCAAATCAATTTGAGATGGGAACGACAAGTGAGCCCTCCCAGCATAGCAGGAATTGGTTTTGTCATTGAAATTGAAATGAAGTGTTTTGTTTTGATTTTGCTGCCCTTTTTATAACAGATTACTGTCTTATTCTTTTGCCAGCAATGACTTTCACCATCTTCATGTTAATTTAAATGTATTTGAAAGGATTTCAATAATCTTGACATGCACCATTTTTAAACAGACCACTGTTCTATTTTTATTGCTTGAAGTTAAACGGCCAGCTAATAGTTTAAATGGTACTGCCATTTACTTGTCCCACTGCGTTATTTGGTCAGCTTTGCTTTTGAACACTTCATTTACATTAACTTCACAGGATGATAACTAAAGGAAAGCTTCAAATTCAAATGTTTAGTGAACCTAGAATTTCTTTCTCAGTAGAGAAATTAATCGTGTTAAAAAGTTAAAAGTGTTAAGTGCTTCATTAATTTATTTTTCCATTACAGAAGTTCTAAAAACATGTTTTTTTTTTACTTTTCAGGAGAGCCTGCACCCATGGTATCACGGTACCCCTCTCCAGCAGAGCTGGATGCCTTTGCTCAAAAGACCGCCAGGAGCCCATTGACCATTAAAATCTTTCAAACTGAAGTGCGGGTGCCACAACATAAACAGTTAAACAAGACTGTCAATGGCTTGGACACTACAGGACAGAGTTATAGCTCCTATCCATACTCTGGAGGCTATCAGGGTTTGCTGGCCATAGTCAAAGCCTCTGTGACTATCAAAGGAGTACTGAAAAACTCAGACGGCAAAAGGACTAAACATTCAAATGGACAGGCATCTATGGCACCATACAGTAATGCTATGAGTAACACCTACAGACATGGACATAAAGCTTATCACACAAGCTCATGTAAGTCATCAGATGTTCCCACTGACACACAGTGTTCTAGCACCAGGGTGGCCTCAGGGGATCCTAGCCGGCTCCCCCAGGCAGAGTTGGCTCAAGTTCAAAGCCTGATGAGGCAGATGAGCAGAAACCCACACAGAGAGGCGCCGCAGCTGGGAGGGGAGGCCCGCACCAGCCCTTCTGTGCAGGCCGCTGCTGCTGTGGCGCCCCAGAGTGGGGTGACGTATGCAGGCGCTGTCTTGCCCACACAGACGGCAGGCATGGCCAAAGCTGTGTACTTGGACAAAGCGGACTATAGGTCATCGTGGCAGCCCAAGCAACAACAAACACAGCAGTATCAGCAGAGAGCAGTGAGGATGTACAATGCTGGGAATGGGACTCACATTGGACAGTCTCCTGAAAGTGTCATGTCTTTGGCCTACCCCTCTCAGCTGTCGTACAGGCTGCCTCCTCCCAATGTGCAGGAGAGGGGGAGTGCCTCCTCTTTGAACTGCATGCAGGGGGATATCTCTACTGGCCCATACTTTGCTTCTCTCTGGGACAACAATATAACATCTACTCCAAATAGTGACAATAGTTATCAGTCTCAGTTGTTGGCAACAGGCATATGCGCTGCCAGACCAAGAGACCTGTCTCTTTCAAATCACCATCCTAAATGCCACCATCTCCATCATCACCAAACGCAGCACCCAGCGCTGCAGCCCCATCCTCACAGCCAGCAGGCCTACAGTGCGGACCAAAACCTGACTGGAGGGCTGCCCACATCTAGCCTGTGCCATGCTGCTATGCTCAGCAGCAGCCTGCAGTCTTTGGAGTGCCTCATCAGTGAGATTCAGCCTCCCTGCATCAAAGAGCGCATGCTGGGCCGTGGGTACCAAGCCATGGGGATGCCTCTGCTGCTGGAGCACCACCACCAGCAAAGCCACATCCAGCTCCCTGTCTACAGATAAGGCAGTGCTGCCACAAAAAGGACTTTTTCTAGACATCTGTGAGAATGAGACATGCTTTTGTTGTTTGTGCGTAGACTACAGTAGGCTTTGTTTTAAGCCAGACATGGAATATCATAATGTATGTTTTTTTTTCCATTGTTGTCAAAAAGCCTGCTGCATTGCATTTCATGTCAGAAATGACCACATATTCTTTGCAAACCTGCCTCAGTTAAGTTAGGTAATTTCTTCATTTCTAAATTTCTTTTCATTGTTTTGTAAATATATTGTATATTTTTTACAGAAAATCTTATTTGTTAGAGAACATTCCTTTTATTACCATCTGAGCTCTTTGGTCGTTAGCTCCTTTGTGTTCTACTGTGACTTCTAAAGAATTAGAGATAATATTCCCTTATTATCCATGCCCGCATTTGCAGACTATAATGCAAATATAGTAGCCACTCTACTGTGGAAACAGTTTGATCTTTTGCATAAAAAGAGTACAGTTTTTGCCATGCAGTCATTTCCAGAGTACAAAATGTAAATCAATTTCATGTAGTTATGCAGCGCTGCATGTGGAGACTGCTCCATAACCAAACACCATGGCATTCAGGTCAGGAGATGTTTGCATTTTGAGTTGTATTTTCGTTCACTTTGAAATTCCTGGGAGATTGTGTGGATGTTTACAGTTTAATGAAAGGTTTGTCTGTGCAGTACTTCCCAGGTAAAGCTGAGTGCCACGTTGAAGCTAAGGCCATTTGAATCATTTACTGTAACTTGTTTTTAGGGCTCTGTTGTCTCTGAGGGTGGTATTTGTATGACTGAGTAGTCGTGTGTCTGCACTGGTTCTTGTTCTATTTATTTGGGTCTGCTTGTTGGGTTTTTATGGCATCCCTACTATTATAAAGTGCAATTATTATTATTATTATTATTATTGTTATTATTATTATTATTATAAAAATATGTGAACACTGTCCATGAAAAATTATGTTAACATAATTTCAAATGTATGACCCTAATCACACTTTTTGCCTCTTCTTAAAATGGATTGTCAAGTAAAGGACATTTTCTAGAATCTAAACCATGTGTGCTCTTTTTTTAATCCCTTTGGACAAACTAGCATACAGATGGGTAGAGATTTTATCCACACCCATCTGCACTTATAAAACAGATGCATTATCTAGCATTGCATATAACTCTTGCCTTTACTCCTCTAAATGCATTTGATGTCTTATTTTGATCAAAATCTCCTCCTTCAACCACAATTTCAGGTTAATATTGGCAAGAGGGTAATTTCTCAGCTGCAATAGCTTGTCGTATAAATAATGAATGTGCATTACGGGGAATAATTTGGTTTTCATAGTCATTTATATCATTAATGCTTGAGGCACTAATGCATAAAAACATGTTCTATGCAAGCCTAAACACAAATCCTACCCTCTATTTTACCTTACATTTCATTCATGGTTACAATAATTTTTGCTTGTAGTAAGCAAAAATATTAACAAATTTGAATCTGCATTTCTTGCTGTTCCAGTGTAGTTGCACAAGTGGTGGTAGAAGCAGTACAAATTGTGGAAAAAAAAACAGTACTAAACGCATTTTACTTATTAAAGTGATGTTGAATACTGGGCTACTTCAGAACCAATAGTAAGCAATCTTTTTAACTAACCTAATTGTAGCCTACATAAAGAAGAAGACTGCTAAGCCTATGTGAATAACTTCATCAACTGCATTGTCAGGATTAAATTACAGGTCAGTTCAGTGGTGACCTCTCTTCAGATAACCAATCTTCCAGAGTTTTAGGGTCAGTGGGTTTGTCACTGGTGCGCTGTAGTAAATGATTTCCTGTCTTTAGCCCGTTGTGTCTTGGCTTCACTCTGGGCTCTTTGGTCCTATCTCCCGGTCAGACAGGCCAGGCGTGGTGCTGATAAACCTCCAGGATTACTGACATGCTCCTCTCTTGCTTTCACTTGCACACGATTAACTCGGTCCGGGCTCGGCTGGGAAGGCAACCAGAGTCACTGCGGCCCCTAGGACACACTTCAGATAAGTAGGACTGCAGACCCAAAGGCTTCTTGATCTGAAGGATTAGGAGACGGGATGAAGAGAGAGGGCTTCTCCATTTGGACTAAACCTATTAAATCAGCTATAAAATTGGGTTTGGCTATGGTCAATCTTGCAAAAGCACTAAGGTTAACACAAAGGGTAAAGTTTAACTAGAATTAACTTTAGTAAATAGGGCATCATACTCAGTGTAATTATTTAGTGTTAACAATTTCCTGAAACGTAACCTATGCATGGAAGAAAATCCAAAGAACACTATTGCCACCTGCAGTTCAATTTATGAAGTGACCAGAGAGGTCAACTTATTATTACAGAGCTAGTTTTTATGCCTCAGAAATGATTATTTATGATTATCAATATAAATGAGAATAGTAAAGGGTGAGCACATCCCAGCATATCCACAAGGATGACACATACATAAGTAGGCTAAACATTACCATTTATTATTCTGGACCAGATTAACCTAAAACCTAATGTACCTTACGACTGGTGGGACAATGCAGGGAACCAAGGATGACAAAACGTTTGGACTCTAACCAATATATTTAAAGGGAAACAAGAACATATGACTTTGACACAAAAACTGCTTTACTATTAGGCCTATTCTTTTCATTATTGTTGGTGAACTTTCTCAGGAAGAGCTACTTTCCGAGACATAAACAAAACATACACAATTTATATTTAGTAAATATTTAATAAATAACAGAAGATTACACACACTTCAAGATTGAATTTGAAACAATGTGAAAATAAAAACAAGAAGAAAAAAAACAAACAAAAAAACAAAACCAGAACCCAACTGCCAGTGCCATGAAAAACAGATGAACTATGCATGTGAATCTTTGTTTTTTATTTTTTTTATGTAAAGCCAACATAATAACATAATAGAATACCAAGATCCTTTCAGTCTGTTGTTTCAGTTAAAAACATGCAATTAAACCTGAACAGGCTCATGAAATATATTAGAGGGTTTTGGGGTTTTTTTATGTGAAGAGTGCATAATATTCTTTTGAACAATACAGCATATGATTTTATAAGGCACACGTCAATTAATAAATACCACAGTATTTTAAGTAATATTGTAAAACTATATGTACAAACGTCCGTGTTATGAAGCATCAAACACTGTAGTCAAGCTCTGCATTTAGATTTGTGTACATGTCATAAATGGCATCTACAGTGGCTGTGAAGTTCACCAGGAAATGACGCACATTTTCCAGGCATTCTTCCTCTTTTACGTCCTCTCCTTTGGAGAGAGCTTTAATAAAGTCTGACCTGTAAGGAGCTGCAATCAGGGCTGCCTGCAAAGGGAGAAAACAGTACATTTAGTCAGGTCCTCATTCACTAGATTGCACAAAGCATTTTTAAATGGAGATGGCTTGTTATTGTGATTATATGCAACATTCAATAGAGATATAGGCTATTATTTCAAAACCTGGTTTGTGTGTGTCCGTGTCACCTTAAAAATCTTTTGCACAAACCAGCCGTGATATCTCTTCAGTGCCCCTTCATAAGCCTTGGTAATACTGACTCGAATAAGGTTAGGGTTATTCTCATCTTTTTCACCATCTGCCAAACTCTGAAGCAAGATTTGAATAAAACGGAGCCCCCTGCAGGAAAAACAGAGGTGCTGCATCAAGACTGTGTCTTCTTATTTTACCTTCCCACAACATGGGGACAAAATGCTAACCTTTTCAACCACATCAAAGCAAGTGTTGCACCAACTTTAGGCCATTCAGATGCATGGTCCTCTCTTTCTGCCTCCAGGATATGCTGCAAAGTGACATATCTCTGCGGATTCTTCTCATAAACTCCTCGAATTTTCTATATAAAAACGAACATGGCCTATATTTTAAAAATGTCTGTAAGATATGTAACCTAACACACAAGTCTTACCGTGATATTGCCAATAATATCGGACTTGATGAGTGAAAAAACTTTTGAACCCAGACAGTCTGTAAGAGATGGATATTTGAGAACAGCTCAATGAAATATGAATGAGTATTCACACTGGAGCCAGGCACGGTTAGTGTACTGCCAGTCTGTATTCAATGCATGCATAGTTCCAGTAAAGTTACAATGGGGTCAATGTGTGTCGTCCAGTGCGTAAACAAAGAGTTTCTCTAATGGTCAGGTGGCAGCTGATTCAGTGGAGCTCAGCGCGTACAGCATGCGTAACAGTCAAGTCCTCCTATCCTATCTCATTCACAAGTGGCGTGGCATCGGAATAATCGTGTCATGAGAAAGTCAGCAAAGAACGGAGCGTAACAACCGCAGTACGCTTTATCAAGTAGACTCAGTACCGCGTACTCACCGATAAAAGCGGGGAGATGCGAGACAGTGTCTAAAAACAACTTTGTGTCCACTGAGTTATCAGGTGGTAGCTCTTTGAATTGGTTGTCTAGCAAGAGAGACATCTTCCAGTCGTGTTTCAGTGCGTAATAACGCAACAGTAACGATCAGCCCTCGTCTGGAAAGAACCCGGAACTCCTTCCTCGTGATGGGAGGCGCCGCCAAACCCATCGCTCTGGTCTCTCAAACAGGTGGGGAATTACACAAGGGTTTACTGAAACCGCTGCCTTTCAACTATAACAACAAAAGACGCACAACAGCACAGCGGGGAGGCTGCAGCACTTTATTCAGACTAAGGCAGGGACTGTGATGGGTTTGAAATTACACATGACAGGTTCAACCAGGTGCGGAAACATGTCTATTTAATTATAGTATTACCCATTTATTGGAATTTGCGTCACGTGGATCGAAGCTGCTTCACATTTGTAATGGACTTAGATTAACAGAAATTAGGATACTTTCCAATAGGCCTAATTAGAAAGGAAGCATGAGTGACATTAAGGAATAATATAGACACCAAGCCCTAATGTTATATTAATTTATTCATAAAATAACAATTGTGAAAAATAAAGACTTTATTTTGTATTGGGCTACTTAAGGGGCAATAGACAAGCACTGGGGCAGTCGATCGGGTCTTTAGAGGAGCCTTTGAGTGCATGTATAATTGCAAAATTTTATAATGAAATATTTACTAATTGATAGGTGTTTCCTGTTTCCACTCGTAGTTGAAATCTGACCAGGGTCAGTCACGTTACAATAATTGTCACAGGTTTAAAGTTGACATTATCACTGATTGTAAACCACAGTGGTGCAAGTTGGATCACTATACCATATACACAGAGCCCACACTTAACTGGTAGCTAGCACAAATCTCACAATGTGAGAGGCATTAAGTTAAAGAAAGCTTATGAAAATAAACACTGGTATTTTGTAGAGGTCTGACATACATTTATAAATAGAATAACATTTGTAGTATCTGCTTAAGACTTACAATACATAATACATATTTTGCATAATACATTTAAAACAGATTAAAATATACTTTATGGTCCACACGTTTAAACACCAATGCAGAATATGGCAGTTAAAATTCAAATAAACTCCAAGATTATAAATTCTTAATTTAGATGAGGAGATCACCATCTAGTGATTGTCGGGTTGTGGTAATGTTCCCGAGAATTACTTAAACTATAGATACCACATGAGTTGAAATGTGAGTTAATAACTCTGAAAGCCATTTTACTTTTTTGTATTTTTATGGAACTAGTTATTTTTATATAAATAACACTGTAGCAATAACATACTGGCATTTTTTCCAATTGGTCAACTGAGGCTCAACAGCACGTAACATCAAGTAACGCAATGTGTGAAAGCTCCGAGTTTGAGTTTTGTACAATGACATTCAACATTTAACCATTGTGCCTCCACAAGGAAAAACAAACAAACCTTATATCCATTGTTTAGGAGGAATTACAATGAAATTGTGCCCAGTTAGGAATATGACATGTTAGTGGAAAGTCAAAATGTAAATTACGCATACTATAGTATATATGTCACAAAGTATAGTATGCTTTGTGTGTAGCAGAAATATTACTTTACTTAGTTGTTGTTCTCTTTGGTTGTCACAGTGACAAGTTGCTTGGCAGCTTTGGCGATGTCATAGGCACACTGGATGACCTGCTGAGTGACCAGCTGGATGTCTGATGGACAGGGGCAATGCTCCGCAGCCTTCTGGCACTCTCCATGGAGACGACTAGCACTGGAAGTGAGCAGACACAGAGAGCCACGAACAGTCTCTGAGGAAGGCCTCTGCAAGATGAGATAAAAACATAAAGGACAACATCCTTAAGTACAGCACAAGTCATAGAATAAACATAAAATGGTGTAATCATATAAACAGCCCTGTCAGACCTGACAAATCTTGTTAGAGTGGTTTCTTGTTTGGTAAACAAAAAGAATGGTGGGTGTGGTTTATGGGTCATCTTACCTTGGGAAAAAGGGCTGCCATCTCTGTCACAGCCAGACAGATCTTCTCCGAACAGGGCAGAAAGCTGTGGGAAAGTGCCAAACATAGATGATAAGCCTTGATTGAGGGTTTTTAATTTTTCCTATTTTTTCATAATAAATGAGTATAATAATGCAATAATAAAGATACACCATCCATTACCAACATCTGTACATTGGGTTTGTTATGTACATACAGCATACACGTTGATGGAATGATTTGAACATATTAAGAAAAAAGCATCAGAGTAGTAATATATCACTCAAATATGATACAGTAAATATTGGGAAGTGAATAGATAAAGTTCTTTGTCTGAGAACAATACTTCTGGTTTTATTTGTGGAGGCATACTGATGGTGTAGTAGGCCTTTAAATGTAAGGCAGGAAACAACATCTCTTTCAAACCTCTACAAGGATCCAAGTGTCACCAAACTTGAAGTGTCTGTTCACACTATGGTACAACTGGCAACACTCATTAATTGTTTGACTAAATAATTATTAAAATGTTAAAAAGGTGCAAACTTAATCACAGGTGTTTTTATTACTCAAAAATATTTTGAATCATCATCATCATTTTAACATTCTCAAGTTGCTTCGACATTGCACAGATGAGTTTTTCCAATCACAGGACATATGCTTTAAATAACTGCAATGTAAATTTGAAGATAAGTTACAACCACTCCAAACCACTATGGACCAAATTCCCAATTAACAAACAGATGGAGGTCAAATTTTAACAATTATTTGAGGAGTTCATATGTCCACAACTAAAGTAGATAGGAAGAAGTCCAATCTCTAGCATCACATAAAGTTAGAAAAAGTAAATAAATAACTAAAAGATTTACCTGTCATGTTTTGTTTCCTGGGCAGCACGAAGAAGCTCTTGTATATTTTTAGTGATTTGCTCTGTCTTACAGATGACATCCTCAGTGCATGGCAAAGTGCCATCTTCCTCAACTCCTGGGTCAGTAGTGTCTATAGCTTGTAGAGGACTGCTGCAACATGAGAGGGAAACTCTACTACTCCTCCTACTACTTCAGCAGTGAACATAGTATAAAGAAATAATCTTTACCCAGCATCTTCAAGCTCAGAATGATTTGGTGTAGAGTCATAGTCATTCTCCATCACTGTACTCTGTCCTTCCAAGCTGCAGCCCTACAGACAGATGTGAAAAATGTGAGTTCTTTTGTTCCAATATAACACAAAGACAATGGCAGTGACCTGCAACATAATTTTTGATAAGGCACAACAATTATCAGAACCATGCATTTCTGAGCAAAAAGCTGAAACAAGATTACATTTTACAATCAAATAAAAGGGAAATGAAACACAAACATCAGTCCAATTAATTTGGAGCCTACACTGCATGATTAGTAATGCAAAAGTGTATTGTAAAGCTGGGTGTTCCCAGGGCAGCCATAGAGAACATTATGTCCCTAAAGAATATTTACCAAAGCAGTTCTGAGATGTCAACCTTATTTAGAAAAAGAAGCTCTACGGATAGACAGAGCTGTGTGACAGTAGATGCACGGGGATCCATGCAGGCAGTGAATACTGACAAATAGCAGAGAGGAGGCTGTAAAGTTAAGCTTAGAAGACTGTTTTTGCTGTCACAAGAACTGCTTGTGAACCCTGGTACTTAACCCTTCGAGATCTCTCATCCCACGACCAGGACAAGGAAGAGGGGAAGGTAGGAAGGGAGGAAGCAGCCGTCCCCAAAGGACCCCTCCCAATCTAGAAAGGGGTCAAACCAAGATGAGCAACTGGATGCACTGATTGACTGAATAATTAATCAAATGAAAAACCAACTCCAGGCCAGTCAACAGCATTTCTTCTCAAAACTGCAATCAGTCAGAAACAGCTCATCTTACATTAGTTTGGAAGGGCTGTAAAATGACTCCATCCTCACTCCGAGCTGGTTCTGCGCGGTGGGGGTACTGTCGCAGATTAGATCCGGTCTCATACATGGACAGAGCACGGCCTCCCCGAAGCGGCTGTCTACCAAAGGGACCCTGGGGCTGTTGATGTCCACTGGGAGCCTGCCATTTTAGCGTTGTGTTTTCAGTCTGCAGGGAGTTTAACTGAAAAGAGGAGAATGGGTATTATCACACAAGATGATTTTGTTTGCATGTGTAGTTTAACAAGTAGTATGTGCACATTTTTATAACTATACTTTTTTCGAGATGCAAGACAATGACAATGATGTACCTTGCTTTGCATAACCCTCAGTTCTTCACTTAAATGACAGTTGACTTTGAGGAGCTGTTGTATTTTTGCTTCAGAGGCTGTGAGAGCACTTTTGACCTCCATAAACTCCTGAACTGTGATTGGTCCATCTGACAGGTCCGATGATTCTGAACTCTACAACACAATATAATAATTTAAAGAAAGTAGTTAAAAATGTTTTAAATTAAGCAGAAAATCCAGTACCTTGGTCCTTCCATCATTACAGCTGTCAATGCAGGTTGCCTCTTGTACAGGGTCTTCATCTGATGCAACACTATCATAATCATTATCTTGGCTCTCACTGTTGTGGCGACTGTTTATTCCCTGAAGAATCAGCTCTACATTTTCTGAACAACAGAGAAAATAAATAAAAAATAAAAGGATTAGTTAAAAGCAAGTTGTTAATAAATAGATAATTAACCTGCTTAAAAAGTGTCATACCTTTTGGACTTTCACAGGTATTGCCCCATTGTCTATGTTTTGCATCTGTCAAAATATCAATGACAAGAGTGGCAAACTCATGAGCACTAAACCTTGCCAATTTCTGACGACCCTATAGCATGTAAACAAAGAGATGTTAAATTAAACAGAATATAACACAATAAACTGTTTAACACAGTTATTAAATCTGTTTATCACTCGCCTGATTTCTAGTAGATGAATACTCTGGATTAACTGGCAGGAACGGTACGACTGTTGTGTCTGTGACAAGTGTGCTGTGGTTTTGTGTTGCCAACCAAACTGCAAAATAGACACATTTACTTCATAAAAACAGTACACAATATAGTCAACAAAATATGTTTAACATTAACCTGCATCTGTTTCTCTTCTATCCACTTCATCATAGACATCCATGGCAAGTTCCTCAAACTGATGATTACTAAGCTATAATGCATTAATATCATTAACTGGGAAAGAAACATATTTTTGTTCAACAACAGTAAAAAATATCTTACCGACTGGAGCTTCTTCTTTGCAGCTTTTGCTAATTCTGACAAATCCAGACTGTTTATAAAAAATTAAGTTACTAAATAATTATAATAATGAATGCACCAAACATGTTAGCCAACCACACAGCCAGGCACTTACTTATTTCTTATCCATCCATAGCAGCACAAAAGAAATTAAAATGATTTGACTTAACAGTTATTTATTGCATAATTTCATAACACTAAGCATTATATCACATGTCACTATTAATACTGACTGTATTACCTGTCTGCCATTTGTGGAATGACAAAGTGTGTCCCATTTCTGTGATCTGCAAATCGGAAACTCACATTTACCATTATCATTATAGGCAATAACATCAATGTAGACATAAAAAAACAACCTACCTGGTCTTCTACCACAAAGATAAAATGTGAGGCGGTCTGTGAGTTCAAACTGTATTTCCACAAGTCTTTCTGCAAGTTCATGGTGACCAGCTTGTCTAAGTAACAAAACATATGCTATCAACAATGTTGTAGCTGAATACTCAATGAGGTTGAGAAAGACTAGCACGAAGCTTTCAAGATTTAATACAGATTGGTACAAATGTGCAATTTCCTTCCTCTACTGCAGCTGCAGCTGCAGCCTTACTCAGTTATTCACACATTTGTTGTAATATATATGCTATATGCATTACATGATGAATAGGAGTTGTATTGTTTTCCATTTCTTTCTTGTACTTATTTGCATCAACAAATATTCAACATCAGAAATTTTAAATAATTGTTATGAAAAATTTACCTTGCGTAGTCAATTGGTGTCTTTCCACAAGAGTCCAAAGCACCTGGATCAGCTCCATAAACTGCCAAAAGTTCTACTTGTAAAATTTGTCCAGCTTTTGCTGCTATGTGTAGAGGAGTATTTCCTTTTTCCTATGAGTAAAAAATTTTTTTGGATTTCAATGTGAATATTGCTGAACAAAGCAAATTTTACTTTTACACTTACTGGATGGAAGAAATTGGCCTGAGCTCCTAAGGACAAGAGTCTGAGGCAGGTTTCCAGATTTCCAGTTCGAACACTTGAATGGAGTTGCTGCAATGCAAGTGTTTTTCCAATTAAACCACAGAAAGTGCAACAGTGCTTTTTGAAAGATGAGGGTGTGCAATAGATGTCAGCATCACCATGACCTTACTTTTGTTTGAAATGTTTGCATTCAGTTTATAATGCTATGTGATGATGGACTAAAAATTAGACAATAAAAACAATTGAAATGTACCTTGCTGAGATCTTTGGCAGTTACACTGTCATCTTCTCGACAAGGCATCCGATGAACATAAGCCAGCATCTGATATTTAGCCTTGATGAACTCAGTCTTGTTTGGACTGAAAGAACAATCTTTATTAATCTGGGTAATCAAGGATGACTAGTGGTTCTGCATGTTGCAGTAATAACCTGGCTTTATATTACTCTATTTTAACTTGAAATAAACAAACTGTAAGTATAATATTTTTACATTATAGCATTATCTTGGTTTCTTTCAAACTCAATGTCTCTGAGTGGCATTAATGATTCAGTAAACAAAAATGCCAATAATGCTTTCTATCAAACAGAGTGAATCTTGCTCTAGCATGTGACATATAAAACTTTATCATCTTATTGTTGTTATTTTTTATGTATTTGTGCAGCACTTTGGAAACAGTTTGTTTGTGAAATGTGCTATATAAATAAAGTGGAATGGATTGGATTGAAACTTGAGCAAGCATAATCAATAAAATGTCCAAAGGCACTTACTGAACTCGATCTTGAGGGTTGGCTTTGCGCTTTCCACTGACTGAGGAGGAGGGGTCCAAAAGAGTGTGCTCCCAGATGGAGTTAGCCCCGTTACCATACAGTGTTTGCACCATCTAGAAAAGCAGAAAACATAACAGTCTCTCATTAATAAGATAATATGTTTGGTGATGGCCTTGCTTTCTTGGGTCTCCACCCAATGTATTGGAATGGTTTATAATGTGTTCTTGAATTTGATTTTGTCCTAATTTCAGATAGAGGGCAGGGCTTCTGGGAGGCTTATGATCCACAAATGATGAACCTCATCATTTGACTGATATTCCGTTCATAGATTTAACATTCATCTTATGGTTTAAAGTACTTTAAATGACAACAATAATGTCTTTGGTGTTGAAAACTGGCATCACTTTCTAAAGCGATTGTGAAAAAAAATAAAAATAAATAATTTGTCTTTTTTTATTTATGCTGATATGGGAAAATTTATGCCAGATGTGAATAGGCCTGTAATTACAGACACATTAACCATGAACCAAGTCAACAAATCTGTAATCTCACAGTTAACAGCAAATTGTACCATAGAATTCTAACCTGTTCCTGAGCTCAAGTTTAAACTATATGGATACAAGAACGTTGTTGTGATGTCATATGTATGTATTATTACACTACTTAATATATTAGCCTACTATAAATGTACTGTAACATGGAGCAGCTCTGAGGATTTGAAAGCTGTATAGGCTCATATGGTTATTTGGTGTTGTGATAAACAGCCCCCACACCTGTAACTGAGAAGGAGGCCATGAAGAATGAGTCAGATGCCGCACTTGGGAACTGTGTCGTCCCAGACCACGGTGGATACTGCAGCACTCGTCACAAATGAGCACACCTCTGTTGATTGAAGCCCAGCGTGGTTCTGCGTTGCAAAATGAGACATTGTAGACATGGGAATCAAGGGTAATCGTGAGAACATTCACAAAGAAAATATTTTACAGGGATTATTTTGACTGCTTGGATTCTTTAATAACAGAACAGTATCTGTATGACTGTTCCGATATGTATGACTTACAAACTGTGGATCCCCCAGATGAGCAATAATACCATCTGATCATTAGAGGAAAACAGTTTGAAAAGACACTATGGAATTGATCTTCCAAAATACAGCACATAAACAGGACTAGCTTAAGTATTAATGTTAAAAAGGAAACTCATAGCCTTTTTAAGGGTAACATTATTGTTATTGATAGTCTTGAATTGTTGTGATCAGTGTAAGTTGTTAGCACAGCGGCTAATACGTTAGCTTGTTTGACATCCTACCCGGAGTACTGCAGTCAGCGCAGACCTCTCTGCTTCGCAGTCGCTTTGACATCCCTTTGGTCGAAATGCCCGCACCACAGGCAAAACCGTGAGCTGATTTGGGTGGAGAGTAAATGCAGGTAATCTGGCAACACTGGTATAGAAATACAACAGCAGAGTCGTGAGCCCTGCCTACTCTTGAACAAAGCAGGATCCCGCTACTGATACAGGCAGCAGACTGCTCGATGGCTCCTAGCTTACTGCCTGCCTGCTTCCTTCCTTCTCGCAAACATGTAACATAACATAACACTGTTTAGTCCCGTAGAATGAAAATCACACAAGCTGTATAAAATGTGAATGTAGGCAAAATTCTTTGTTGGACTTTTAAATAAAAATTATATTACTTCTGGTTTACAGATTAGGATTTTAGAGCAACACATTGAAACTTTCTAAGATGTGCGCCCTCTAGCGATATCGCAATTTAATCGTTTTAAATTTACTTAAAGGGGGCATAAGGTAATGAATTAGCTTTAACTATGTTATTATAACAGTGTGCCCCCATCAGAAGCTAAGTCACAGTTGTATTTTGATTGATGAATGCATTTTTGCTCAGTCCTGCATTATCAGGCATTGGAGGCTTTTCTACTCAGAAAATTACTCTTTTCACCTACACCTATACCTACCCACATCCCCAGTGCTTATGCCGTACTCACGTGGTCCTCCGGAACTGGGGGAAATGTTTTTCCAAGCTGAAAAGTCATACCAGTTGAGAAAATGGAGCTCAGCAGTGACCGTCCCACCCTGTTTCTAGAAATAAATTTCGTATTCATTTTTCCCATAGAGTTTGGAAGTTTGCGAGCTTGCTCAGTGCTTATCAGCTATGTGTTAGGCCTAACAAATGACCAGAAGACCTATTATTTTTATTAAAATCTGTTCTGAAATTTTATAAACCACAAATGTATTAAAACATTTCACATAATCTTTTGTTTTAAATGTGCTTTTTCAACTCAAAATAATCATGTTATGGATATTAGTTACCAGAGGTGGGGCCAAGTCTTTGTTTTGCAAGTTTCAAGTAAGTCTCAAGTCTTTAACCTCAAGTCCGAGTCAAGTCCCAAGTCAAATACAGGCAAGTCCAAGTCGAGTCTTGAGTCACTGGCCCATAAGTCCAACTCAAGTCCACGTCTTCTGCTTTGAGCTTTAAACCAAAGCTTACATTTTTGCAATTTATATGTACTATATATACTTTTAAGATAAATTGTACTTAAAAAAAATCTTAGTATATTTACAGTATATATGAGTTTTTATAGATGTAAGAGTTGTAGAAATTAATTTAGTTTTTTTTTTTTTTTTCCTTTTTAAATGTCTTGACAACATCTTAGTGTGAATCATTCTGGTCAGAATAGAAAGAATTCAGATTTAAAAGTGCTTCCCAAGTCTTCTCAAGTCACAGGCGTCAAGTCTGAGTCAAGTCCCGAGTCATTGACCTTCGAGTCCAAGTTGAGTCCCAAGACTTAGTCCATGTTATCAAGTGAAGTCTCATGTCTTAAAAATAATGACTCAAGTCTGACTCGAGTCCAAGTCACGACTTTCAAATCCCCACCTCTGTTAGTTACCATGTAGCTGGCTAGCCTCTGCAATGCCTTTGAACTCTTAATATTTGAACTTTTCAAAAAGTCTAAGGGAAAAATTTATGAAACACTTTTGGAACCAAAGCAGGAGGACATTACTGAGCTTCATAGCTGCTGGTGCCCAACTTCTTGACACTAGCTGCTGTGAGGAGATGAGGGGTGTTCAGAGAAAGGAAACCATTTAACATAACATGCAACATATGCACTGTTTTGAGTATTAAAATGGGTGTATTTTATATAGGCAAAACATTTGGGTACGTTGTGGTTTTTTCAAAAAAATACTGTTAGGCTGTTAAGTTTCTAAAATAATGATAGGCCTATATCTCCAAGTATTGCAATATATTGATTATTGCATACATGTATCTCAAAACTGAGATATTATGGTATCATGATTCATGAGTCATATATCATGTAGCCCAGAGGTTCCTAACCCCCTGAGTTTCCCTGCCCCCAGGTGACAGAGATATCTGACGGGCCCCAGAGCTTTGTCTGGTCACAGGATCATGTCATTAAAGCCATTATTTTTGCAAATTAAATAGTAAAACTCTTATGTTTTTTATCTTGTAATGCATTTGATGGCGTGTGTGGTTTTAGACAGGAAGGCGTAACAAGTTACTGATCCACAGAGAAACGAGGAAAAAAGATTGAGAACCACTGATGTAGCCTACTGCATCAAATCATGAGGGAACATTCGTTTCCCAGCACAGGCGAAAATCAAATGTTTTGTAATTTTATTATTATTTATTTTAACATTTGAGCTCTTTAACTAAATGTCACATAACATTGTTGTGTTTACTGTCAGTTGTGCATATCATAAGAGCAACAGATTTGTGCTTGAAAGACCAAAAGTGGTAGAATGTTCCAAAACAATTAACCAGGGGCATAACATCTGCAATTCAGACAGTGCAAATGCTCATGGAGCATCTATGTCCCTGTATGCAAGGCACAAGGTTATATTGTTGGCAGATTGAAGAGCCTGGTTTACAGTATTGGTGTATTTTTTAGCCTACTGCAGGTGAGGTCGAAAACATGAGGGGGAAAAACTCACTCTGGCCATCAAACAATGACATTTGGAGATTGTATATTATATTTCATGGCAAGTACATGTTACATTATGCATTCAAATTAACTTTTTTTTTTTTTTTTTTTTTTGATAGATTTGGATCATAAGCCCAAACACATTTAAGGAGGTAGGAAACAAAATTATTACCTTGTTGACGATGGTTCTATCTTACCAAATAGCCTAATTAAAAGTAGCCTGTGTGCCTATTAGGGTATTTTATATTAGCCAGAATAAATGAATGTGGCGTGATAGTCTCTCTGTTCAGCATACGTTACTGTTACTTTAAAGGGGAGTTGGTTCACGAGGAGATAGCAGACAGATTTCATTTGGTCGCCAAGTGGAGCCCATACATCTTAAACCCTCCTGTGCCGTCTTATGCGCTTTTAGGCTTTTTCTCTTGGTAAAATTGCGTGTTAGTTACAGCGTTAGCGATGGGAGGTAAGACAGCTGTTCTATTTGCGTGTCGTGAGCGTGTCATCAATGTTTTCTTGCAGAGTATTTGTGGTCACAGGCTGCTATACTTATGTTTTCTCCTATGATAGAAGCTGAGACACGTCAGAAATTACTGCGCAACGTTAAGAAAGAGGTGCGTTATTTTTTATTTTTTATTTGTTTGTGTGTGTGTGTATGTGTATGTGCGCGCGCGCGCAATTTATTTGTCACTTAGCGTTTATGAAGGTAGTTGATGTGTGTATGGGAGGCCAAGGTTCGCTGCATGAGCCACGCACGCACGGCCCGATTTTGATGATGACGGTTTGAGTTTCATGTAGTAGAATAAGAGCGGGTGCTTTTGTATACTGCTGTATGCCGGTGTTTTTATCTGCTTTTGCTGCTGTCTGTTTAAATCTGTGCTGTCTGTTGGCGTAACATGATGACGCTGTTAGGGATGGTGACGGTAATGGTGCTGATGATATTAGTGGTGCTGATAGCGGTGATAATTTCGAATGATCGTGTCGCTGTTGTATCTCAGAAAGGGATGTGCAGTTATGAACTCACGGCATGTAACCTAATTGGTCACCAACGTGTGTTTTCATCCATGCTTCATTCTCCATCTTATTCAAACTTCACTGTGACCTTGGAAGCATAAGTTCATCATTGCTTAGCCTACATGATTATCCAATATGAGGAGGAAAGTCAGGCATTAGCCTACATTAGGAGTTCTATAACCCATCAAACATGTTCAGCGGCACTGGGAGCCCTCTAGAGTATGTTTTATTCATTACTGTGATGGCTGTGTCTTCTAAGCTCATCTCGCTGTGCTCCCCCTCACCTGTGACTCACTAGCCTACTACCCAAGAAATAGCCTTCACCGCAGTGGACTACCTATAGTGCAGCCTATCTTAACAAATCTCCCTTAATGCCTCTTTGAGGACAGGAATATTCAGGAGACCTTATAGAATGTCTCATTATTGTTATAGCCTACTTTGTTTAAAGTCAGCCTAACTAACCAATCCTTGTGCATGGAGTGATGAATATCAGAGCATCCTGTGACTGGGGTATAATAATCCAAATGAAATATAGTATATAGAGTTACCAAAAGGTCTACTCAAGCAAGAGGTTGATTACTGAAGTTCTGGTCCAAGAAATTTCAGATATTTGAAAAAGATTAAAGATTAGAAACTACTTGGCTACTCAAGAAACTGTTTGGTTGTAATATGTAATTTATGATTTGAAGATAATGTAATTGGAAGGACAAAAAATAAATAATGCACAAAATCTAGTGTTTTCAAAGGATATACCACAAACATGTTAACTAAGTTAACAAAATCATATTTGAAGGTAAGATGCAATGTCAAAATATCAATATCATATCAACATAAAAGAGAGTGGGCCAAAACAGCCTGTGTGTGTGTGTGTGTGTGTGTGCGTGCGTGCGTGCGTGTTTGTGCGTGCGCGTATGCGTGTGTGTGTGTGCGCGCGCGCGCGTGCGTGTGTACACCCACTATGTTTCCCAACCGGGATTAAATGCATGCTATATGTAGGACCTTTAGGGTTTACTTGGACTCTCATGGACTTGTGTGAGCAAAGTTGTGTTTTAGTTTTAGTTTTTCCTCGAGTGATGCAGAAAAGAGAGAGCCACTGTCTGTTTGAATGTTCATGTATGTTAGTATGTTTGGATGTTCAGCATGTAAATAACCCACTGTATTTACTTAAGAAAAGGAAGGCAAACTGGTATATGCAATTTATATTTAATAATAATTGGCTTTTATTTTAAAAGCAGACTGGTATCTGTAATTATATCAATTCAACAATATTGTATGAAACAGGGCATCCTTGTGAGATACAAAATGGGAACCACTACAACACACTGCAGTGTAACAGCTGTTATGACTCATACAGCAGTCCATTGTAAGTAACTAAAACATAGCATTTTACTTCTTTCTTTTACAGGTGAAACAAATTATGGAAGAAGCAGTAACAAGAAAATTTGTGCATGCAGACAGCAGCCACATCATATCATTTTGTGGTAAATATAAGATGTAGTTAATGATTTTGATTTTGTTCTTTTCTTTTGGTATATAGTAAAAGTTAGGCAGTTTTAGGAGATACTGCTGTTTGGGCAATAGCTTATCATTCTCATGCATGGTAGAGTCTGTAAAGTGTAACTTAGTGTGGACATATTCAGACTGTTTGGGAAATTTAAACTGATATTACAGTAAATGTAAAACGTGTGATTTATTCCATGAGATTATCATATTCTCACTTTCGACTTACAAGCTCTGCATGAATTAATAGTTTAAATGTATGTGTAATTTAAAAGTAAGATACTATCTAAATGTGTATGAAACATTCAAACTGAAGTGAAATGTGTGATTCACTTATCCTAGCAACAAGCAACACCACTGGATAACTGTATTTCTGCCTTTGCTCCATGTAAAACACATAAGCCAGATATACACTAATACTAATACAGGGATACAGCCAAAGAATTGTGTGGTTTGTGTTTTACAGCTATAGTGGAAGCATGTGTGCTACATGGACTGAAGCGCCGTATAGCTGGTTTGTTGTGCACTAATAAAGTGGCAGCTCTATTTATGAAGGTGGGCAAGAACTTTTCACCAGCTGAACAACTTTGCCAGAAGGTCCAGGAGTTGGAACAACTCATCGAAAACAAGTGAAGGCCTCTATTATTACCATTTATGATATCATTTACACATGCATCATCTGTTTCTTGGTATTTTGGTAAAATATATATGGTAATATAAAATGAAAACTAGCACAAATATCTTACCTATGGTTAACTTTTCTTCAGCAAACACAACAGCTCTTCAGTTAGTAATGATCGCAGCCGTCAGTCCAAACTGGGTAACCTCCCACCACAGGCACTGAAACATCTCTGGATTCGAACTGCACTGATGGAAAAGCTCTTAGACAAAATAGTTCTGTACTTGGTAGAGAACTGCAGGTATGTTTTTTGAATGTATTATATAATACAGATTTAGAATTTATGTTTAAATTTGTTATTATTTTTGTTGCAGCACTTATTATGAGAAGGAAGCCATGCTGATGGATCCTGTAGATGGACCAATTCTTGCATCACTTCTGGGTATGCAGCTCAAATAATTTTGGGGCAGTAAAAATTCCTGTATGTGTTATAAAGTAAAAGTGATGAGTTGACTGTATTACTCACAGTTGGACCATGTGCTCTGGAGTACACCAAAGTAAAGACAGCAGACCACTACTGGACAGACCCCTCTGCAGATGAGCTGGTGCAGCGACATCGCATTCATAGTGGACACTGCCGGCAGGACTCCCCCTCCAGACGGCCAGCTCTGGTGCAAAGCCTCTGTTTTTTAGCTCAAACATTGCAATCATACTGCATGTACAGTAAATAAGTATTTCATTAAAAGAATCATGTGCACTAATTATATAGATCCAGAAAAGGCAGTCCAGTGGAAGTATGGATGACCGGCCTCTCACGTGGGTGAGAGAATATGTGGAATCACTTCATCAGAACTCCAGAGCCACTCTGCTTTTTGGCAAAAACAATGTTCTTGTACAGCCGGTTAGTCTAAAATTTTACCCTGATGTAATGATTCAAATGTGATTATGCTGATTCTGTCATAATGTTTCTAATGACAGAGAGATGATATGGAGGCTATCCCGGGATACCTTTCTCTTCATCAAACTGCTGACCTGATGACTCTAAAATGGACACCCAATCAACTGATGAATGGCAACATGGGTGAACTGGACTCAGAAAGAAGGTCTGATTAAGACAATTTAGTACATTTCACTAAAAACAACTTGTATTTGTTGTGCATAGCTGAGTCTGTAATATTTTTTCCAGTGTGTATTGGGACTATGCCATGACTATACGTTTGGAGGAGATTGTGTATCTCCACTGTCATCAGCAAGGTACATAAGCCGGCATGAGCTTGTTCAGATGTCTTATGTAACAGATCCGGGTGGTCACTGTGATATCCCCACAGTTAACAGCGGGGGCACCGTTGTTTTGGTAAGCCAAGATGGGATTCAGAAACCTCCGTTGCATTTTCCCAAAGGAGGCCATTTACTCCAGTTCCTCACATGTTTAGAGACTGGACTACTACCTCATGGACAGCTGGATCCTCCCCTGTGGAACCAGAGAGGAAAGGTTAGTGTGCACAGAGGTTAACCTAATATGATACTTTATATAACATTGTTGTGCACGTAAAAGCAATAACACACACGTGTCAAATCAGAAAGATGAAATGGTATATCTCTTCTTTTGCAGGGAAAGGTTTTCCCAAAACTAAGAAAAAGGAGTCCACACGGCTCCTGTGACTCCGTATCAGATAAAGAGGATGATGAAGCAACAGATTATGTGTTCCGTATCCTCTTTCCTGGTAATCAAATGGAGTTCAGTAAGTTTCTGCTGTTATTTTGCCTCTGAAAACAAATCTCGTGAGAAAAAAGTAATGTATTTTCATTGTTTATGGAGACCATTTAGCATCCCCTCTTCTGTGTGTCCATTTCGCATTATGTTCACATAATCTTTGTGGAGCCCATGTATGGACAAACATTTCATCTTCATCGACTTGGTTTGTTTTGCTTTGTTTTAAGTTTGACCCTCTAGTTTACAGAAAGACAATGATATTCAATTACAAATTTAAGTCCTGTCTTACAGTGGCGCTTGAGCTGATGGACCAAGGTGTCAACATGTGGCAGCCAACCCAAAGGAAGTCCTCTTGTTCCTCCTGCTCACAAAACGGCTCCTCTGACAGCTCACTACCCAATGGCTGTAATCAAGAGAGGTAAGAATGGGAAAATTTAAGATGCAAATTAGAATACATTTTATAGCAGTTATTTTTCAATGTTAGAGCTCCAATAAAGCTTCTGTGTGACACCATGAAGTACCAGATCATTTCTCGGGCCTTCTATGGATGTGAGTATAGATATATTTTAAATTTATTTGGTGTCAGCCTGTCACCACCACAACATTTGTTTAATTTGATGTAGGGCTTGCGTACTGCCGACACCTATCCACGGTACGGACACACCTCTCTGCTTTGGTTAAACCCATTATAGTGGACCCAGATATTCCCACAAATGCACAAATAGGTCTATCTCCTGAAGTCTGGGGAACATTCCTCCAAGACAGCTCGGTAAGACTGAATGGACTTTTGAATTATCAAAATTAAAATGGGAGGTTGGGGTCATTATTGATGTAGTGCTAATATGGGTCATCAATTCTGGTATGCAATAGTTGAAATTATTATGCCCCTCCCATAATCCACTTACTCTAGAGAAATGCATATTTATATTATATGTTTATTAAGATTATAATGGGATATTAATGCAGAACAAATTATATTGTTATTTTGTTTTACAGAAATTTATTTACATTTTTTGAGCATTGGAATATAATTTCAAAAGTGTTTCTTTGGTCAGGCCTATGAAGAAAGAGAGATCCATCGCCTGGTGTACTTTGGTGGAGTGGCTCCATCTCTGCGTAAAGAAGTCTGGCCTTTCCTGTTGGGACACTATCACTTCACAATGACAGAGAGAAACAGGATAGAGGTATTGTTTAAATACTTCAAGATGATTAATTATAATTAAAAAAGCATTAGCATACAATGTTTCATCTCTTTCAGATTGACAGTCAGATGCAGACCATGTATAAGCAGAATATGAAGGAGTGGCAGGGTTGTGAGGCCATAGTCCGTCAGCGAGAGAGGGAGAAACACGCTGAGGCTCTGGCCCGCTGTTTATCTGGAGCCAGTGTGGAGAGGGGCCCAGTTCAGCGGGATTCCACTATTAGCACTGATGTATGTAACCAACAAAAGCCAGTGCATTACTTTCAACTTCAAATAATTGTGCCAGCCTCTTTTCTTTATGTTTACTCTTTCTATTCCAGTCTTCTCTCAGTTGTAGCACAGATCACCATAATACCCATTCTCTGAGTGATTCCAGCAGCAGTGCACAGGTACATCAAAGCCAATACTGCCAAACACTCCACACACAACCATTGAACATCTTCACAGCATCCTCTCAGATTCAGTGTGTATTTAAATATATCTATTTACCTTGCTAATTAATGAGAAGTATTTAAATGTCTCTCAGTTAGCATTCATATTTAATATTAAATTAAGCCCAATAAGGCTAGATCTAATAAATCAAAGTAGGAGGTGGTACTGTATTAAAAATTCAGAATCAGCTGTGATTATGTTTCGTCTCCACAGGTATTTGAATCTATTGAGACAACGGAGCAGATTGAGCTGCTGGCGTCAAGTGAGGGACAAGATGGCGGCACCACTTCCTCAAATAAAGACAACCAAAGTAGTGTTTCAGAAGCTCCCCCAGAGGATGAACTTCTCAATTCTGCTCCACGCTGCAAGCCATTTGAGAATGAATTAACAAATAAATCTGTCATCTCTCAGCCAGTGTCAGCCACAGAGGAAGCCAAACCTGAGCCACTCCCCTCCAATGAATCAGTTAGTGAAGTTGAACCTTTACAGACAGAAAAAGCAGAAGAATCAAATCAAAGCACAATTCATGTTGCAGATGATGTTTTGGAGACTAGTAGCACCAAACAACAATCTGAAACTCAAGAGAATGAAAGTACTGCGGAGGGGAAAATAATGAACAATAACGCATCAATCGATATAAAAGCTGTAGACACAAATATGAATTTAAGGCCCACTACAGAAACCACTGATGTGCTCAAGTTAGAAACAGAGATTCACAATGAATATTTTCAAGCTCCCCCACTTGGTCAAACCTTGACATTACAGGCCAAAAAATTCAAAACCTTTATTGCAAAAACTTCTCCTGATAAAGACAGTCTTGCATCTAGTGTCCACATTTCCTCACAGATGTCACCAATCAAAACTTGCTTCAGTGAGTCTGAAAAGAGAGAGCCCACACCATCAGCACCAGACTCAGAAACCATTAAAGATAAAGCAGCTGAAATATCCTGTGAGAAACTTGGGTCAAATTCACCTGTTAGGCAAGTCCTCAATGCTCTACAGTCAGCATCCAGAGGGAGCCTGTCGCTGTCCAGACAGTCCCCAGACACAGCAGACTCAGATGACTCTCCCTCAGCCTTGGAAATGGAGGACATCCCAGCTGGAATAACATGTGTGACTTCAGAAGATACCAGAGGCAGACCCTTGACAGTTCTGGCAGCACCACCTCTCCGACTGACTCAAAGGCAGAAGGCTGCGTCAGAAGAACTGGATCACCATCTGGACACCGCCGGTAACACCAGTCCTGAAGGCACCGACGTAGGCCTATCTGAAGAGGAGCTGGAGATGGAGAATGTGCTCTCTGAAGCAAAGGCTATCGACATACATGGAGACATCAAGTGCAAAGAGCCTTCTGAAGAACAAGCCTATTCGGTAATATTGTTGTTTTACTTCTCTCTCTATGTATATATAAAATGTATGTCTTCTTTCTCCGTGTATCTGCTCTAAGCCTCTCTTGATAAAATAATTGTATATGCAGCAGGAACAACTGGACATGTACCTAATAAACTTGCACCGTATTGACAAAGATGTGCGACGTTGTGACAGAACATACTGGTATTTCACCCCCGAAAATCTAGAAAAGCTTCGTAACATCATGTGCAGGTGTGCAGTAATAGCAGTAGACATCATGTAATATATTAAGATGACTTTGATAAATGATCTTATTTTCTTTGCAGTTATGTCTGGCTGCATCTTGATATAGGTTATGTCCAGGGAATGTGTGACCTGCTTGCCCCTCTTCTCGTTATTCTAGATGATGGTCAGTGTGTATTTTTCAACAAACACACTAAAGTAAAATGGCATAGCTGTGTAATCTCATCTCATGTTTATTTGATTTTTTTTTTTTTCAGAGGTTATGGCGTTTAGTTGCTTCACTGAACTGATGAAAAGAATGAACCAGAACTTTCCTCATGGTGGTGCCATGGACACCCATTTTGCCAATATGCGTTCTCTTATCCAGGTAAATAGAATATCTGGTTCAGTGTAGACTACTGTTGAATTGTTTTAAGTAGCCTAAAATGATGTGTTCTATGTAGATCCTGGACTCTGAGTTGTTTGAATTGATGCAGCAGAATGGAGACTACACCCACTTCTACTTCTGTTATCGCTGGTTCTTGCTTGACTTTAAAAGAGGTGAATATTGAGTGGCTATATTAAATGTATATAATAATCATCATGTATAATCAATGTACAATTAAACATTATTTATTCTGGACAGAAATGGTGTATGATGATGTGTTCGCTGTGTGGGAAACAATTTGGGCAGCCTTGCACACATCCTCTGAGCATTTTGTGCTCTTTATTGCTCTTGCCCTTGTAGAGATGTACAGAGATATCATCTTGGCGAATAACATGGACTTCACAGACATCATCAAATTTTTCAATGGTAAGATATAAACAGTATAAAATGCTTAGATACTTCATCTCAAATTGAATGTGTCCACTAAGTGATACAGTTGTGTGATTTAATGAATTTATTATAGTACATTTTCGAAACAAATTTCAAAGTGTAAATTTATAATGTAAGAACCTTATCTTATGCTTTGATTTGCACAGAAATGGCAGAGCGACATGACGTACCCAAAGTCCTCAATATGGCTCGTGACTTGGTACACAAGGTGCAAACACTCATAGAAAACAAGTAATCATGTCATGGAGATTGAATCACTGTACAAAACACACAGAGAACATTAGTGTTTCTGTCATTTGAGGAAAGAAATCAACAAGAAACAGTTGGTGCACTTAAATGTGAAACTCCTATTTTAAAACACGTCTTTATGGTTGCACTTTAATGTAATTTAAGAGAATACAGTGATTGTCAGTAAATGTAAATTGTAGCCATTGTAATAGTACTAGTTGTGAATGTGTCCTAGTAAAATCTGCTACAGGATGTGATTTGATTTGCCTTAAATTTAAAAATTTTCAGGGATGCTGCAATCCAATTTACCAATGTATCACAAGGCAATGTAAAAACAGTCTTTATGAAATTGTAGCTAGCGTGGTTCTATATGCCTCGCAATTCAGTGTTTAGTGTCAGATTTGTTTTAAACATATGACGTAGCTATGATTAAACCTCTTGCCATATATGCACCTGAGTTAAAAGTGATCATTATTTTGATTCATACTGTTCCCACCACCATAAACCTCTCTGGTAAGATGTGTGCCCGCTGGTTTGCTTCACCAAGCCATTCATTGATCTGTTCAAGTCCTTTTGAGCCCATAATGGTTTGTAATGTTACAAGCTTTAGGTTTGAGGTTTGTGCATTAGATGAATGCCAATATTGTTTATGGAGTTCCATTATATGGTAGTGTTACATACAAATCATTATTAGCTGATTAATGCATTTATTAAACTTTATCTAGCTGTTGGTAAATTTTGCGTTTACACCCTCCAGGGTACAGTCAAGTGTGCTCAATTATACCTAAGATTTTTTGAGTAATCATAATCTTAACTTGCTTTTAACGTCAGACACTTAAATATAATTATTTTCTTTTTTTAAACTACACTACTCACTACTGTTAATCTCGCAGGCAGTGTGCGTTATTCACTGCGGGCTTTAAATTGCACGCTATGCCACTTGCAGTAGAACTTGACATTGGCTTTACAATATAGAAAAAGATACATGAGTCATGAAAGTTTAACACGGTATTTTAACTACACTGAAAGAGTTTTGGCTGGTTTACATAAACATGCCCATTTTACAGTTTATGGTGTTTGTGTGGAGAAAAAAAAAATCTATTGTGTTTGACCTTTTCAGATTATATATTCAACTAAATCTATTGTCATCTAAATATTTTATTTTTGCAGTGCTGTCTGAATCACCCAATATATTTCATTTGTGTATTAAAATGTTTATTTTGCATTTTGTGTCCTTTGCATTTTTAACAATATATTTCATTTTATTGAAAACACATATCAGGAACCCATAGACTGAATACTCAGAACAAACAGCCTGGTTAGTGATGAAAGAAGGGAACAAAAACAATAACATTTTAAGATACTTCACCATATGGATAAGGTCGATATAATGTTACTGAAATCTATCTCCAAAATGTCTTCCCTTGAGTGGCAATTAAGACCGTAATCTAACTTCAATCATAAAAAGATTTTTCAATAAAAAATTGCAACAATATTAAAAGGAAAAAAAATGCAGTTCCCAAATGATTTAGATGGAATGTACCAATTAAAAGAAAAGGCTTTAATCTTGAGGTATGGGGTTAAAAACATTATAAAAATCCCCAATCCCAGATATAAACTTCTTCATCAATAATGACGTGAAGGTGGGCTGTATTGTGGTTGATATCTTCTGAGTGGCGGACTACGACGAGGCATTGTACTGCGAGGTGATGACGAGTAACGTGGAGGGGGTGATCCCCGGCCATAGTACTCAGGGGAATAGCGACCTCTGGATCTGGAGCGGGACCTTGGCCTGTCCCAGCTGGGGATCATTCGGTCCTCATAAACACGAATAAAAGAGGTCTCACCCTAAAAGTTTCAGGGAACAAACAGAAAAAATTGTAATAAAAACTTTAATAAAATTAAATTTAGTGGAAATGCAAGTAATCATACTAGATGTGAGCGAAATTCTGTGCGATCGAGTCTGCGCACTGCATACTCCATATCATCTCTGCGGACAAACTCCACTACACCTTCTCCGGACCGCTGCACGTCCGTATAACAAACATCTCCAGCCTCACGCATATGGTCCTTCAGATCCTGCCAACTGCCAGTTGGTGGCAAGCCTAAAATCAAAAGAACGGAATTTTAAAACTAGTAAAAAAAAATAAATAAATCAATTTAATTTTGCCAACAATGGGAACAGAAAAATTTATCTTACTAAAAGTATACAAAGATACACTAGTATAATACATTTGTCTGCAAAGGAAAACAATCTTCATCAAGCACTACATAGCATCATCTGCTTTATAACCATGCAACATGCTTTTTATTTAAACAAAATAAAAAAAAACACCTACCATTGAGCCACAGTGTTGATTGGAATTGTGTAATGGCCACATTGTCTTGAGTATCCAGGCCTTTGAAGGGCTGACTGGACCTCATCTCCTTGATGGTAGGCCAATATTATAGCACTTGCACTCAGACATCTGAAGCTCAGCGTTTCCCTTACTACTTTGTGCTTTCATTATAATTATAAGCTATTATAATGTCTCCCTACAGTTCAAGTGGTCCACTATCACCATTTCATTGTGTCCGTGATAAAATCAAAAACAAGACAGTAACTGTCAATAACTTATATCCATTTCTAGGTCTTGAGTCCTTCCATCCTCCACAAGGTGAAATAATGTAAAGCAGTCTAGATGATGTCCACAACTATTTTTGTCCTTTTGTCCATACATGTTTTTTTTAATTCTGGTTTAGAGCCTCCATTCACCATGAAACCAATAGCCATCTCTGAATTATGTCCAGTGAAAGTATTTTGCATGTATCCCTGTTTATCTATAACTTTTGATGTTTGGAGACCTAGATTTAGATTCTCATGTTAGGTACTTTTTTCTTTTCCATTTACTTGTCTGCAGCAGGCATCTGGGGAGTCTACTATCTACTGTCCTCTTAATTTTCATTTTTAATTTGACCTCCAGTTCTCCTTGGGGGAAAAAAGGAAACAAAAACAAAAAAAACTCTGTCTTACTACGTCCACCTACCAGTGACTATCACCCGGAATTCCGATCTTCTGGATGGAGGTCCACCTCTTCCCCTTGGTGCAAAACCTCCTCCTCTTGGAGCAAATCCTCCTCCACCTCTTGGAGAAAATCCTCCTCTACCTCTAGGAGTAAATCCTCCTCCACCTCTTGGAACAAATCCTCCTCCACCTCTTGGAGCAAACCCCCCCCCTCTACCACCTCCAGTTGGGCCAAACTGGTTTGTGGATTCTCGTGGATATTCCACTCGCAGTTTGACATCTCCATATCCAAATCCATTCCTTCCAGAAACAGCATCAGCTGCATCCCTAAAACAGAGCAAAGAATGCCTTACCACTGGAGGCCTTTTCATGTCTTTGTGCAGTCCCAGATGAGGCTTTGGGGATCCAAAAAGGAGAATGCTTTTGTCTTGTTATTCCCTTGTTATTCCAGGGCATCCCAAAAACTCACCGTGGGTCTTCATATTGAATGAAGGCAAAAGGAGCAGAGTCACTGTAATTCTTCAATTCAATCAGACGGATTTTTCCATATTTAGTGAAGAGATCTTCCAGGTCTCTCCTCTGGACGTCCATGGGAAGATTCCCAACATAAATCCGCCCATTTGACATGGTTCTCGAGAATTTGGCACTGCTGACACAGAATGAAAATGAGTCCATCGGTATAGATTAAGATTACTTCTCTTTAGCGCAATCAGGAAGTTCAACTGGTCTGCCTACTTCATACCTTTAATGTGAAATTCCCCTTAAAGTAGAAACAAGTTAAATAAAACAATTAAATTGTACAAACTGTCCTTCTGTGCCCATAGAAGTGGCGTTTGGAATTTCAACGATAAGCATCAGAAAAAAGTGTATTGCAATCAGTATTTATAAAATATGTTGGCATAAGTTACATCGCACTAAACAAAACGTGCACTTGTTTAGTGTTGTTAAGTATTGAATAAAATACTGCAGTTATTGTAAGATTACATTACCAGAGAAAAGCGAATAAGTTGTATATTCGAAATCACAACTAGTTATTTAGTTATTTGAATTTGTACTCTGCTAGCAATCGTTAGCATTTAGCCACGTCTTCTTCCGCTTTCTATTCTTCTTCGTCGGTCCTCTATGGAGTTTTACCGCACCTCAAATCTATCGACTTGAATTACTGACACCTACTGACACTGTAAGCAACTACGTTTGTTTAAAAATAAATCAAGCATAAATCAACACAGGTGATATTTACACCTAAAAACATTAAAGGCAGATAAAATTCATAAGATTTACATGTAAATAATTTGTAATTTAAGGCAACTGTTAAAATTATGCAAGTCTAAAAGAATCATCATCATGAAGGAGTTGGCTAAGGTGTGCTTTTTTTGTTGTTGATGTGATATTGAGTATTTCGACAGATTTACTACAGCAAGTCACAGCGGCGTACTCCTGGTGATGTAAGTAGACGAGAGCCCGCCCCTAGCCTATATGACTTCCACCAGCGCACGTTGCTTTTCAATGTCACAACGACTGAATAGCAGCTCTTCTAAACTGTGGCTTTGACAATATTAAGACATGTCGTATACTAAGTTCTTAGCGCCTTTATTTAGAGGCAATATCAATAAAGTGCGCATTACGCCTGGTAAGTATCGATCAACCGTGGCATCCACCAAGCCAAAGGAGGAAAAGGAGCAGCACATAGATGGATGCACCGTGATTGAGGCAGAACCAGTGGAGTTGATATCTCAAACGACAACTTTAAATAAACCACGAGCCCATAAGATTCAGATAGATTTCGATAACACAGAGGAAGCCTACAAGAGCAAGAATAATGTGGAGTTGCTAAGGAGTTTGTTGGTATTCAAGCTCTGTACTTTTGATTTCCTTGTTGAGAGGAATAAAGAGGTGAGTACACACTCTTTAAATACAATTATTCCAGATTTGGTTGTGAGATTTTGTTAATTCTGTATATTTTGTAAGTTTTTAATGAAGCCTATGCTTTATTTTTCAGTTGATAGACCTTAGTAGAAGAGTGCTTGGCCAGAGGCTGTTTGAAATGATGATGAAAATGACCTTTTACGGACAGTTTGTGGCTGGTGAAGATCACAACTCCATCAAACCATTGGTCCATAAGAATGAAGCTTTTGGTGTAGGAGCAGTTTTGGACTATAGTGTGGAAGAGGACCTGACACAAGAAGAGGCAGAGAAGAAGGAGATGGAGTAAGTAGAAAGGCTCATGAAAATGATAAAAGGCATTTGAACATTACATGAGACACTTGTTCTATGACCATGAGTGTATCTGCTCCTGCTCATAAGACTTCAAGGCTACGTACTGACTAAAAATCAAACATTAAATGTGCAGGATAGTTATTGGCCAACATATTGTATAAGCAGAAGTACAGCATATAAAATGTAATCCTTAGTTTAGCCATTTTTTCTTAAATAATTCACAGGCACTGATTGCTATTTTACTGTATTTTTCTATCAAGATAAGAACTTGTAATCAAAGCCACATGTGTTTTCCACCCTGGAGCTTTGTGGAGCTTTACTATTGGACTGTGAGGACTGACCCCTCTTGTCTGATTGGCTGAACAGTGGAAGAAGTACAACGTCAACAGCATGCCAGGCTTTTAGAATAACTTTCTATGCAAGGCACTGGGAGACTGTTATGTAATCCTCAAATGAGGCGCATGTTGGGCAGGCTTCACAACACACAACAATCACAGACCTCTCCATTAATTCAATGATTTTTTTTAACCTTCTTATCAGCTGATTGCAATAATAGCACAGTCAATTGAGCATTTGGATTTTATTTCTGTTCTGTGTGTGTGTTGTAGTTGTTTGACTTAAATATATATTTTAATCTTTTGCAGCTCTTGTGTTTCTGAAGCTGAAAAGGAAAGTCCAGGTTTGTAATTCAAAATTAATGAACATTGGGGATGTTGGTGCTGACTCTGCCTCTGCTAATGAGTATTTATAGTTGGTTAGTGGAGGATGTAACAGGAGTGTGCCAAGGCCATGTACTTCTTCATAGGCTGGAACTGGTTATATCTGGATTTTGTCACGCTGAAAAAGTCCACTGCACAAGTCACGCATAGGGTTGACCTAAGAGATTATGTTACATGTTTACCACTTCTCTTCCATATGCCATTTCATTTCAGATATGTCTGCTAAAATAATTATAAGAATTAATTAATTAATTAATTAAGAAAACTTGTAGATTTTGTTGAATTTGTTACACTTTTAAAAGTAACAGGTGGTGGTGAGCTCTTAACCTTGACAGAGTAGATGTTAGATGCATGGCACGGGCAGCAAGGGGTATACATGTGACAGTGTTGACTGGACTGGTTGAAAGCGTGGTGGTGGGTAGGTTCAAGGGAATTATTTTAATCTTCTATGTAAAGCACTTTAGGCTACACACAACATATGAAAAGAGCTTTACAAATAAACTTTGACTGATTCAGGACATGTGCTCTTCTATTCTTTAGATGATGGACTTCGGGAAAAGAAATACAAAGCTCATCGACAGTTTGGAGACAGACGTGGAGGAGTCATAAGTGCTCGCACTTACTTCTATGCAGATGAGGCAAAGTGTGACAAACAAATGGAGACATTTATAAACTGTATCAAAGCATCTGGTATGCCTTGTAACAACCCTGTATGTTGTTTAACAATGAAAATGACAAAATTACAATTTCTTTTCAATCCTAGGAGGGGCTTCTGCTGATGGATTTTCAGCTATCAAAATGACAGCACTTGGACGGCCACAGTTTCTTGTAGGTTAAAGATTTGCATTTTCTTTTTAATCATATATTAGCTTATGTTGCTATTTTGTAACATGTTTCTGTTTTTTTTTGGAACAGCTCCAGTTTTCTGAAGTACTTGTGAAATGGCGGCGTTTTTTTAATCTCCTTGCAGCACAACAGGGTAAATCCGAAATGATGGTTTTGGATCAAAAACTAGAACTGGAACAGCTAAAAGTATGTTTTTTAATTCATTTAAATTTAGTATTTTTATATTTCTACATTTTTAGTGTTTGAAGTTAATTGTAGCATTGATTTTATTTAAGGAGAACCTAGCTGAGATGGGCGTTGGAGCCAAAGATGAAATAGAGCATTGGTTCACTGGAGAGAGACTGGGTCTCTCAGGGTAAATAGAAAAACTGCAAAAAGCATTCAAGTCAAGCATTATTATTTTACTATTAGAATGCACCATTTATGTTTTCAGAACAATTGATCTTCTAGATTGGAACAGTTTGATTAATGACACTACAAAAATCTCCAACCTTCTTATGGTGCCAAACCTCAAGGTATATCAGTCTTTTTGAAGATCTTGAGATACATTTTATTATTTAAAATGATGCATTATTATTTATTATTATTATTTATATTAGTAATTGAGTTCTTTTAGAACACAATCATGGATAATATTTTCAATGCATAATAACTGTTGTTCATATATGTGAGCAGACAAGTCATCTTGAGCCTTTGTTGAAAAAGTTTACTGCTGAGGAGGAGCAGCAGATGAAAAGGATGCTTCAGAGAATGGATATTTTAGCCAAGGTGAGCATTACTGTCACAACTTGGGAATAAAGCAGTAGACAACAATGGCAAATTCCAAACTGCCCCAGAATAATAAATTCCATTAAATGTGCATATTGTCTAGCACGCAATGGAAAATGGGGTCCGGCTCATGGTGGATGCAGAGCAGACCTATTTTCAGCCAGCAATCAGCCGTCTGACCCTGGAAATGCAGAGGAAGTTCAATAGAGAGAAACCGATCATATTCAACACCTACCAATGTTACCTTAAGGTCAGAATACAGCCATGATCAGGAAGTCTAAGGATATATCCAATACTGTTTAACTATAACCCCCTGTCTTGTGTTATTATTGAAATAAAAAGGAAGCCTATGATAACGTCACTATGGATGTTGAGCTGTCACGCAGAGAAGGATGGTACTTTGGAGCCAAACTTGTTCGTGGAGCTTATATGTATCAAGAGAGAGCCAGGGCCGCAGAGATTGGATATGAAGACCCAATAAACCCAGATTATGAGGCAACAAACAGAATGTATCATAGGCATGTTTTTATATTGACTGCATCTTTTTGGATGAAACAAATGTCACTAGTTACAGTATAAGTCATGTCTTTTGTTTTTGTAGATGTTTGGAGTATGTGCTGGAAGAAATTGAACGCAGCAGAACAGCCAATGTCATGGTTGCGACACACAATGAGGACACTATTAAATTCACTTTAGAAATGTAAGTCATCTTCTTACTTCAGTTGGGAGAATCCTCATGGAGTAGTCCTTCATGTATGTAACTCATTTTTTAGGATGAATGACATGGCCCTTTCACCCACTGAGAATAAAGTTTACTTTGGACAGCTGCTCGGCATGTGTGACCAGATCAGCTTCCCTCTAGGTATGTGGTCCTCAGCATGGTTACTAAAAGTAAACATTGGGTAATGGAATCATAATCGTGTGACATGTTAGTCTCTGTGGGGCCAATTGACGTAAATGTCAGTTTTTTAGCAGAGACATTACTGACCTTTGGCAGTCCAACCAATCTGGTTTTGTTTGCTTCCAATGAGATAAAAAAGTATTAGGACAGGACACTGTGACGTCAGCAGAAAGCAATAGTCAGTAAAAATATGTCAATATATTTTTGCCTCAGTATTTGTTTTTGTTGTTAACTGTTCTGATCCTTTAGCTGAGGCAGAAAAAATACCCAAAAAATCCTTACATTTCAGTATTAAAAAAAAAAGTGTTGTTTGTATTGCCACCAGCCAACAAACAAGCGAGGCTGTTTTTCTGCAGATGCTTTAAAAAGTGATTAAAAAAAAAAAATCTGTTTCAATTGTGCATTCTAAAGACAATGTTCACAACTTAGACTTAGACAACAATAATTCTATAACTTTTCTTGATAAATCTGGCTGGTTTCAGTTACAAAAATATTGAATACTAAAAACTTGTATTGTTGATTTTGAATATAGGTCAGGCTGGTTTCCCAGTTTACAAATACGTTCCATATGGCCCAGTCAATGAAGTCATACCCTACCTGTCTCGCCGTGCACAAGAGAACCGCGGCTTCATGAAGGGTTCTCAGAGAGAGCGCGCCCTGCTGTGGAAGGAGCTCAAGCGCAGATTACTCAATGGACAGATTATCTATACACCTGTATACTGAGTAACACAGTTATTACCCTGTACATCTATCATTCCATTGTCATGACTTTAACTCCACAAGTTGGTGTCCTTATGAAAGTAGTGTAGTTTTTCATTGTTTTATTTATGAACATTTATGTTTGAAATGAACATGTCTTAGATGGTTTATGTCACTTATAAATCTAGGGTTTATCAATGCAACTGTCTCAAACACCCAGTTCACTATTATGTAAATAGCCTGCTTAGGTTGCAAATGTATAAAGTATGTGTGTGTATATGTATGTATATATATATATATATATATATATATATATATATATATATATATATATATAGACAAACGATTGTCATATTTAAAAGTAGCTGTGAGCCAAAGTGCCTTATAATTTTTTGCAAATGATTACTGTCTGCACTGCTGATGCACTCCTTACAGGAAATTATTTCTATGTAGTTTTTATTGTTAAGATGTTTTACTGTATAAATATTTGTATTTACAATTACTTTGTGTGTGTTCTGTTCTACCTCAAAGAGCAAGACTGCACGATGTCATGATAATGTAGCCTTGTTTTTTGTTCAAACCTCCTGTCTCCTCCCTCTCTTTTCTTGCAGCACCTAGTTCTTGTCCATGCTGCATGTTATTATGGTTATGTCCTGAGGCACATGCACTTTCTGCTGGTGTGTATGTGAGAAAGCCACTGTTGCCCATAGGAACAACTGGCATTGTACTTTTCAGAACCCTTATCAAACTAAATGGGGAAATCCCAGTATGCTTGCTTTCCAAGAGTATCAGTTCCACATAACAAACTAGGGCGTGGGTCCCAAAGTTTCTGTTATGATAAGAATGTTCAAGGATGTCTTTGTCTTAAGACATCTGTCTTTTTTTATTTTAGTATTTATTCAGATAGAGTAATTAAAGTATGATTAACTTTACAAGTTAAAAGGACTGTCCAGGCAGTGTGTGCTATTGAAATGATCGAAATTCCTGATGATTTTTCAGAAATGACCTAAAATCCTAACATGTCAATGTGCAGAAGGGGAAGATCTACATTATTGGCTCACTCTTTTTAAAATATTTGTTTTAGTGTAGCCTATTGGTTTTAGTTGGAACAGCATCTTTACAAACATGATTTGTTCCTTATGTAACCAGCGCGCTCGAACTGACCGATTAGCAATTGTCTGCGTTGTGTTGTGTAGATGAAGTCAAACGCACACAGGGGTTTGTCATTCAGGAGATTTATTGTGTGAAACACAAAAATGATCAGAATACAGCCTCCAAGTTTCACAGCTCCACACACACGCTCTCCTCAGAGCAACTGATGTGTAATAACAATATTACTAATTACAATAAATTATTTTTACAGTGTGATCACTTGCTAACAGTACTTTTTTTTGTGCTGCATTCAAATAAAAAAAATATATTTCACACATATTTTACCAACAGGAACAAAGGTCTTACAAATCATAATCAACGTCTGAATAAAGTCAGCATGAATTTTCTGTCAAGCATTTTACATATAAATCAAGAGAGCAAATCTTACCTCCTACTTACTTCCCCTCTGCTCTCCTCAGAGCAACTGAAGGGAACCGAACCGCGCGTCTCCACAGAAAGTAAACGCACCTCCAAAATAAAAGCGTCTAGTAGAACCAGCCAAAATAAACTTAAGCACAACCTTATAAGGAAATAAAATTGGATTTTGGTGAAATTCAAATTCAAAAATAAAAACAAGAGTACATTTTACCTTGGTTACACTTACACCCACTTAAATTGTTGTGCCTGAGTTTTATTTATCATTATTCGTCTTTGTAAGTAAGCTGATAATACAGCTAGGCCGCTTAGCTGATAGGTCTGTTTAATGTGGCCCTACTTGACATTTGTTATTTATTATTACGCGCCCCTGCTGGTCAGACTGTACAGCCTGACTGATTCAAGGCTTTATGAGAGGCTGAGTGAGCGGCTGAGGCAGCATCACCTGCGCTCAGATTTTTGGAAAGATTTCGTGAGAGCAGCCAGGCCCGTGTAAGGCCCCCGTGTGTCCACTATTCAAACAATATGTCTTGTAGCTTAATGTGTATAACATTAAGATCTTTTAGAAAAATAGATGGGGCAGCTGTTGTGTTGTGTTTTATATAGTAGCTTAAACAGTCTATGTGCGGGCCAACTTCATCAGAATCTATTCGGAAAAGCCATATTGTCAAAGGTCCATCGTGTGTTATCGCTGCTCTCCACATGCAGAAAATGGTTACCATAGAAGTGCATACTTGTAAACCTGGGAAAAAATGTTGCTAGACACGTGGTCACACGATCATCCAGTTTCCACACCTCTGTGAGTGTGAGACGAGCGTTAAAGACTGTGTTAAGCAGACTTGACATAGCCTGGTAGAGGTACGGACCGTACTTCTAGTTGCACCCTTTAAAAGCTCCAGTTTCTCAGGGCGATCTCTGCCCATCTGGGATACCTGCGCACTCCAGGTGAGATTAAAGATTTACCATATCTAATGGTGTTAAAATATGACTTCTAGGTCAGTTCACAAAGTTTTGCGAGCTTTGGGAACGTCTTAATTACAGCGTCAATACAAATTATAGAAATAAAAATAAGGCCTATGTTTATTACTGCTAGGGGGTATGCTGACAAAAATTGTGCTGCTTATATAGCTTACGTGTTGTTGTAAAACCCAGCTGTGCGTTGAGTTGGTCAAGTAAGACCATGAATACAATGTGGCTATTAGTTGGCCTACTCCAATAATTAATACAATCAAAACATTATTGATAAGTTGTGATGTTCACTTCTTGTATTCCAACTGTTTCTCATGTGTTTTTGCAGAAACCGAAAACATGGTTGTTCATAACCACTGACATGGGTATTTTGATAGCTCATTAGAAGGGCATGAGAACCATGTTGACATGTTTACAGTGTCAATATGTGTAGTGACTGACTGCAGCAAATTTCTCCCCCGTGAGATCTGGCTGGATGGTATACCCTATTATCTGCAAGCAACTCCAGGTAAGGTGTAGACCTTAAATATGCATTATGTACCATGGAGGGATGCTGTAGGCCTACATTGTTTAAGCTGCTATTACAAAGTGATGCGACTGCTTACTGATTCTGCTTATTTATTTCAGCACAGGTTTACCTTGTACTTTACTAGGAGCCCCAAATAATGTTTGGCATTAAGAGAATAAAGTGTATGCAACTCTTAATATTGTGGATTTTATTGACAAATGTCATGGTTTTGCTCTACCACTACTCAGACCAACCTCAAATAAAGGCTGTGTAAGTATAATTTAGGTTATTTGATTTTTATGAAATTAAAAGATAGGAATGTGTATTTAATATTAATATATTTCTTTCTTCTTACAAAAGAGATTCTGAAGAACAGACTTGTCCTATTAGCATTTCCAGAGGACGGGTGCATGATGCTGTGACCATACCTATTAAGAGGCCAAAGTGCTCACCTAAAGTGAACATTATGTTCATGAAGACTCATAAAACTGCCAGCAGTACTCTCCTCAACATCCTCTTTCGGTTTGGCGAGAAACACAAGCTTAAATTTGCTTTCCCTGATGGACGCAATGACTTCTTCTACCCGTCCCCTTTCATGTGTTCCCAGGTTAAGGGCTACAAACCTGGAGACTGCTTCAATATTGTGTGTAACCACATGCGTTTTGACCACCGTGAAGTGGCTAAGCTCCTACCTCCAGATGCAGTATACATCACTATTCTCCGAAACCCAGTTGACCTGTTTGAATCTTCCTTCCATTACTACCACAGAGCAGTGCCCTTGACATGGAAGCTCACAAATGAGAATAAACTGGCTGAGTTTCTAAACAATCCCAGGGGCTTCTACAGCAAAAAAGCATTTAACTCATTCTATCTTAAAAATCTGCTGTTTTTTGACTTTGGATTTGACAATAACCTAGTCATTGATGACCCTCACATAACAGAGGCCATTGCAGACTTGTCAAAGCATTTTCATCTTGTCCTCCTGGCAGAGTACTTTGAAGAGTCCTTGATTCTATTGAAGGAGCTGCTTTGCTGGACAATGGAAGATGTGCTATATTTCAAACTCAATACCCGCAGGAACTCATCTGTTTCTCGACTCACACCAGATCTCAAAGCTAAAGCTCAAGAGTGGAATGCCATTGATTGGAAACTGTATCAGCATTTTAATGACACATTCTGGAAGAAGGTTGAGGCATATGGAATAAAAAGAATGGAAGAGGATGTGAAAGAGCTGAGGAGGAGAAATGCTGAAATGAAGGCCTTCTGTATTGAGGGGGGTCATGCAGTGGAAGCCCATAACATTGAAGACCAGCATTTCATGCCATGGCAGCCAGTTGGAGAGTCTTCCATCCTTGGTTACAACATGAAAAAATTCATTGACCCCAAATACAAGATAATCTGTCAGAAAATGCTTACTCCAGAGATTCAATACTTAGCTGACCTGGGTGTAAACCTGTGGCTTACTAAACTTTGGGGTTGGGTAAAAGATGCTTTTATTTCTAAACATCCATACTAAGAACAGTGCAGTTTGTTTACTCCTCTAGCCATATGGCATGACTCTATACAGCATTTCAAGATTTTCAAAATGTACTTAAGACAACTGGAAATAGATGAATTTAATGTTCTCCAGATGCTGCCTTGATGGTGCTATTGATACATAAATGTACTGTTTATTACATTTGAACCTAATAAATGAATTTTGGAGGAAAAATCTGACTCCCAATAAACCTGACATGTAGTCAAAAGAAAACTCTGCATTCATAAAGATAAACATTTAATTTAGTATGTTACAAACAAAAGAATGACACAGATGGTACCACACCGAAAGTGCCAGAGCAAAGCAAATGCTGATTACATGTGGCGTTTCTCGGAATCTTCATCTTCCACTGGATTACCGGACACAGGTGGCAGTCTGGGCATGAGACACAACAGTCTATTTTATGTGTGATCCAGGTGATGTCAATGGACAGGGAAGTGTGATGACGCTTTGCTTGGCCCCAGATTACCCCGAGCGGCGTCCTACTCTTCGTCTTTCTCCTCATAATTGTGTTTTATATGTTTCCAGAGTTTCTGTAAAACAAACAACGATATAGGACAAACTGTTTAATAGATTACAAAAGACACAATGCAGCACATATGACAGAAATGTCTGAAGTTGACCGGTGAAATAGCATTATTGGCTAACATTAGCATTAATTCGCTATCGCCCTCTTGACAAGGTCAGAAGAATACGACCAGAAATACATAAAATATTTATTTTACCCCACGGTTCATCTGCTCAAATATTAAATTTCCGCCTTGGTCAAACAATCGTTCAAAAAAGACAGCCCCAACCATAATGGTTATGGCAAAGGTAGAGGTTCTCCTGAAGAGCAGATTGTACGCAGACTTGGTCAGCGACATGTTGGAAGAGGAATGCGCGCTGCGCAGATGCGGAAGCTGAACTGAATCACATCCGCTTCTGAGCCACGGATCTATTAGCCATGGTGCCTGTGGTGTGAGCCAAAACAAAAACTCGGCGGTGATTCCCGTAGCTTCAAACGCTTCAACCTCCCTTCGAATATAACAAACAGATAACAGATATGTTTTAGTATGTTTTATTTGTTTTAATAAACGGACCAAATATCGTGCAAGCAAGCGAGAACAGCTCCTTTCTCCTCACTATCAGCGGTGATAGTGGGTATCATTCCCATGTTTATTTGTTGTTCCATTTTCGTCCAAGGTACGATAACTCCCTAACATTGATTACTGTCCTGACATAATTAAATTTACTAATCTTTATCATAACCCACTGTGGATTGGTTTTCTCTTACTGCACGTGCAAGTGTAGTTGTATTGTGTATCAAACGGTGGCGCCATGGATGCTTCTATTGACGCGACACGCTTCTCTATCTTCATAATAGGTCTATCTAAATCAATGTTGCCTACCTGGAAGCATGTATTATTTATGAATGTCTTGAAACATTAATGTTTGCATATCATAATTAATAAAAAAAAAAAAAAGTCCACCTTGGTGAGCAAATAATATTTGTCACTAAAATGACTAAATGACTAAAATGGCAAAATGTTTTACTTTACAGTTTGAAAATAAGAGTCATGGGAAAGAGGTATTACTGTGACTACTGTGAGCGCTCCTTCCAGGACAATATGCACAACAGAAAGAAACATCTGAATGGTGTTCAGCATCACAGAGCAAAAAAGACCTGGTTTGACTTTTTTAAAGGTAAGACCAAGTAACTATCAAACTATGTTTAATCATTTGAATAGCTCATTAATAGGCCTACTATGCAAATAGCCTAATGTTCTGTAATGTTTGCAGACCCTGAAGCTATTCTCCTAGAGGAGCAAACAAAAAAACCTTGCAGAATGTTTCTTCAGAAAGGTAGGTTACAGCTCATTCTCAATGGGTGAGCTTTTGATATCAGAGAGTATATTATTTCATTCTTGTATTTATGTTTATTTGGCAGGAATTTGTGATTTTGGACCAAACTGTAGATTTTCTCATATGTCAGAGGAGGACTTTTTTCATCTTAGACGGCAAATAGAAGGTAGGTAGCCTAAGGGAGGTGCTTTCTGCAGAGAATACATTATTAATAAATACATTCAGTATTGAAAGTCCGATGTTGATAGATTCAGAAACATTTTATGGGCAATTATATTGAATCACAATCTGAGTAATTGTGATCACTGCGTGATCAGAATTCTACTTGTTATTCACCTATTTTCTTGAATGAAATTGTACAGACATTTTTACTCTACGCACTATTGGATTAAACCTGAGATGAGTTACATTTCTTTTGCTTCAGGTGAAAATTCTCAAGAGCATTTCGAGGACAAAGTTTTAGCTGACAGACGCGTAGAAGACTGGCTTGCTAGAAGGGAAAAGAAGAAAAACGCCCTTTGTAGCAAAGAGACCTACAGAGACCTGAAAACTGACACGGAAGAATGTCTTGAAGAAAGCGATGTGCCTGCACACCTCCTCATCATTCCTGAGCTGCCGCCATCACTCCAGCCTCCTCCTCCTGGTGGATGGAAAGCCAGCGTAAACACAGAATGGGGTTGAAACAAGCTCCATGAAGCAAGCTCCATAAAACAAGATGATGAAGTGAATTTGTGTAATATATGGGGTAATTGTGTAATGTTTATATGGGGGAGATACTTAACATTTCAAACAGCACATTCATATTACCATATCGTTCTACTATAAGATACCACTAGTATAGTCATGGAATCATTCTTAAACACTAAAAATAAAAACCCAAAGCTTTAAGAGTATAATCGGTACATTCTTGACTGTCTTTCATATTGTATCAGTCTAAGAAGTCCATTTTGATCTTGCTCTGGCCAGTCATGTTTTGACAGCTCACTTGCTCTAATCTTTCTCAGCAGATGCTCTTGATGTTGTCATGTTTATTGTCTGGTCTTCTTTTTTTTTTTTTTTTTTTAATTGTATTCATTATTTATATATTACACCTCATCAGTTCCACTTTGCACATGCTGTTATGGGGAATGATGATCACTGCACTGTTTTTAAACTAGAATGTAGTGTGGCCTTCGGCAGTACTGGTGTTTCCTTGTCAATGGTCCGTGGTCCCTGCTGTGTAACTAATAGGTGCTTTACATGCAGTAAACAGGGAAGGGACCAACTCCTCAGCAACTCTTCTGTTGCCATACTGAGGTGATGTGCTTGAACAAGTACAGATATTTCCACACTTCTTTTTCTTTTATATTGACAGTTCCTATTCAGTAAGCTTTATTAATACATTTTGTCAGTGGCCAGCTGATACTAAGTCAGACGAAACACAGATTGACTAAATCTTTTTGTTTTTTTGTTTTTTTATTGCAGTACATGCATCAAGACAAAGCTTAGTAGTGTATATTAATGCTGTAACCTCTACATGTAAAGAATGGGTCACAGAATTAGAGGGTCAGAAAGTGCTACTGGAATTTAAGTGGTGGCATAAAGCTTAGGACAATACAAGGAAAAGAGTCAAAAAACATAATGACAAAAGGCTGATAGGACCAGACATCTAATATAAATAACAAAGGCACAAAACTGAGGACAAAGACTAACATCAGGTAGAGCAGGTGTAAAAATATATGCATGTAAATCTGCTCATTGAAACACTGACACACAGGACACTATATCTGCTTATAATTTAGTTTAGATATAATATTTGACATTCACACATACATTATTTTTATAGAGCTGCAAGGTGACATAAAATTTTGATTATTGCCAGAATGAGTTATACCCTCTTTCCTTCCAGAATGATAAAGATTTGATTAAAAAAGTGCAAGAAAAATATATATTTTCATTTTTCTAAATAAAGCATTTTAAAATATTAATTAATCAATATAAGTGGTAATAAGTGCATGGTCTTAGTACACGTATCTGAATGTCCTGAAAGACTGGAATTCATGTTGATATCAGATATTTTTGTGATTTTTGAATATTTTCTTACAAAATTATGCCTACATTCATAAAATCACAGATTTAATTAATCATGTTTTCAAGTAAAAATATATATGAACAGATGTGTTTGGTAGCTCAAGAAAGAAACAGAAACCAACATTCTTGAATATGTGATATGTACCTCAAAGTTATGACAACTCATCACAATCACATTCACTAAAAGGACAGTGGATATCAGCAGCTGTCACACAACATCACAATATTCTAAATTGCCCAGTCATAAATACTGAGCTGGAGGCCAGGTCAGATTTTGATGGTGAGATTTAAAGTTTTAAACTTGAAACATTTCTGATTGATATCTCCATAATGAGCCTATCCTCAGGAAACAGAAATTGCCACAAAGCATAACATCTCTTCTCTGTCAGCACTCTTTTTTTTCTTTATTTTATTTTATTGATTGATTTTTTTTTTTTTTTTTTTTTTTTGGCAAAGTTTGCACCACAAAGGCCTCACTCACTCAACTCGGACCATCTTGGAGCGAGGCAACAAGAGCCACAGTGCCACCTAATGGCAATTTTGTTGGTAACCAGTCACAAAGAAATTTGTTATATTTGAATATTTCTTTTAAAATGTTGGTCACTATTGAGTTGTTGAGGCCCCTGCCCTCCATCTTAGATTATGACATAAAATAAAGAACATTGTAACACTGCAACCAAAATATGAGGTTTCTTACAACGCTGACTATGCAAATTGCATATTGTTTGAACACGTAGTATATCAGAATTAATTTCAACATACGTTAATTTCAAAACTGTGACATGCATCTTTGTTGTGGAATGGTACATCCTCCACCTGTAAGCCACAAACACTACATTTAAGATCTAGTTTTTCTACTATCCTGGGTTTGTTTATTCACAGCTGTCACTGAGGCTTGTACAGACACACACAGGGCTATTCAATACTTGTCAGTGTTTAGTGCTTTATCTGGAGGCTGCTGCAGATGCTGTTTGCACACAGAGGCAGCCTGTCATGTTTGTGATGACCCAAAGATGTATGTATTTTTGTCAGACAGGCTATAGTACATTTGCATACACACGGCTGGTCTCAGCAGAGTTTCCGGTCATGTCTTTGGAGGCTGATGTTTTCTTCAGTCTAAACCTACAGCACATTTAATTTTGTATTGTCTGTGTAAAATATGAAATGCACATAAAGCACAGACAAGTTTCACAGTGTCTGTACACTACCAGTGTTCACATTATTTCCTTTTTTACTACTGTCAGGAGTAAAGCTTTATATGATGACTTAAGTCATTGAGCCTGAGCATGCAACATTAAACATTCTGTTCACAAAAGTTTGGCAAATAAAAATGTACAATTTTTGTCCCAGATTAAATAACAAACTGTTGGCAATATATCTTATCTATGAGAGTTATAGGACAAAGATTATTTTGTGGTTGTTGTTGTTTTGCAAAGGGTCTAATAAGTATAGAGGAAGTCCTCTCCATCCAACTGCTCCTTGTTCAAAAAAGCTACATAATGGACCAAATATTATTTTCCAATGGTCCTTATAGTAATAATACCATATTGGTTATATCTTTAACTATTTCACAGTTAATGCTAAAAACTACTTGTGTGTAGATCGGTTGCTCTCCTGCCCTTAAACATTTCAGTTTACATTTCATGATAAAGACATTTATTGTTCCGAACACATGACATCTTGAATTTGTTGGGGAAAGCAGAAATGATGTTGCTTCTTCAAACTGCTTTTGTTGTCATAAAAGTCCATAAAAACATGTGCATGTGTCCTCACTTCATCCCTCGGCGGAGCATCTGATTGGCTGCAATAAGCATGACACTGATGATGAATGCAATAGCGAAGGCACAAATCAGACTTTTGCGCACGCATGTGTGTTTCTCCTGCTGCGTAGGACTAGCTGGGGACACATTTAAGTCGATGTTAGCAGAGTAAGAGTAGGACAAACATATATATATATATATATATATATATATATATGAACATGAATATAATGAATATAAAACTTACTGTCAATGTCTACATGACTCTCGGGACTGTTGAGGTGGTTCTCCTCTGTCATAATGATGTGTTCAATGTCTTTCATAGTGAGGTGGTCTCGAAACGTGTCATATAGCAGCCTCTTCAGCTCATCCACTGTCAATTTCTGCATGTCACACTGAAGATCCAAGGCACAAATAGAAGTTCACGAAAATAAAAAATTAGAATGACAGTAGAACATTTTTTTCCTGGAATCAATCATCCCTGGAAAAACAGAAGTATTAACTAGTTCCTCAAGACAACCATAATAAACAAATATACATAGGCAGCACGGTGGCTGAGTGGTTAGCACTCAGCTCAGCACTCTCTTCACAGTAAAAAGGTTCGATCCCTCTGTCGACCAGGCCATTCTGTGTGGAGTTTACATGTTCTTTCTCAGTCTAAGTGGGTTTCCTCTAGGGACTAAGGTTTCCCCCATCTGCCCAAAATATGCAAGCTTGGTCAAATCCTCCAGCTCAGATAGTCCTGACCAAGCCTTGCAACAAGATCATGGAGATGGGTTCCCAGGCACGGGACTGCCTACTGCTCCTGAGGAGATGCCCCAATGACACCGAAAGATGAGTCAACTGATAAATTTCCCTACAGTGACAATGAAGTGTACCTACTTAATGTCTGTGTTAAGTGTGAACTATCTGAGCAAACATCTGGGCCAATAACTTGAATGAAGCTGCATGCTGTTTACTGGAAACAGAAATGCATATTTGAAAAATCTTCACAAAAAAGGTTTTTGTTGATTTCAGACCTTTTCTAATAATACTCAAATAACTATATGTCTTTAAGGGATTGTATTGTTTATTTTATTTTTAATTAAAATAGATGGCTCATTGCAATCATGAAATGTCCCTCTAGTAATATCTTGAAATGAAAATAATAGACAATAATAGAATTATGTCTTTAAAAAAGACATAATTAGGCCTTCAGCTGGTGGGTTACCTTCCAGAAGACGGAATCAAAATCTGCACCGTGAAATTTATCAGGCATTCCAGCAGCAGACAGTTTAGGACCGAGCAATGTGACGAATTCTTCAAAGCCCACCTGACCATCCCCTAAATAAGCACACAGAGTTTAAACTTGACAGGCAGCCTACTAGAAGTAACTTAGTCAATACTTGATAAGGTACCATCCATGTCGAGTCGCTGTATAATGACCTCCAGCTCCACCTCATTGGGCATGTAACCCAGCGATCGCATGGCCATCCCCAGCTCCTGCTTAGAGATAAAGCCATTCCCATCTCGGTCAAATACCTTGAAAGCTTCGCGAATCTCTGTTCAAAGAAAGGGAAGAGAAAAGTTCAATGCTAAATGTAAGGATAGCATAATAAAGAAATAGATAACACTATAAGCTAAAATAAATTAATAAATAGTTATTGTAAAAAAGCGTTATTGTCATTGAACAATGTGGTATGTGCGCATTATTTTAACTTATTGTTTAATAAATGACAGATAGAACTATCATTATCTAACTATCAACTCATACTCATTAACTAACATACAACTCATTACAACTAGCTATTAAGTATTTTTATTCTACTAGTTATTTATTTCATCTTTTTTTGTAATCCTGCTTCAGGGGTATTGTGTCAATGCTATGAATTTGTTTCAGTGTTATTGTTTTTGGTCTATATTTTCTTGTTTTATTATGACAGGCCTAAGCACAGTATCAGGTGCTCAAATAACTTAGACACAGACGTCAGGGCCACAGTAAGCCCATGTTATCCCTGGCTTTTTGAGGACTGGAACAAAGATGGCAAACTTTCACATTTGAGAAGACTGCATTGTTTCGTGGGGTCTATTTGAGTTGTCTAGACATTTTGGAAGCTGATCAATTTTAGTTGAGTCATGTACGCACAATAGTATGAGTCAAACAGGCCCGTGCAGAGGGAGTCAGGGGTTCAGCTCAAAATGAGGAGTGCATCGTCAAACCTGTTAGGTTTGTTATTGAGGGGACTAAAACGTTAAGCTTTTACCAATAGTACTAGTCTTTTTGTTTGTTGTAAAGCCATTTAGAACACTAAATAAACAGAACACAGGTATGTCAGCTCTTTTGGTCAGATTTTGGTAATATATGTAAAAAATACAAGACAGAAAAAAGCACTTGAGGGCACGGGGCAAAAAGGGGAGGGGCTTGAGCCTCATTGCCACAGTCTGCACATGTCTGGAGTCTAATTCAAAGACACCTTCCAAAGTCAAATGTAGTCATATTCCCTTTAAGTTATGTTAAATACATATCAATTATCAATGGGATGAGATAGAGTTTACTAAAATAGAATTAGCTAACTGCATGATGACTGCACATTAATGGATGAGACACTCAGTCCACTTGGTGAAAATGTCTTCTAAGAAATGAATTATAGCACTTTAAAATACAGGGCTATGTTGTTTATCTACAATAAATAGAATCTACAAAAACAGAATAGAAAGGTAGACTGTAAAAAAAAAAAAAATAAAAGCTTAAAAGATAGAAAAAATATTTATTTAGAATAGTGCAGCACTTTGTTTTTGCACTGTTTTTGTTTATAAAATGTGCTATGTAGAATGAGTTTGGAATTAAGATCATTCCAGTATGGTTACAAATGTCCTGAACAAACATTAGTTCTAATGGATGTAATACGCTCCGGATTACACCTGTTGGATTACACAGTGTTATGAGGAAGCCCCACCCTCTAAGCATATTTATATGTTTTTAATTAACCACAAGTCGAAGTGAGTAATCCATAAACAGAGACATTTGGCACCTTTCCTCTGTGGAACATCTCAATATTCTGTTTGAAGTGATAAAAACAGCAGTTGCACATCAAAGCTGCTCAAACCTCTGCTGCTCTTTTTGATGTAGATCTCAAATACAAGCACAAGACCATTCACTTAGCCTCAGGTGCTCCCAGGTGAGTCAAACCATAATTTACACAGGAGGAGCTAAAGATATAAAAGCATAAAAAACAACTCTAATGGAAACATCATGTGTAAAATAAATCAGTTTAAGATTAATTCAAACTGATGAACAAGGTTTAAAATGGTTACAATAAAATTATATTTATGGTTACAATAAAAACAATTCACAAGACAATAAAACAAGAAATATGATATGGTTACAACGATGTTAAAGGGTCCATATTAAGACTTTTTTATGATTCATGTTAATATGTTTCCTCATCAAAAACATACATGTTTTGTTTCTTTCAAACATGTTTAACACACAAAGCTTGCATATGTAGGCTGAGTTCTATTTGATCCACGCCCCCCTTGTGATGTCATGTACTAATACAGGAGGTTCTCCACTGTGTTTTAGCCTTCATACACCCTCACTAGAATCATTTGAATAATTTCAGCACTGGAATTGCCAATCCCTACTGTACTAATAGTACAAAGTAGCTGTTAACTTGAAAACTACCACTACACGACATCACAAGGTGGACCAGAGCATTTTGAGCTTTGGAGATGTAGACAGTGTAATAATGCAGGATAACTCAAACATATGTAAATGAAACAAAGCACAACTCCAGTTATGTTTTTGATGAGGTAACAAAATTATAACATGGCTTAAAGCTCACAAGAATCAGTTTTGTGTAATATAGTAATAAGCAAACCTCCATCTTTCCTGTATATACTAGTATGTCATTTCATCTTATGCATCAAAACATGTATCTAACCCCATGGCACATCCTAACACATCTAATCAGCATGCGTGTGTAGGACAGAGTGCAATGCCATCTGCTATTTACATGCAAAGCCACAACAGGACAGCAGCTCTCATCCATCATGGTGTAGTCCAATGAGCAACTTAAGGAGTGATGGTCTGCATTGGCAGTCATGGGAGTGGGCACACAGCTCTGAGCAGGAACCTTGACCTGTGTGACACTGTATTATTTGTTCAAATTACAGAGCAACTTGACTTTGGAGTGCTGGAGTCAATGTTGTGACCTTTGATGCTATAAATCTACAAAGCGAGGTGCACAGAGGTGGGACTGCTGATGGTTTTGTAACATAGAAAAGAATACTGAGATACATATGCATCCACGAGTTATAAACATGATGTCTTATGGTAATACAGGAAGTTCTCCATGCACCTTCACTAGATTGATTTGGGTAATTCCAATCCTGGAATTACCAATTAACCATGAACTTGAAAACTTGAAAACATAATATGATTGAATTATTGCTCTTCATAAAATCCAACTGATGAAGAATAGGGACTTTGAGACCTTGAAATATTAAACATTAATAACAATGTTAAGTAATTAGTAAACTCTTACTTCGTACATGTTTTGTTTCTTTCAAACATGTCGTAATTTGACTTTAATTAATTTGATATGTAATTTCTTCAGTTAAATTTTTTTTCACCAGATGAGATATCATTATGTTATATGTGTAAAAATAAGAATCAGTACAGAAAAAAAATTTGAACATCTTAGTGGAATTATTAATTTGTTATTCTATAGTTTTAATTCAAAATCAGTACAAGCATTATACAAAAGCCACATAATGTGCTATTTAATTTAAAAGTGCATTGTGTAACTTTTGTGGTGGAGAGTCTGCTTTTCTCTAATTGTTATTATAATATGGTATTAAACTTTTCTATCTTCACTGAGACTAAACAAGACCATGTTACAGGTCAAATCTTTAGAGAGACAACTTTGCTCATAGTAAGAATGCCTGTTTTTCAACAAGGTGTTTTCAATCTACAAAACAACCTGTAATGTAGAGCTGTCGGGTAGAGCCGTTTAATACACTGTAAACCCAAACGCTCAAACTATTTAAGTTAAGGTCACAATTAAGATGTGTATACTCAAAGTTTTAGAGATAGTGCTACTAACTTAATTATGTTAAGTTACTGTAACATGCTCTTCTTTTTGAGTAACTTTAACTAAACTTTACCTTTTTTTTAAATTTTTTTTTTTGAGGGGAACTATTGTGGGTAAAAGCATAGATGAGATACAGCTTAGTAGAGCCCGACCGATATGGATTTTGCTGTGGCCGATATGAAACCGATATAATGGGAGTTGGCGCTGCCGATAGCCGATATAATCGCCGATATATTTAGTGATGTAAAAATTCACTGTAAATGTTGAATTGTTTAAAAAACTTAGGTTTGGCTCTGGTGGATTTTAAATTGGGTTTATTTAGGCAACATTTATTGTTATTCTGCCTCTTTACATCATATTTACAGACAGTAGGTTGGCTTAATGGCATTTTTGCATCACATTCTAGACACTAGTGATGGGTATTCCAGTTCTTTTTAGAGAACCGGCTCTTTTGGCTCGGCTCACTAAAAGCTGCTGGTTCTTTTGGCTCCCAAGTGGCTCTTCAGATTGTTTTGTTGCAAGCAGGACTAAAGCACGTCTAAAGCAGGACTGAATCAGGACTGAACCAGGTCTAAACCAGGACTGAAAAAGGACTAAACCGGGACTTATTTATTTTATGCTAAACTACAGTCAAATATGCTCGGTTTTTTTTTTTTTTTTTTTTTTTTTTTTTAATCCTACGTACACGCAAATTTCTCAAAGTTTCGTTTTTAGCCGCTGCCGCTGTCAAACCACGAATCACGCGGCGTGAAGAGAAAAAAAAGTGAGAGAAAGAGAAAACACGGCTCCCAATAAGGATCAGGCTCCCGTCGTTCCCTTTAGAGAGCCGGTTCTAAGAGTCATTTCGTTCGCGACGGACCCATAACTAGTAAAGAAAGTAGCGCTATTAGCCTTTAGCCGTAAATACGTGCGCGCCGCGGTAATTAATTATATGCGCAAATGTCATAATTCACAGGTCTGTTCACAGCTCATTTACATATCAGTGCAGGTCCAGTAGCAAATATATGGCCAATATAGTCACTTTAGAACAGACCAATAGAAAACAGTCTGTTTATGTGCGGGAGCTACAGCAGCTAACCCATAACAAATGACAAAAACTAGCTTCAGAGTCGACATATTTCCACCTCTCACCGCTCATACAGGCTCCTCCTCACATCACAAGTCTGCACTAATAAATGTCCTTTTAATCCAGACTCAAACCGATTGTCCGTAAAAAGAATATAATCTCAGTGTTTGGATCTGTGTCTGCAGGTCTAAACAAACACATGTGAGTGACGCGACTCTGTGGTGTGTTCAGGGACAGTACGGACACACAGACAAATGACTCCGTAGATAAATACTGATGTGGAGCCACATATTAGGACATTTATCTGTCTGTAAATTGGATTAAATAAACAGAATGTAGAGAGTCTAAGCTTTATAACGTGGTATAACATGCCCACGTGAAATATCGGCCCCTATCAGCA